TGTACAGACTCAATCTTGGTAGTCTCTTTGGAGACTGCCTACATGCATTTCCTGTATCTCTGAATAAACTGTAAATGTTCTTTTGATTGTATACCCCCAGCAGACTCTCTTTGGGTGTATTTCCCCCCCACTCTTGCAGAATCAACACAGCTGCCTGGATTTTTCCAAGGATGGCTGTGTAGACTGTCATGAAGAGTGCCTTGAACTTCCAAACTGACCACTGTGCCACTGCTTTAGCACTTCAACCACAGGACAATCAGGGGCATCCTATTGATAGGGGAGTATTTGGAATAATTTGTATTTCTTCCCAAACCATCTCATATCTTTTAATTACAACACCCTCATGATTCTCATTTGTTGCAAGGAACCATTTTGGAAGTGATTCTGAGATCTTGGACTCCCACTCTCATCAGCTCCAGCCAGTATGCCAATGACTGAGGATGATGGAGATTTCATCCTAACTTTCTGTTTCCGCAGGTTCCCTACTCCTGGCATACAGGTTACAAACAAACTTAGGACTCTTTATTCCAATGACCAGACTTTATCCATTAAATAGCACATTGAGATTATTTATTTTAAGTATTTCATGTTGTCAGAAAAGGAATTTCGTTTGAATGTAGTAAAAATGTTCTAAGAGACTGAAGGTCAGGGAAACTTAAAACTTTTGCTTTGTATGAAACCTAACAATCCATGAAACATTATTACAAAAACAGATTAGCGTCAGGATGCAGTCTAGAGTGTTCCCTGCTTGGTTCTGGTCCTTGTTCCTGCTAAACATAGTTTAGGGTGCATGTTTAGACAGAAATATGCACCCTACAATTCCTAGCATGTCTAGTTAGAGGAATGCTAGGAGATGGGAGACATTGTTCTGTCCAGATGTGTACTGGAATATATTCTAAATTAGCCCTGTAGAATTTAGGAGCACAGGTTTAAAGGAATGAGATTAAGGGCACAATCCTGTACAAGTAATAAAGAGAAAAGTGGCCAACAACTCCCACATGGCTCCCCCCTCCTCTAAATTTGCCTAAACTTGTACAGGAATGTGCCTTAAGAGAATAAAGCCACACTGGGCCCTGCAAAGCTTGTAACTGATTTGCTTGTACCTGTTGTATGTGCATGCATTACAAAAGGGAAGACAGACATTTTAAAACTGAGTGGATCTGGCCAATGTTGGCTGGGGGTGGTGCTATTCATTTGCATTATAACTGCAGGCAATGCAAAAAGCTCTTTTCAGCACATGTCTGAAAGCATCTTTACTCTAGTAGCTAAATGGTGGTGTGATGTATGCTCTAATGAGATTCTACAAACCTTTATAGACAAGAGGCTTGTTTGCTGCTCACTTCATAATACATGCTTTTGAATCTATGCATATTTACTCAGAAGTAGGTGGATGAGATTGCTGTCTTAAGTTTATCAGACTTTCTCAGAATAATCAGAGTTTAGAACTCCTGGTTGGGAAGGGCCATGCCAATTCTATTTAACTTTAGCAAACGTCAGGGTTCACAGTAAAAGTTTCCTGCAATAAACTATGCCTGAATCAGTGCAGGAACTCCTCCTTAAATGTTAAAGAAAATGCATTGTGACCATTTTATTGTCTTTTGCCGAGTATCTATGACTGCAAGAAACTTTAAACAATGATATAAAACTCAGGCCCTACCCGTGGAATTGCAAGTACACGAATATGTGGGCAAAGGAGAGGAATCTAGCCATCATCAAAACTGAAATCAAACTGTCTCAGAAGTGCTAGAAGTAGTTTTGAAGGAATTTGTTATGATTCTTGTTAAACACCAACAAGAATTTGAAGTGTATTTGAAATGTTTATGAAAGTTACAACTGCACATTCAAATATTATTTCTTTCTGTTCCTAACATGATTCTCCACCTTGGCAAACCAATGCTGCCTTGTGTTGCCTTTAAAAACAATCACTGTAATCCCACACATGGTTTCCATGGATGCCTTACTACAGACTAAATCCCATTGCACTCAGTGTATTTAGGATTGTGCAGCTGGAGTGCTGCCTCCAACTTCTCCACAAAGGCTTACCGATTTCCTTGAAAAGCAGGGGGCCATGGTATGCTTTCTAGCTCCCTTGAATGACCAAGAGTGCTTGCTGCTGCGATTCAAACAGCAGCGCTCCAAGTCAATACTGTCTTCAAGTCCGAATTAAAGAGATCTTCACATGCTGAGCTAAACTTCATTGAAAAAAGCAAAGGAAAACACGCAACTCTACATTTTTTTCTAGGCCAGCGTGACTCAGGTTTGACTGAACTGGCAGGAATTTGAATTTTAAATACATCTGCCTGCGAGGATTGGGGAAACGGTGAAGAAGGGTTCAAGGTAGTCCTTTGGCATGTGAGGGGCAACGCTTTGAAACATGTTTAGTTTTTAAACGTACCTTCAACTTTGCAAAATACCCTTTCTTAGGACGTGTCGAAAAGCCTCAATGTTAGCCGCAACTAAGAAAACCAGGTTCAGTCAGGAAAGGCCCCTTTCGCCTTGAACCTCGGTTGTATTGAAAGATCATCCAGGACCCCTGCGGTTACTTTCAACAGCATGCTACTGGGTAGTGGTCTGCACTGCCAACTACAAAATCACAGGCCGTGTACAGACACTTTTATAACCTGCTATTGTTCGTACAATAAGCATCTTGGTGTCTTTAGGCATGACATAATGTTCTAATCAGATCAGAAATACTGGTAACAATAGTACGGAAAACATTACTAACTGCTGTATTGATAGGTCAGTCTAGCAAATTGACAGTTCAGGTCAGCGAGTCTGTCTGTTTAAACATGCAAATATGTCAGAGGAATCCTTCAGGAAGTCTGGTTTGACAAACAAACCCAGCAGGGGTTGCCTCTGTGAGACTGGATGTTAGATGGGCCCATTCAGAAACAAATGAACACCATTATTTCAGTTTTTCTACAGCTGATAAGAACTCAGGTATTTCAGCCTAGCTAAGAACGCCATCTTCTTAAGGCAACAGCAACGCTAAACAGTGACCCTGCTTGGAAAGCTGGTGCTTTGTGAGAAAGGGGTGCAGGTTTGATCTTATAACACAAAGGCACATAAAAGCTACGTTTTTCTGCCAGGATTAGCTGAATTTTCCCAACAGATGTAATGAGGAAAGAGAGAAAGAAAGGCCAAGTTACTCCAAAGCTGAACCCCATGAAAATTTATTTGATAGCTGGCCACGTTCAACTCGCAGAGCTTACATCTGACTAAATATGCTGAGGATTGCATTTGCCAGGGCAAGCATGCCTTTTCAGCTCTCCCATGAGAGCTTGCATTAAAAAAAGGCATTGCTTTAAACTGTCTAGCAGCTTTTTCCTTTTCACTTTTAACTAGAATAAGATCTCAAAAGTCACCCTAAGGTCCAGGCGGGGTACATGCACTCTGAAGTGAAACGCACATCAGGCAGCTAGATGCAACTTCTAATAATTTCTGATTTGGCGCTCTCAGTGGCTCTGAACGTTTCTGCATTTTGTTATCTCTGCTTTGGGATAACAAAGTCACGGCCTGACTTTAGAAATGTGGCAGCCTTATACAACACAGCAAGAAGCTGAAAGTGCAGGGGTAGGCCTGCTGCAAGCGGCTGCGCGGTTTGATGCGGAAGGAGGGCCTTGGTATCTTTTGGCGTTCCTGAGCAATCTGCGCTGCCGCCTGAGGCCTCGCCGATACGGCAGTTTCGATCAGGTTTCCGGATGACCACTAGGGATGTCTCCTAGGGATGCCCAGCCTTTGTGCTCCTCTTTTGTGAATACTTCTGTGGCGTGTTGTGAATATCTTCCTGGAGCGTATTCGATTAATTTGAAGGAATGTGGGTAAAACACTTCCAGATTTACTTTGATAAAGTAATCCTTAAGGAAAGAATGGTAATTTAAAAAGGAGCAGTTTGGGAACTAAAGGCTGCATTTTTATGCATACTTAGAAGTAAACCAAATTAAATTAGACTTACTTCTGAGTACACTGCGGTGCGAATTAGCTTGGAATCCTTACTCCTTAATCCCACATATATTTGTTGAAGCTGCTGCAGTTACAGACCAGCGGAAAGAAGTGCACTTTGTCCATGCTCGGAGCTACCTTTATTGCTTTATATACTTCTGAGTCGAAACGCCATATTTGAAATACTGTTACTGAACTCTGCAGACCTTTTTGGAACCTTTTTTTTTTTCAGATGGTGGGGGAAGGAATTGGGTGGGAGGCGCAGACCATGTGACTATTGGTAGCCAAGCCTTAACTTAAACCTGGCCGTTGATCATGCCAGGCGCTTGCCCGCAACTAGTGAATCTGCAAGGGTGCCCGGAAGCAAACTGTCTTGAGTCACACACACTTTCTCTTGCGCCTATTTTGTGTAAGGAAGGAATTCACGAGAAATGCGGGGGACAAATGGAAAAAGCACCCAAGTATTACAAGGGCGAGACTCAGCTTTCTGATTAATGTAACCGACGAACTTCCATCAATTTTGCTTTGATCTTCCCGTAGTATGACCCGCTAGGATATTCATCATTTGTTCCACTCCATCAGACGGGTGCTCTGATTCACACCCAGGGCTGTCCCCAGTCAGAATGATGCCATCTGAGTCAGAACCGCTTGGAAGGGTTAAACTTCCAAGGGGCGCTCCCATCCAAGAAAGCACGTGCGTGGAATGAGACTGCAGATCTTCCTCTCCCCCAGTGGGACGCAAGGAATCCCGGCACACGCTGAGCGCCAATTTCTTTGGTGGGGGAGGAAAGTTTTGTTCTCTCAGTAACGCTGCAAGACAGGGAAAGCAAGGCAGCCAGTTCACGATTGCAGCAGCCGGGGTTGGACCCATGCGTCGATGTGTGAGGCATGCGGAGCTCTGCCGGCCAGCTCCGAGCGCTTCTTAGCCTCGGGTTTCTCTTCGGCTTGGAGGGGGGAGGGAAAGGGGCGGAGAATTTATCCCGAGGCGTGGCCGAAGGGGCGGGGGGCGGCAACGAACTGTCTTGGGGCCCCTTTGTTCGGGCGGGCGGGAGAAGAGGGAATTGCAGCGAGGCGGGAGTCTTTGTGAGGTTTGTCCGAGGAGTGATCACACTGTAAGTGGAATTTTGGGGTCGGGATGGTGGTTACAGTTTTGGGAGGGGGGAACCTCTGTTTTCGGGGACACTATCGATCCCACGCCGCGCGCAGGCTTCGGAGATCCTCTGCCGCGAATAGGGGGATTGGGGAGTTTGGCGGTTTCCTAGGGGGAGGCGATCAAACACATCCAGCAGTATCGGTTCATGGCGTCCCTCCCCTTCCTCTCTTTATGAGTGGCAACGCTTCAAAGAGCCCCCCTCGCGTCGGTGGGGGAAAAGAGGATTTAGAGTGGTTTCTTACGTTATGCATTTCGAGGAATTTGGTTCCTTTGTGCTAGAATGCTATCCCTTCAATCCACGAGCTGCTTATTGTTTCGGGCACCGAAAGCGTGTCATCTCCCTGCCCAAGACAACCCTCTTCTGACTCTGGAACAGTTAACCGCGCCGTGATTTTACGGGCGCACACAGCCTTAGTATTACTCCCGATCTTCACACATACGGCGACGGGAAGCTCGGAGGAGGAATATTTTTTAAACGAAGATTAGCCGATCTCTGTTGTCTTGGGTATTTGTTCATGAAAGTAAGGATAGTTTGGACTTCGGGAGCAAGATGTAGAGATAAAGATGTATCGTACTTAACCCCTGAGGGTTGATTACAACCCTGCGCTGGCCATGGATACATCGAGGTTCCTTATGTTATACCGGTATGCTTGTCAGGGAGCTGAAATTTGCCCTCGTTCCCTAAAATATATACATTAGATTCTAACTGGTGATTGTAATGGTGCGGAGTGGCCATAGAGATGGAAATCAAACTCCAATACGGGATTTGGTGTGGTTGGGAAGGTCATCCCTTTTATGATTTGGCAGAACTTGACCTGCAAATTGTTCTGTTGCCTTCTGGATTCCAAGCACGTGGCCACTCTTGAGCTGAATTATCCTGAGCTAGGACAGACCTGCTCCTTCTCTTCAAAGTTTTCTTAGCACTGGATCAGCCTTTTCCAACCTGGCACCTCCCAGGAGTGTTGGAGTACAGTCAATGAATCCAGCCAGCACTGCCACTGGGTATGATGGAAGTTGTAGTCCAGTATATCCAGAGGATTCAAGTTGAGGAAATTGCACTAGACCTTCAGCACTGGTGCTTGCCAACCATGTGTGTCCCTGAGCTTGGCAACATCTCTTTATCTTTACCATGACTGATCATATCTAAATGACTTTTGCCTAGAGAACAAATCGTGCTAGGTGAAGGCAGTTAGGGGATCTTTGTTGGTTGCATAGCTGCTTATAGTGGAATGGACGTCAACCAATTCTAGTGCTTTCTGAAAGGATGGGCCCAGCCTCACTGAGGTTTGGGGAGGGAAGAATCAAGGGGGACACTTTTCCTCATTTCACTCCCACTAAATATGTATTGGGCAAAGGGGAGGAGTTTGGGGTCACAGTGTGTCTAGGCTTCTCTTACCTGTATGCTGTGCCAAGAACTTGCTGGATGCTCCAAATGGGGGAGCTTCTGACCATTCCTATCAGTCAAGAAAAGCTGGATTGATTACAAAACTTTCTGAGCTCAGGTCTCCTCAGAGTACAAGCATTGGAGGGCATGCGTTTGCATGTTCAAGAATGAATAAGGTAGTGTTTGCACAAAGTGTCTTTGTTAAACTAAGGAAATCTTGACAGTTTTTAAACTGCTGTGCTGTTAGTACTGGAGTCTGCTTCTCACATTACATCCCTTTTTTCTTTTTTTGAATATAGCTAAATAAAACATACTCATTGGTCTGTGTGTGGAAATGGCAGTATTTCCTTGTATAAAAGGAGCAGGCAGACTTCAGGCTTGTGGGATCTACTTTTTTGTTTTGTTTTGTGCTAGAACCCTGAAGTCCAACTGGGATCTGGTGAACGAGGCATGCTCAGAATGCACAGACATTACAGAATTCTGTACAAGAACTCTCAGTCCTTCTTCCACACACAAATGCATTCCTGGTCACCCCCAAGCTTTATTTATTTCAGGAGTATATTATGGGGTGGGAGTTAATTTGTTGTTGCTTCTCCGAAAGTCAGAAATTCTTGTCAGTTCTATGGTAGCCAACTAGATCTAGTCCTGCATTTCCCCACCCTTGCTAAAGATATTTGTGAACAGCAAAAAGAGCAAGATTGGTTCCTTGCTTGTCTTTTTGAGGGACCTTGATTCTGCCTGCGTGTAGTCATGGAAACTGGTATGCTGTGGCTCTTTTAAAAATACTGCCTGTTTGTGAGCACCACATGTAAAGTAAAGGTGCTGAAGTGAAGAAGGAGCTCCTCTAAAGAGGCTTAATATATCGAATGCACTAAAAGTTATATTGACTGTTGCAGATCTTAGATTGATGACCGGACAGAAAGCACTCCTCTATTCTTGTCTCTTGTGAAGAGGGCACCCTAGATCCAAACCCTCAACCAGATTCACTTCATTTGAAATGGACAGCCTGACCTAGTTTAACCTCAGTGCACAAGCCTTTTAGTGAAACTTCATGTCCCAGAAGAATTCATGTTCTTGGTCTGCAAGTTATATTATTTCATGGTTAAGGAAGCCTGGGAGGGCAGAGAGCCAGAGAGGATGTATCCTTGGCCCGATACTTTGCTCACTGTCCCATGGGACTGGTCCTCTGTATTTATACTTGTTAATAAACATCTTTGTTGAATTGAATGTTAACTCCTAACTTACTTGCTCTGGTAAGCACGTTCTCTGATAGACATCTGGACTTCTGGTAACCGTGCTGGGGCTGCCTTGCTCGAGACTGGTAAACATGGTATAATAATCATGCATCTATATTTGGCTAACAAGCTTGATTTGGTGGCATATTCAAGATGTGAAATTAGCCAGTTTAGAATAGTCACTGCACTCAGCTGAAGGTGAATTTGGGTGCAAGAAAACCTGTGGTTCACCACATGTTTACTCCATCAGGCATTACTTCATTAATGAAAGAAAATTTCCATCAGTGGGGCAGGAGGAATTTAAACTTGTGGTAAATGTGCCTTTCAACTTTGATAATGTCCGGAAAACATCTCCCAGAAAACTGATAGGGATATTTACTCCTCGCAAGGTCATTCTGCATGTTTAGATTTGATCTTTTTGAAAGGACTGATAGTTCTGCATCAGGAACTGAATTAACAAACAGTACCTTACTGGTTCAAAAACTCAGTTTCATACATTAACAGTGCAGTCATATGCATGTCTAGATAGAAGGAACACCCATTGCTTTCTCTGAGGCTTTCTCCTAAGTGACCATATATAGTTGCAGCTGTCTTTGGGACTTTCTGTCATCTCCTACATCGCAGCACACTCTTACACTGTTTGTTTATATCAGGGGCGGACAACATCCAGAGAGGGCTGCACTGGAAGTCACGGTGGGCAGTACCCCGTCATTGCTAGCACAACAGCAGAATTCGCCACAGAGGCGAAATTTGCCATTATTTTTGCTGCTGCCATGCTGACAAATTCAGTAGCCCCCTAGCAAAACAGTCATGGGGGGCTGCATATAATCCATTAGCTGTATATGACTCCTGATTTTCAAGCATGTTATTGTGATGGATACTTTTCTCCTCCTGAGGCTGCCTCTCTGTAGGAATGTGGCAAAACAGAGGTAGAAAGCACAGCAAAGAAAATCATGGATGTATTACTTTGATCATATCTCTAAACATGCTCTTCTGGGGTCCTGGTAGAAATTATGTGACATACTTGATGAATATGAATAGTGCAGAAATCATGCTTCTGTTTGTATGAACTATGCTGTAGTGTCTTTGGTTGCATACAAGGCTCAAGTGTGCAGATGCAGGAGGGCCTATGCCTTTATACTGAATTTTGGGAAAAGGAAACAGGTGGCTGGGGAGCTCTCTGTGCACTGGACAGATTGAACATACATACAGTGCACACCTGTGCTGTTGCCTCTGTCACGTGACATCCACTTAATGGGTGCCCTTTTGACTGAAGGATTGTTATTGTATGTGAGCACTGGAGTGTCACACTGTCCCAATGCACCAGGACGTGGTTTCCATACAGAGAGTAAGACAAGCGTCTGAGTTGCCTTCCAGAAGCAACTGTGCTGCCAAGCTCCTAAACTGATCTCAAGAGTAAAGTTATTTGGGAAAGGAGCATTCTGATAAGGCAGAGAGAAGACATGTCAGTAGTATCACTTCCACCTCCCTTCAGCTCTTCCATTTTGTGTGCATAGGTGATGGCTGTGATAAGTGTATAAAGTTAATTAAGCTGTGTTGTGGTCCTTTGGGGACAGGCTGTTCACCACAGGCCCAAGAGATGCGAGCAGTGTGTTAAGTTGAGCCATGCAATTCATGAACTACAACTCCCATTGGGGTTATGGGAGTTCTAGGCCAAAATCTGGAGGGCCACAGTTTACCCACCTATGTGGAAGTACCTCTCCTGATATTGTGTAGAGAGGTAGCAGTAATGGGGGGCAATCTGGATTGGGTCCCATCTTCCCATTTTCCTGAGCTAACATACAGGCTCTGGTATCTTTCCTCTTAGCCACTAATAGTAGTTCCAGACTGGGAGTAGGGATTTGAAGCAGGGCATGTTGGATTAGTTTCCCTCTTCTCCCAGTGCCACAGTTCCAATCTAAATCAAAGCCACAAAAAAGTGCTAGAAGGTGCATACATGCTTCTTGACATTGGTCTAGTTTAACCTTGAGTTGACTTTCAAGCTGGGCTTATGAGGTGTGAGAAAAGAGGTGGAAGGGAAGGATCAACTATCCTCAGAAACTTGTGAGGATATGCGAGGACAGCTGTGGTACCAAAGTGGTAGAAGTTCATGGCCAGTTTTACGTCTTTTCCATCTACCTGAATAATCCACTGGATTCACAAACACATTCGTTGCTGATGCAGTGTTGTGCATCTGTCCATAAAATGGTTAACATATACTTTTTAAAAGAGATTTGTGAAGCAGCTTTGGTTGCCACGGGCAAGGCTATATGGCAGGGGTAGGCAACTTGTGGCCCTCTGTGTTTTGTCCTAAAATACCCATCAGCCTTAGCTAGTATAACCAATGGTGATAGCACTTGAAGTATCTGGTGCTTTTCTGGAAGACAGCACTGGGGATGCTGCATGTAAGCTTCGTGTTGTGAGAAATACACCATATATTTAAGGTATGATTCACTCCTGTGGATTTTGTGAAGTTTATTTTCATGGTTTGATGTGTGCTACTTCGGAAAAAAACTTTAAAAGTGGGGAAGCCCCAGCTTCCCTTCTTGAGAACTTTCCAGTGCCAGAAAAAACTGGAGTCAAAGAAGAATTCTCAACTGATATGAAATCATTTCTCTCATTATACGGCTTACAGGACAGGCTTTAACATTGTTTCAGCTGCCCTGCACTTTCTGAGCATGATTTCTAATTATATAAGGCAATGTACAGTATTAGGTACTAAAAGTTCTATATACTTCAGATATGGAAAACCTTCTAGTCTCAGCTTCTTCAGTATGTGAAAGAAACTGATTAAACATAAGTACCAAATCAAGAATTCAAGCTAGCAAGCAGAAGCTTATTTCAATCCATTCAAACCTTTTAATGTCCATGGGGATAAAAATGAATGGTCAGAACTGGAAGCTATTGATCGTTCTGAAACCGATTCTTACTAGAGAAAGGAAACTTGAGATGATAATATTTTCAAAGATACATTATTTCTTGTGTTGATGACAGGATGTGGGTTTCATGAGGATAAATGTCATAAGTATGAGGAAAATAACAGTTTAATGTACTAAATTATACATAGAGAGCAATCCCATGCTCCCCAGGCGGGCAGCTGTAGGGTTTCTGGATGTGGAGAAGTGCTGTCCGCTTAGCAGAAAAGAAGACCTGCTGGTGGGGACCGTATATTGCTACCAGTGGTGGTCCCTACCCTTCTAATACAACACCAGAAAACTCAGTTACTGCTCTGTCAATGGTTGGAACTGAAAGGGGAGTTCAGAAGATCCTAAGCTCCCTTTTTCTTTCTGTGCTCCAAGCTGTCCCCTCCTGTTAATTCCCTCTCGCTGACCATAACAAGAAGCTTTCCCATAGGAGTGGGGGAAAGCAGCCCCAGCTACGGAGAGCCAGCTGGACATTGAATGTTGTGGTTGTTCTTCTATAGAATCTCTTCACATCCCCCACTATAGGAGTCTTTGCTTGCATATTTCATATTCTAACCCCAACCTTAAATTATTGAGTGAGTGGCAATTTAATAAGAACAGAAGTATTTCAATTTGCTCCCCTAAATGTCCATGCTTTTGTATTGGGGGCAGAGACAGAAAAATAACAGCTGGGATTTTCCATGACTTCAAGGCTTGTGAAATGATATGGTGCATTTACTTGAGTTTAACCTTCTGCCTACTGTGTTTCTTGGCTACAGGCCTGTGCTGAGCCAAGATGAGTTGGAGTTTCTTAACACGCCTCCTGGAGGAGATCAATGAGCACTCGACCTTCGTGGGAAAGGTGTGGCTGACAATGCTGATTGTCTTCCGCATTGTGTTGACTGCTGTGGGTGGTGAGTCCATCTATTATGACGAACAGAGTAAGTTTGTGTGCAACACGCAGCAGCCTGGGTGTGAGAATGTCTGCTACGATGCCTTTGCACCCCTCTCGCACGTCCGGTTCTGGATCTTCCAGATCATTGTAATAGCCACACCGTCGGTGTTCTACCTGGGCTATGCCCTGCACCGGCTTTCGCGCCAGCCACCTCGGAAACGCCGGGCTCCTGTGGTCCACCGGGGTGCCGTCCGTGACTATGAGGAAGCAGAGGACAATGGTGAGGAGGATCCCATGATCTTTGAGGAGGTAGAACCCGAGAGAGAGGCAAAGGAGCCTGAGAGGCAAAAACACGACGGCCGCCGTCGTATCAAGAATGATGGGTTGATGACGGCGTATGTGATACAGCTGCTTCTCCGTTCATTGTTTGAGGTGGGCTTTCTGTTCGGGCAATATGTGCTGTACCGTTTCGAGGTCAACCCCTCGTATGTGTGTACTCGCAGCCCCTGCCCCCACATTGTGGATTGCTTTGTCTCCCGTCCCACTGAGAAAACCATCTTTCTGCTCATCATGTATGCTGTCAGCGGGCTTTGCTTGCTGCTCAATATCTGTGAGCTGTTCCACCTGGGATTTGGTGGGATCCGTGATGCGTTTCGTGGCCTTGACAAAGATGCTGGGGTCCACCCCAAGCCCCAGTATCCTCGGAAGGAACCCATCGCACCCATTGCACCTCCTACCTACCATTCTATCAAGAAGGAGCCCTCGAAAAGCCAGCTCACCAAGGACAAACTGGCCTACCAGGGAGAGAGCTTGGTTGGCATGGCCCCAGAAAGCTATAATGCCCCCTCAGGCCTCCCAAGCCATGAGCTGGAGCGCCTGCGCAAGCACCTCAGGATGGCACAGGAACATCTGGAGATGGCTTTCCACCTGCAGCCAGAGGTCACCGCGAGCCCATCACGTAGCAGTAGCCCCGGGTCTAATGGGCTAGCTGCGGAACAGAACCGGCTCAACTTGGCACATGAGAAGGAAGGTGCAACCTGTGAGCGAACTACTGGTAAGTAAAGGGGTTCCCTTGGGAGCTGAGGTGCGGAAGCCTCGTTCAGCCTGAGCACTGAATTCGGCTAAATTGAGTTACGGAGAAGCGCTCAGATGGGTGCAAAGGCAAATGGGATGGGCCAAAAATACCAGCATATTGCAGCTTAAAGCTTTTGCAAGTAGTGAGCCTGCAGGAGAGGTGGTAAGGAGGGAGCAAAATTGCTTAAAAGCGGAGATACCAGCAAAGAATCAGTAGTTGGGGGGAAATGAATTGAGGCAGGGGAAAGGGTTGTGTCCATCTGGAAAGCCCTGGAGAGCAGAGAACTGTAGCAAAGGTCACCCATTCCAGCTTGCATGGACAAAAGTTGCCACCTTGCAAAGACCCTATCTTGCTGATCCCAACCCTGCTAAGGCCCTTTGTCAGCAAAGGACTGTTGTTATTTTCTTTGGGCACTGAGTTTCTGGCTCTTATCAGTTAGCCCTGCAAAGAAGGGCTACATCCAAGTGGTGGGATTTAGTTGGGGATGCAGCTGGTTATATAGCCATTATATTCATATACTTCCTACTTTCCTGCAAAGAATCCAAGGCAGCTTATGTAATCTTCTCCATGGTATCTTCAAAATAGACCTGTGAGGTAGGTTAGGCTAAATGTAAGTGACTAGTCAGTCATTGAGCTTTTGCTTAAGATGAGGACTAGAGCCTTGCTCTTAGTTTGATGTTCTTAAGTACTGTGCCATGCTGGCTCCAGTATGGTTCGGCTGAAGCCGGCCAAAGGGTAATGCTAAGTTGGTGGCTGACAGCCAGGTATAGCAAGTGGGATTTGATTCAGGGAGTGATGGTATGTGTATGGGGATTTCCTGAAATGTGTAAGGATTACGCACACCTCATTATCTCCGCACATGGTGTGAAGTGCTAGAAATGCTTTACTCTTCACAGCTGCCCAGTATGAGGATGATCTCAAGGTTTGCCATGGAAGGTGCATGTATGGTCTGGCATGAATAAAGATACATGAGAAGCTTGCCATACAATGCACAAAGTGGCAGAATTGGAGAGAAAGGGTGATCTCTCCCTAGGGGTGGCTAGCAAAGGAAATAGCGCATGTGCAATGGGATGAGAGGTTGTTCTTGAGGGATTGGCGTGGAAAATCAGCATGCTTTTTTCTTTCTCTTCTAGGTCTCTGAAGTCCTGGGCAGTGACACAGATGACAACAGGGCGAGTCCCTGAAGAATTGGCAGCATGTGAATGTGTCTTCCTAGCCCGAAGTTTGGAAATGCCCTGACAGAGGGGGAGGGGTGGAATAGAGGGATATGGATGTCCTTGTTCATGTTGGGTTGAAGGTGAGAGAAGGGGGTGGATGCAAACCTCTCCATTCCTGCCTCCCGAGGGAGGGAGGCCATAATGGACCACCTTCAGAAGTGTAGGGGTGTGTGTGTATGTGTGCGTGTGTCTTTTTCAAGGGTCTAAAAGGGAAACTTATTTTTTTACTTTTATATATGTTGTAGAGGTACTATTTTGTCTCGTCTATGGGGTATTGTCTTGTTTTTCCTCTAGTGGAACTGGATAGGTATCTATATGGCAGCTGCTTCCCTCACCACTTTTTTTCTGTTGCAATTTACTGTATATTTGGGGGCGGAGGCAGGGGAGAAAAGAATAAGGACCATACCTTCCCTGTGTTTGTCTGGAGCCATACTCAACTTGGCCTACTCTCCCCGACACCAGATTATGGAGACAATTGGTGGTTGGGCCAAAGATAACTTGCTACATTCCAGGATGCCGGCTTTTAAACAGCATCTGCCTTCCTGCCCTCTGTGGGGTGCTGGGCTGGGTTCCCTCCTGAATTGTAGTGGGACCACAGTCACATTTGGATCATCTCAGAGATTGACATGAAATGTGTTCGTATTTTTTGTATTTTTTTAAAAATAATTTACTGAAATAGTTATGAAACTGTTTTGCTTTTTTATATAAATATATATATATATTTGGTAAAAATCAGGGTCATTTCATAGAAAATTTGGGATCATGACTCTTATTTTGTAGGAGCAGGCAGAGAAGGAAAGTTTTCACAGTTATGTGCCAATATGGTGTCTTGCTTAGTTGGTAAAGACCTCACTGCATAGTGGGGAGAGAAGACAGAGTATCTAGTTCCACCACACTAACAATGTAAGGAACTGCATCAGAAGATGAGTCGGTTAACGCAGAGTTCGTGATCTCACAGCCTTGTTGCTGGGCAACGGAGAAGTGTTTCCTAGTTGGCTGTCACAGCAAATGCCTTCCTTCCTGAAAAAGAAGCAGAAAGTGGGTGTTGGCTGAAAGGCAATGCTTACGGGCTAGGAATGGCCAACCCAAGGAGAATTCCTTGGAACTCTGCCTGGAACCTTCTTTGCTGGGAGAAGAAAAGCTGAACATCTTGAATCTGAATCTGCCTTGAATCTGGTGTCTTGAACCAGAGGCCAAAGCTGAGGACCCTGGACAATACACAGCCAAGTACCTATGCGAATCTCCACAGGCTGCAAGTCCTCAGTGCCTTGAGCAGTACTCTCCTGGTAGAAAGATACGGTGCTAACAATAAAAGGCTCCTCTCCTTCCACAATCACACCACATGACTATCATCTCTGATTTCAGACTGATGTCCTTCTGTATTAAAGAATTCCTCAACAGTAGGAGCCCAGATTGTTTGAGAAAATGGTGACTTAGAACTTCCTCCTTGATCTGCTTGGGGTGTACGTGCGAGCGAGCGAACGAGAGTGAGTGAATGTTAAAGCATATGCCTCCCAGACTAATTGCACATTGCATGGTGTTTATGGCTCCTCTGTTTTAGCTTTGAGGACCTCAAAGCTTTGTATTGGAGATATCAAGGACTGAACTAGTAACTTTTATACAACCAAGCACATCCACTCTGCCCTTATACCATCTAATTTTGCCACCAACCCGACTTCTGCAACACACCCTGTTGTATGTATGTAATGTGGAATCTCTGCCAGGTCCTGGGGGCGAGTGCTGGTCTCCCTCCCCCTCCCCAATTCTCTGCTGTTTGCTTCCTCTGGAAGGACTTATTTGAATAGCTCTCCCTCAGTGTCACAAAGATGTGATGAATTGTTGAGCTTGGATTGTGTCCAGACGACAAGGAAAAGGGTGGAGAACAGGACACTCATGCTTGCTCAGCTCACTCAGAGTTTGTAAAGCCACCTCACCAAAACTCTTGTGATAGCTGAGGCATCAATAACTTGATATGTTAGAACTGGAGTGGCCAATGTGCAGGGAATGGTACTTCCCTTCTGCTTTATCCAACTGGCTATTCAACAGAAAAGGGTTTCAGCTGTGGTTTTCGTATTAGTGGTAGGAAAGTTGCTCATTCTGCACACAAGCAGCAGGAGTCCTTGTCAGCACAGCTTAGCTGAGTGAGGATATTCACCTGCCCGCCCCCCTTGCACCTGAGCTTCTTAAATCTCCATCTCCTAGGAAATGGGCTCATACTGAATTAAGCCCCTTGGTCCATCTAGCTCAGTATTGTGAACGCTGACTGGCAGGACCTCATCCACACTTTCTGTCAGTTTTCCCTAGACTTGGAGAAGCTGGTGACAGAATTCCAGGCTTTCCATATACAAAGCACATGCTCTGTCACTGAGCCAGGGCTTAACTCTCCTGGGACTCTGAACCTGCTCAATGGAATAAGAAAGCTTTTTGCTTCCCTGAGGTGCCTCTGGAAGAAGGCAGAGGCCCTTGAGCAATGGCCACCTCACTGTAATGATTTTCTGCCTTGCCTGTGATCGTCTGAACCTGGAGAAAATAAGTACTTTTCTCCTGCCCAGCATTGTTTGCACTGAGCTGTGCAGAAATCAATCTTGCCTCTCTCCTCCTCAGTTGCTGCCCTTCAGGGAGGGATTAAACATGAAGGTATAGCTGGAAGTTAGCAAATCAGATCTTACTCTGTTCTGACCACAGTGTGGGAATTTTGGTGCCCTCAGCTGACCAGGAACTTGTATTACAGCCCAGGAACCATTCATTCATTTAAAATGATTCTAAATGAAGACAAACTATGACGAGGCTTCTCCAAAGTGGGGCAAGATGCCAGCTGCCGGCTTTCATCTTAGCTGTGACTGCTCCCCATTGCTATCCTCACATCCAAGGTACCATGCTGTTTCTTGCTGCCCACCAACTCCTGGTGCAACCTACATGTGCATAAATAAAACTGCAGACTCGCACACATGAAGCCACACTTTATTCTGAATTCAGTCTGTTTAAAGTAAATGAGTACAGGATGTCCCAGGATGGACATTTGTTTAAAGTTTGTTTTAACTTAGACTGTTTGGGAAACGCCTTCTAAATAGCCTTTTAACAGTTAAACTGCTGATTATGAAGCAAAGTTTAACGAAGCAAGGCTACTCCTCCGCTCAGGCTGTTACACCATGTTCTGATTATAGGCATTCAACAGCCGACAGGGCTGGGAGACTCGTGATGTGCCTCCGGCCTTCGTCCGTCCTGAATGCTCTGACCAGCACGAGGAGTTTGGCAATTGTACCCTGTGTCAGCCCTGCTAGTAGTGGAGCATGTCAGGATTGAGGAGCAGTAACAAAAATGGGTGATACTTGGATTGTCTAGACTAAATAACTTGCCCTCCACCAACCAAACAACAGAGCCAGTGCAAGTCTTCATGGAAGGACCCAGGGGGCCGGTGGACTAGTCAAGAAAGAAGTGGTGGCAGGGAAGGGTTTACTTAATTTCCCTTCCTGCTGCCTATTCTGTCTGTATTGCCCACCTCAAGCTGAAAATACATGGATATTTTACGTCTTTTCTGCTATGGATGAGAAAGCAGTTTGGTGTGCACTTTTGAATATATGCAAACCAAATAGTGAAAGGCTTTAGTAAAAACTTTTCATCCCAGCCCTGTTCATCTACGTTCAATGACAGTCTCAAAGGCTGTTCTTAAGTTTATAAAAACAACCCAAGAGAAAGGAATGCACATGACCTGTAGTTTGGTACGCTAAACAAGCTGGCAAGAACACTTGGCTCACATGTCTGTTGAGGCACTCTTGTCCCTGGGCAGATAAGTCACAGACACGATTAGGCAAAGCTTCAAACACAACTGTCCTGGGTTTACAGGCTTGTAGATTTGATCGGGCCCAGGGTGCACAGCTTGAACAGATGGGACAGTTGATGGGCCCAACCAGAGAGGATGCTTGCTCGCTGAGGTGCTCAGGGTGAACTGAATGGGGCTAAAGAGGCTAGCTTCTCTTTAGGAGAGGTGGTCTTCTCGTCGTTCTTCATATGCAGGCGCAATCCTGGGTCAGGATGTTGGGCACTGTCTCATACTTGAAGGAGTACCCACCATCGGAGGTGGTGCGGACCCTCAGAGAGTGCATGGTGCCTGGCAAAGATGCACAACACAGTTGGAAGTTGGGCATGTGTGTAGGCATGTGGGCTTCTGAACAACTCCCGTGGCAGTAGTAGAACACAAAGCTGCTGGGGTGCACAATCCACTTATCCCAGCCCAGCTCTTCAAAGGAGATATTGAGGGAAGCCCGGTGGCAGTTGGCATGAACATCGGCATTGTCTGAAGGGTGCTGGAGCAAGCTGAAAACAGCTGGTGACCAGGGCACCGAGGACCGCCGGGCCCTGTCACGGCCCTTGGGTTTGGTGGATGCCACAAGGAAGGGTATCTTTTCTGCATTCGCCACACAAGGGCAGTCTGGGCAACGGACTAACAGCACGAATATCTTCTGGCTGATGTAAGGCAAGAAGGAGGTCTCAAAGTGGAAGACAGTCCAGCCCTCGGGAGCAGGCACTGCCATGGTAGCCACGGGGACCCGGCCATGGTGGGAAAGCTTGAGTATTTCCGCCTCTGGCCCGGAGCTGTTGGATACTGCTTCTGAGGGACTGCTGCTGTGCAGTGCCACAGGGCCTGTGTAGAACCACAGCTGGGCTGAAGTCACCACCCGGCTGAGGGTGTGTGTGGATGGCTGGAAGATGTACGTGAAAACTCCTGCCTCTTCTGGAAGCTCATCGGGCTGAGGTGCCCCACAAGGCACATCTGCAAAAAATGGAAAGCATCAGCAATGATTTTGCCAATCGTACACGGGCTACTGCTTTTCCAGACCTGAAAGCTATAAGACCTTGGAAGCAGTAAGGACAAAGACGGTTTCCAAATCTCCCTGGATTTATAATAGCCCCAAGCACTCTCCAATATAGTCCATTTACCTATCTGTCATTTTGCATTCTAATAGCCAGACTTTTCCAAAAAGCATGGTATCTTAATCCTTGAATATACACACCACGACTTGTCCTGTCATGTTTCACTCTCCAGCTTGCAGCCATGGCCTAAAAGACAGTTTTCTTCAACCTAGCAACCTCCATATGCTTTGGACTACAACTCCCAAAATTCCTGAGCCTTGACCATGTTGGGCTGATGGGAACTGAAGTCCCAAACATCTGAAGCTTGATAGCCTGGGGAAAGTTGCTCTAAGATGTTAAAATGAAAGCCTGAAGTTCAACTAGTCCTGAAATCAGTAAGCTTTGAAAACAATCAGCTTCTGTGTGTCTTACTGCTTTCTAGTTTAAGCATTATATTTATGACTGTAGTGAAGCAAGAATTTTTTTATAACACTGGATACCCCTCACTATTCTGAGGTCACCTGCATGCACCTTATCTTGGTACTGGGTGGATATCATCACCACCACCATCCTCACCATAAACACTACTTTCATTTTCAGTTGTGGCAACAATACCCTTGTCCTCCGAATTCTAACATTTGAATATAAAATATGTAAAGTATAATGCAGAATCCTTCAGCCCTCCAAATATATTGGAGTACAGGTCTTAGAGTTTCCAGCAAGCATGGCCATTCAATTAATGGGAGTTGTAGTCCAACACACTTGAATCCTACCCTGTTGTAGAAGGTGGCTATTATACATTCTCTGGGTGAATCTGCAACAGCCCTGCTAGTGGGTGGCTAAGATTTTCCTTTTACCTATCCTATTGAACATCACCAAAGTATTTTGCTCCTGTGATTGCCATTTAATTGGCTGCCTCCAGCCTGCCCAGGATAATACATGTCATCCTACATTATGCCAGTGTGGTGTAGTGGTTAAGAGCGTGGGACTGGGACTCGGACGATCTGGGTTCTGGTCCCCGCTCAGCCATGGAGCCACCTGGTTGACTTTGGGCCACTCACAGACTCTCAGCCCAACCTGCCTCACAGGGTTGTTGTTGTGGGGATAAGATGGAGGAGGAGAGAAGATGTAAGCTGCCTTGAGCCCTTTGTAGGAAAAAGCCAGGATATAAATTGATACATGAATGAATGAATAAATAAATAAATAAATCCTGTCCTCTGCAAGCCTCACTGCATCCTGGAAAATGTCATAGGTACATATCTTTACTTGGGCAAGTCATACAAGATTTGGTCAGGTGTTCTCTTTTATTAGAAGCATTAGCTTTGGTTGTAGGAGAAAGCCAGTGCTCAAGGACTATGCCACACAAGAACCGCAAGTTCTTGTGCTGGTGGAAGTTGCCTCCAATAAAAGATACTGTCTGACTTATTTTTCTTTCTTTCAACATATCAACATCTCTATACTGATATTAAATTGCTCTGGGAGAATTAGTTAAGACTTTTAAAAAAGGGAGAGAGACATTGTTTCCTATACTTCCAGTGAGTCATTTTGCCCCTTCTATGGTATTTTAATTCCCACCACACGTGTGCTCTTTCTACATACCTTTCTTGCACTTCATTTCCCGCACAAGTAGAATTTCCACAAGTTCACTAACCCTGATGGGGGAGAGCCCAGATCTGCCTAAAAATGCTTCCTCAGGCTTCAATTCTATGCACAATTAGCAGGGAGTAAACCAGAATGGCAAGAAGGCTGCCTTCTGGTTATGCACAAGTTTGGACTGCAAGACTGTGGTCCCATTAGAAAGTCCCACTGCAATCTTATGCAGGTTCAGTCAGAACTATAAGCTATTTCAGTCTTCCCCATACTGGCACTTTCCAGATGTTCCTAAAGCAACTCCCATCAGCCTGAGCCAGCATGGCCAATGGTCAGGAATGCTAGGAGATATAGTCCACACCACCTAAGGAGCAGCAACCTGAGTAAGGACACCCTATTGAGTTTTATAAGTCTATAAGTTCTATAATAGCATTGCAGTCTAGGGCAGCAATCATATCTCCACTTGCCTGGGGGCTAAATCACTTTGAACTCAGTGGCGCTGATTTCTGAGTAAACATGTATAGGATTACACAGTTATAAACAAGCCATTGAGAGTTACTAATAAGCATAACTTGAAGTGGGTTGCACATCTGTAAGAAAGCAGAAGATACTGGACTAACCAGGGAGATCCCAGTCATTGTGAAGGGTGGCTCTAAACACCTAGGATTTATGGGCAGCAGCACAGGGTAAATCTGTGTAGCTGTGGGAAGGGAGGATTAGCCACAGAGGAGATACCATGGTGCATGTATGCCTATCAGATATGGGGTGCATTAGTATAAAGCAGTTCCTAGCCCACCCTTTATGCCCTACATTGAATTTAATAATAAAAACAGTGGTAGTGGTGAGGGTGATGATGATAATAATAACATTTATACCTGATCTTTTTTCCTCCAAGGGAACCCAAGAAGGCAGCTTAGCAGCTTACATGAGTCTGTGAGGTAGGTTAGGCTGAGAAGCAGTGACTGGCCCAGAGTCACTGGTCCATGAGCTTCCTCATTGAGTGGGGATTAGAATCTGAATCTCCCAAGACCCCGTCCAACATGCTAACCACTTCACCAAACTGGCTTTCAATTTAATGCAGTGGGTGAAGTCATTAAAATCTCTGCCATAATAAGTCACTTAATTTCTAAGGTGCCAAAGTAGTCTTTTTGGGGGGGGGGGTCCTTAATGCCTCTAGCAATGGGTCCACTTACCTTTCAAAGGGAAGACAATCACTTGGGAGGGGTCCTCTTCTTCCCACCTCTGAGCAACGGACAGGCTCGAGACATGTCGCCTGTGGAGCCCTCTTCTTCGGCCCACCTGAGCCTTTTCACCTGGGGGAACTGGGCCGAGGGACTCCAGGAAATGTGCCTTGACTTTGCCCAGGATGAGCTGTCTGTCCACCTCACCTCTGCTGCAGCCAGCAACAGCAGCAGGTGCCAGCAGCAGGATCAGCATGAAGCTGAGCAGAGGCTGGGTCTGCAAAGAGCACTGAGCCGGCATGTGCAAAGAAATGATGTGCAGGGTGCACAAAACTTCTGCACTTGTTTGTGTATCAGATTGCAGAATGAGTTTTTGTGCCTGAGAGCTGTTTCTGGCCAAGGGTGTGTGTCTGTACATGTGAAAGTCCTGTGTCTCCTACAAGGCGCTCCGGCTCTTCAGTTTTCTATTAGTCTAACCCACCCAGCTCCTCCTGCCTCCCATGCTGAGCCAGACTGGGGCCCAATGGCATTGAGACTGTATCTGACACTGACGCAAATGTCTGCCAGCCATGAATATTATCTCTGGGCAGCAAAACACAGGAGGCGTCTGGAATGCAAGGACAGTGCTGTCCAGGGGACGTGGCCCAAGCAGGTGCTCCAAGAGAAAGAGGCAGTAAGCGTCTGAGGTGGCAGTGGCAGGCAGAGATAGGTGCGACTCTGCCTGCTTTTCCTACCTGAAGATCAGTGTAACTGAGCTGCTAAGCTCTGGGACCTGGTCAGTCTCACCATCCAATCTAGGACTAGCCAGCCATCCAGGAGAGGGGAATATACCCCCTGTGGTCAAATGCAGAATTCTGTGCCTCATGAACCTCCAATACTTGTGAAGCACCACACATATTATGTGTGAGATCAAACCTCTTGTGTTCCACAAGCTGACCCTCCTTGGCTCAGTATTCACAGTCACTAAATGCATTATTTTCTCCAAAAGCAGCTATTAGGATCATTACAGTGGACAAGAATGCGTTAAAAAAGTAGGAGCATTTCACCTTTATACTCTCCCCAAAGGGAGTACTATAGATGGGCTGTATGATGAACTAACTGTGTTTTAGTTAGTTGTGAGTACAATGGCGTGTTTATTAAAAGGCACCAAGGCGCAGCTGAGCCACACGTCTTGTGTTGGTTCTTGCCCCATTCACCCATAATAGGTTCTGGATCGCTTTTCAGAGCTGGCCTTTCTAGATTCTAGCTTGGTTCTTCAGATCCTAAAGAAAATATTGCCATTGCTTCTGCTGCTGTCATCTCTGACCCAGAACAAATGCTAGCCTATAGCCAGCAGAACCCACAAAGCTGCCTTTGCTAAGAATTAGACCATTAGTCTATCAAGCTGATGGCTGGAGAGCCAAATGCCAGCCCTTTCCTGCACTTCCTGTTTGATTACATGAGTGCCATGCCACCTTTCAGCACAGAGCCCTTCACAAATTCACCTGTTCAGCCAGGTGCTTTCTCCTGGTCTCTTCAGTGCCAGAAGCTGTCCATGGCATGAGGCTGTCTCCCTCTGAGACCTTGGGACAAGCAGGAACACTTCTTCAATGCAGCATAAGCTGTATGGTTACTTAAGACTTGATCCAGTGTTAAGCTGGACAGCCGTGACGTTCCCCCGATGCCTCCATGGACACTGTCATTGGAAGTGCTTGCTGAGACATCTTTGACAGCCATTTTACAGAACAAACATGCTCAGGCTTGTCTGAAGCAGTCTCCCATGACTGATGCCCTCCAGGTGTTTTGGACTACATTCCTACCATGGCTGATCAGTGGTCATGCTGCCTGAGTCTGATGGGAATTGACATCCAAAGCATCAGGACAGCACCATTTTGGGGAAGGCTGCTTTGAGCGGACCGTGCTGGTTGAACCAGTCTTGGTTTATAGGGCACCACATGCACTCAACCCAACAGATTCCAGACTGCTTCACATGTCATATTTTCCTACATGAAAAGCACTCTCTTGCAGGACAAATTGTGAAATCCATGCACAGATGATCACTCATGATGATGTAACACATAGGCAAGTTCTTGTATGTGCAAACAAGTGGACTTGGTGCGTCTATGGCGCACTTCAGCCAAAACACTTTGCAAGAATGTTTCAGTAATCCTTATAATGACTAGGCCAATATTAGCTCCCCTGCAGTGCAGCCACTGGAGCGGTGGGTTGGTTAGCAGTTTGTCCATGTCTGCCTGACAAGTTCACATGGCTGAGAGGAACTTTGCAGTAAAGCTTTTCTCACTCACAGAGCTAACTAGCACAAATGTACAAGGGGATGCTGGCCGGGTAGCTGCAGTCAGAGCTCCAGGCTTTGGGAAAACAGCATACCAGTGCCCCCTCCCACACTTCCCTTTTGTTCAGACCACAGCCTGATTTCTTGGAGGGGGCTCCCCAAACCTCTTTGTGCAAAGCGAACGCTATAACTGGCTGCATAGCTACCGCTGCTACTGCTGTTGCTTTACTTCAGCAGCTGCAGGCTGAGCAGCACTTTGCTCCCAGTGGAGTCTGGAATGCGGAGTGCCACTCCACATGCTTTCAAGATGGATGGCCACCTATGACTTAGCAGAGGAATCAGCTGTGGGCCCTTCTGAACCCAGGCAGGTGCCCCCCTGTGCTGACTTCCGTGTAGCTCTGGCCGCTGCAAGTCTTGGTTCAGTCTGTAAGCATGCATGCAACATAATACACCCACGTGTGATTGCCACACAATAATCAACACAGACATTTCAGACTTTCTCCTACCATTATTGTGTCTGCAGCAGTGACTGGAACCAGTCTGACTTTCTGAATGCTTGGTGATGTGTCCTGCAGCTTGCCTTTTAACCCGAGACTTTGGGACTGCAGTCCAAGAACTGAGGGAGAGACTCCAAAGAGTGTAATTTTTCAAGCATGTATCAAAGAATTCAGAACGTACTGCTGCTCAGCACCTGTCAGCTGAGGTTAGATTTCAGTGTACTCTGAAATGAAGCCATGTTCCAAGCAAAACCCGTCATATGGTTTACACAGGCAGCGGTGCATAATGTGGGCTTAACTGGAGAATTGATGCGAATGATCTCTGGATCATAAAGAAAAAAGACCAGGAAACACGCAGGGCTAGGGGTTCTCAAGGGTGGGATGGAGCTGTCCCAGATCCTATCCCACTTGGTTTCTAATTGGGTATCTACCTAGCTCCATGGAGGATACTATATTATATTTTCAGCATATGTAATAGCTAATTCTCTTAGCTTGCCCAATAATACTCATGTTCAAACTGACCACAGGCCATTTGGGATTTGTATCACATACCCCTTCCACCTTAACTAGAAATTCCGGGAGGGTCTTTGTCTTGTCCTATATAGGCTTCAGTTCCTTGTGCTTGGAGTTTATACATTCAACAGATAAAGGGTGATACTTTTCCTGGAGTGTACCACTTTAAAGAACAGGTATTAGAATCACAAATCCAGAAGATATCTCAAAAGGTCATCCATTGTGACCCCTTGCCACTCTAGGAAATAGGCCACTGCAGCATCTTTCCTGGGTGGCCATTCAGTCTTTCCCTAAAAACTTCTTAGGAATGACCAAGGCAGTCTGTTCGAAATTCAAATTCACCCTAAAATCTTTGCATGTAATGTTAGTACATCAAAGAAAGAAGGATTCAGCATAGGAAGCTGTTTTTCACATATGTCAGGCCCCCAGTTGTGTGTGCATGCCTAAATACAGTTAGCTGGGTAGTACCACTGATTTTGCTGCGTAGGCACTTTCCCAAGCTTGGTTCCCTCCAGATATTTTGGACAATAAGTCCCATAATTCCATACCTTTGGCCATTTAGATAGGGCTGATGGGAGCTGAAGTCCAAAATACCTGGAGGTCACTAGGCTGGGGAAGGCTGCTAGGTTAGACAGTGCCTCTTACTTGTTCCTCACTGCAGGATCCATCCACTTTCCCCTTGTTTGTGTGTTACTAGAGAGCTGCCTGATAATGGTTTCCTCATGGGAGAGATTGGAAAATATTCTCTCGGGGAACTGTCAAAGGAAAGTTGCAAATAATCCAAAGTAGTTTGTTGGTTGCTTTTAAAAGGCGCCAGTACTTTTTTGGCTGATAGAGTTTGTAACAAAGACGGTAAATAAAGAATGCCTGTGACCAAATCTGGCAGAAAAAAAAATCTCATAACATTTCAGTACTCACTGAAGCACTGATGACAAGAGAATAATGAGTCTTCTTGTGACCTTCCGCTTCTCTTTTGGCTGATACAGCCTTCTTCTTTGTCACGTCCCTGTTCCATGGTTCGGTGATAAAATACTTTCTAGCACTAGGTCTGCTAGATTCTGCTTCCAGCAACAAGGTTTCAGAGCGCCCTGGCCAAAGCACCCCTCTTCCACTGACGCTCCCCACCTGTCAAGATACCTGGTAGCAGCAGGTAGAGTGGCTGGGGGCTGCTATTGTGATTTCCCACACTTCACTGGGGCAGCTAGACTAGTGCCAGTGCAGGGCACTGGGGAAATGAAGACATGGGCTCGCAGACCCTGCTGTCTGGCGGGGAGGCCTGGGGAAAATACCAAAAGTGTGAGGCCCGCTGGAGCCCTGGTAGTTGTGCTGGCAGTGGGCCTGTCAGCCATGTCAGCTAACCACTGGCATGGTGTGATGGGGAGCAGAACCGCCGACCACTTGGGGGCGCCGTGCGCGGATGCTCCATCCAGCCCGGAGGCCCCTGGGATCCTTTTCTCCTCCCCCTTTCCTTGAGGTGGCCTGTGCCTGAGGCAGCTCCTGGCCGAGGGATGCCTTTGTGCTCCTCCCTGCTGGGCTCTAAACTTAGCCAGGCCCCAGCCCCCGCTTATCAGCCCAGCCATGTCATCAGAGGGTATTTTTGGGGACAGCAGCTGCAGGCATTTGTAACTTTTAGTCGCCTGCTCACAGACGCCTGGCGAGCAGGGCAGGAGGAGGCCAGGGACCCACTGCATGTGAGGGGCAGGGTGTATGCGTCTCTGGGCTCGCTGCAGGGCTGGCAAGGCAGGGAGAGGGATGCCCAGCCTGAGGGACAGAGCCACGAAGAAGAGCAGCTGGCACGTGGATGGACAGATAGGTGGGCGGATGGAAGGACTGATGGAAATTGCCCGACAGGAGGAGGGGAAACAGGAACCGAGCGACAGAGAGGCCGGCTTTTAATGTAGATGCATACAGTGGCTTGAGGCTAGTGAATGCGAAGAGGAAGGCAGGTGGGGCTTCTCAGAGCCTGCTTCTCATCTTGCATACACGGTAAGTGTCCTGTGCGAACGAGAGGAGGACGTGGAGGGAGGCAAAGAAGCTATCCCAGATGGTACTTGTGAGAGGGATGATGGCTTGAAGGATTGCGAAGTGATCCTTATCACTGAGGGACCAAATCAAATGGAAAACTTTGGGTTTTGCTTTGAAGTACCTGAAGAAACAGCAGGGCTAAGAACTGGCTGACCTGAAGAAGCCTTGAGGCCTGAGGGGGTGAAGATACACCAGTATCAACCATCTATCAAAGCTTTTTTCCAGAGGCTTAAAAACTGGTGTGTGTGTGTGGGGGGGGGAGGTGTTCCTGCCATTGGATCAAGTACATTGCAGGGTCCCTTAACCCCTATTCCTTAAGTGTAAGGACTTCCATATGGGAGAATGCAGCGTTTTGAATGAGAAGTGGGGAAAATAGGAGGCTCTCTGGGTGAGCCCATCCTGGAATGTGTTGCTGCCTTTCTTTGTCCCCTTGGGATCTGTAGCAGTGGCAGCCTGTTATCAGGTTCACACTACATGCAGTATGATAGGTTTGGAATGCATGATAGGACAAGCATGCCCAGCTTGTGGCAATCTCAGTTGCATTTTCTGAGTGCTGGCACGGCACTGGGGAAGGAATGCAAGTGACAAAGAACTCAGTGGAAACCCCACCACTGCCAGATGCACATTAAACAGTACAAATTACTGGACATTTGTAATTAATTAGGACATTACTGTTCTTCTCTGCCCCCTCCCACACACAGAGTATCAGGATAATTATACCAACCTACTTTGCAATGAAAGTATTGAAAGCAGTTGAAATGTGCTGGGTAAAGTAATAGTCAACACTTGCATCATTATAGCCACCTTTGTGGACTGGAGGCTCTCTGACTGTTGGGCCACATGGCAGCCACCCTGGCCCAAAACTCTGGGTCTTCCCTACCCCCACTTGTGTCATAGGAGGAATGCAATGTGTACAGTACATGCTACTTCTTCCCAGACCTCTCCTTTGTTGTTGTTGTTAGTTGCGAAGTTGCGTCCAACCCATTGCATCCCCATCTTATCCCTTCGATCTGGCATTTGACCAGGGCTGTCTTGGGGTTTCCAGAGAGAAAGAAGAAGAAAGGCGTTAGTGAGTAGCACATGATAATGGTGAGCTTATCTTCAGTCAAAGTCAGGATCAGAAGGCACAGAACTGAACATTAAAACCAAGTTTCTACCTATGACCTTGGCCCGAAGCCTCTCTGAAGCAGCTGATTAGATACACGCAGTGAGTGAGCTGGATGGGATCCACCTGCCTGGAGAGCATTTGCTGATTTCTTATTTGTACCACTGGATCTATTCAAAATTGTTCAGTACCCTGCCCTACACTAGTATCTTCTGGTCATTAACCTTCAACAGGCCAGTGGGACCTAGCACATTGCGTAAAAAGAGCCAATCTTACTGAAACAGCATTGTGCAAAATTGGAATCTCTGGAAGAGTAATTTCAGTGACACTTATTGTCTCAGGTAGCTCTTTCGTAACCAAATGCATGAGAGTGGTGAGAGTGATGCAGGTTAAATGCCCCTGGACTCCATTTTGCCATGTGATGCCATAGTCATATGCACAATGCAGGGTTTACAGCACCGCTGTGATTCCGCAGAAAGAGGTTTGAATGACAGAATGATAAAAATATGGTCACTGGGAAGTGCTCACATAGCTGTTTCCCTGCATGCCAAACTGAGCACCAATCTGTTTACTCCATGTTCCCTTTTCTTTCCCATTCCAGCTTGGCTGATTGAAGTGAATCATAGCACAAGACTCTTTCCTCGACTTCTAACCCTGCATTTCCCAGCTTCTCTAGCTATCTTTCTTTCTTGTTCTGATTCTTTGCAGGTTCCTGACCTCAGCTGTATCCTGACTTACCCAGTTATGGATGCCTTTGCCGGAGCTCCTCGATTCCTCGCCTACCCACGCACTTCCACAGTGCAAAGTGGTGCCAATGCAGTACTGAAGTGGCAAGTTGCTGGCGAGCCACTTCCCAGCATTGCCTGGGAGAAGGATGGTTCTGAGCTGGAGCTCCCATCAGGCCGGATGTTTGTGGAGGCCAATGGGGATGCATATAGCCTGCTTGTGTCTCAGGCTGGACCAGCTGACAGTGGGCGCTATGTTTGCAAAGCTAAGAACTGTGTGGGTGAAACCTATGCAGCTGCTACTCTCAAAGTGGAGGCAGCAGAGCTGAAACCCAAAGGACAGCTTGACACCCAGCCTCCAGTCTTCCTGAATAAGCCAGTCTCTGCACGGGTGACCCAGGGAGAGGACGTGACTTTCACCTGTAGGGTCTTGGGGCAGCTTGAGTGGGAAAAGGATGGGCGCAAACTGTCAGAGATCTTTGAGAGCAGCCATTACAAAGTGGACATAGAGTCGGGTGACTGGCACTCTCTTCATATCTACAGCACCCGTCTCCCAGATGCGGGTGTCTATGTATGTCGGGCACAAAACAGCTTTGGAGAGACCATGGCTGCAGCAGTGCTCCTAGTGGATTCCGTGCTCTTCGTGCCCCATGATAAATCCCCAAACTGCCATTTCAAGAAACAGCCAGAGGCACAAGATGATAAAAGACGGCAACGTCATCCTGGGCAAAATGTGTTGCCAGAAGCCAGGCAAAATGGAGAAGTGCTCCCCAGCCTACCTACCGCAAAGGTCTTTACTGTGAACGAAGGGAAGCATGCCAAGTTCCGCTGCTACGTCACTGGCAAGCCCAAGCCAGAGATTGTCTGGCAGAAGGATGGGAAGGTGCTCTCTCCTGGAAGGAGGCACCTGCTCTATGAGGACAGGGAGGGCTACTTTATCCTCAAGGTGCTTTATTGCACCGCACGGGATTGTGGGCTTTATGTTTGTACAGCCTGCAACACAGCTGGCCAGACGCTCAGTGCTGTGAAACTCCATGTGAAAGGTACCCATACAAGGGGTGGAAGGGAAATCAAGGAGTAGGTGGGGGAGAGGGATAGTGCTGTTTGTGGGTATCAGGACATCAGGAGTTGAATTGAAGACCTGGCTTCTTTGAGAGGAAGGGTGGTTCTGTGAGAAGGTTTCCATTCACTGAAGTTCCCACCACCCAGTTCTCAGAGGTCTCCCTCCCCCACTCCACAGTTCACCCTGTCCAGCAGGTTCTCTTGCATTGTCATGGGACTGGGGGCTGCCATGGGAAGGAGGAGCAGGGAACTCCACTTCCACCAGTGCTGCTGTTCCTGTACAAATCTACAGTGAATCCATGGTGTGTTGGAGGACAAATCCTGAATAGATCTGGCTACCTGTAAGAAACAGAGTGAAGACTTGATCTATTGGCAGTCACAACTGAATGACAGTGGTGAGAGAATCTGATTACCACAGAGATTAAAGTATGAGAAACAGGACAATCCATTCTGGTAATGGAAAATTAGAGTGGTAAAATGGTTGCTATTTGCAGTAGATTTCAGGATGTCCCTTGCAGCCCAGAATACAGCATAAATTCTAGATTCATGAATCTAGAGAAGTACAGAAGCTTTTTCAGCCTGAGGAGCCTATTCCATTCAGAGAATTCTCAGATGCCACATTCAAGTGTTGGCAGGGCTGAAGGTAAACAGGGTATTAGGCAAAGGGGAGGGAGCCAAAACACAAAAAATACCAGTATAGCTGACATTCAAGCTCTTACTGCCATCACCAGCATTAGGAAAGGCATTTCAACCTTTTAGAATGGGGAGAGAATGTATAAAAGTAAAGAACATCCCAATTACTGGTGGAAGGGGAAAAAGTAGATGGGACCAGGGAAGGAGGAACCCTTGAGGATTCTGTATGGATTGGATCTGGGCCCTGGGTCTGAGGTTCTGAACCCTTGATCTAAAGCTTTCTTCTTGGTTTGTAGATCAAACTATAGCCACCTAAACTTTAATCCACCATTTCCCTAACTGGGAACATGGAGCCAGCCAGTTGCTGCAGGGTGGGAATGTGTGTGGACAGCTTGTTACTTAAATAAGAACCATGGTACAATAAATGAGCACAAGCTTGAGGAGCAGGCAGTTCATTTGTGAAAATAGGATCAGCCCTACAGCCAAAGCATCCTTTCCTGGAAACCAGCAAGCAGGTAGGCACTCCTCTGGCAGGCAGCCTCAGGGCCCTGAAAGGGGGGCTAGGCTGGCACACACAGCCCTGCTCACTGCGGTGCCTGGGTGACCCTTCTGGGACATTCCAAAAGGCCCTGGAAGGAACTCTTGCCAGTGACGGGGCCTGTGAAGCGCAGAGTGCGTTTGGGCTCTCAGCCAGAGGCTGGTCAAGTGCCAAGTGCTGGGCGGGACAGGAAATGTTTTTCCTCCAGGGAGGGAACATGGCATGTGATAGGGGCGCTTGAAGATAATTTCACAGGACACTCTTCCCTCCTGGATCGGGAAGAGCCAGAATCCTTTTCACACGACTAGTGATTGTAGAATAAAAAGATCAGTGTGTGGATTATTGCTACTACATCACATCATTACTATTATATTGCAGTTCTATCACACCTTTTTCCTTGCAAGAGGAAAAGGGATGCAGTATAAATGCAATATAATAATTATGTCTGCTGCTCCTGTCCCTGACAACTACATGTTGATCAAGTCTGGATGGAGTCTTTGTGCATTTGAAAGGGAGGCTCTGGGCAGAAGTATGAATCTACACATGCAAGTTAAGTGGGGCAGGGCCTGAGGCCACGATCCTCCTCTCCATGATCCATCCCTGTGTATTGATCATACTTGTTTTGTTGCATGAAAAGGGCTCATGCTGGAACAGAGAACTGAATAAAAGGGAGACTGCTGACTAGATCAGTAAGGCCTATTTCTCTCAAATAGCAGATGTGGAGATAAATACTGTTGGACTATACAGACTGTAGATATAGATAGTGTGCCTGCAAGTTCCTCTGCATTAAATACACCTTACATGTGTAACACCTGAAACATTCTTGCCTAACTTTTGCCCCAGATTGAGGTTAGTATGTGCAATAAATTTCCCCCACAAAAAAATAAAAAATGGAGGACCATTTGGTCCTGTGATCTCCCACCTGCACAATCAAAAGTGGTAGGGTCTACAAACACTTGCAACTGCTTTATCTGTTGTTTGTGTGAACTAGGCCTCAGTCTCTGGAAGCGTGTTGTTCCAGGAAGGGCTTGCATCAGGGTCAACAAATAGCCAGGACTTCGTCGGCCCTGGAGACCTGGCTATGCAAGGGCCTACCTGCTCTTGCAGTGTTGCCTCTGTAGAAGCAGGGATGTCATCTCTTGTTGCTGCAGCTCTGGGCCTTCTTGGACAGGAATGCCTTCTCAAAGTAATGTATACACCAGAGTAGCTGGAGAGCAACAGAAGAAGGATGGGGTTGGTTAAAATGGAGCCAACAGCTCTGCTCAGAAAAGGAAATTGTTCTCCAAAGTCGATGTGACATTTTATAGGTGGGTCCACTAGGCTTCCTCCTCCAGGAGAAAAGATAATTGCTTGGCTGAGAGCAGAAGACATGCATTTTTGAAGAGGATTCAGAAGAGAGCAAGGGAACTGATAAAGTTTATGGAATGTTGCTGAGCCGAGTCAGAGAAGAGGAAGTCTTGTTGAGGCCAGAGAAGAGAATCTGGGGGTTGGGGGGGGGGGCAGGAATGGCTGTGTGATAACAGCCTTCAGTTATATGTCAAAGGCTGCTCTTAGTAAGAAGGGAACCAACTGTTATCTGAACTTACTGAGGGTCAGGCAAGAGGAGAAATGGGCTTTAGCTGAAAAGGGAGATTAAATACCAGGAAGATTTTTCTGTCCATAAGAATAGCCATGCAATGGAACATGTTACCCAGAGAGTCTGGAGCGCTTACATTCATTGGAACTTTTTAAAAATAGGCAAAACATCTGTCATCATGACGGGAGCCTGAGTGGATAAAGGATGGAAAGAAAAATTCCATTAGGAAAAACACTGAGAAAAAGATGGCTGATTGTTTGATCTAGCTTGATCGTTGTTGTTTCTGTTGTTACATGATCTCAAATTGTTTCTAACTTATGGTGACCCTATGAGTTAATGCCCTCCAAAATTTCCTGTCCTTGACAGACTTGCTAAACTCTTGTGAACTCAAGAGTGTGGCTTCCTTTATGCATTCAATCCATCTCATAGTTGGTCTTCCACTTCTTATGTCTTTGACTTACCCTAGCATTACTTCTGCAGTGACTCTTGCCTTCTCTTGATCTGCCTGAAGTAAAACACCTTCCATTTGGCCGTGTTTGCTTCCACAGAAAGTTCTGGCGTAATTTTTCTAGGCCCCACTGTTTTTCTTTCAGTCTTTCACAAAGCTCTTGTCCAGTACCATGTTTCAAATGCATACATTTTCTTCCTGTCAGCTTTCTTTACTGCCCAGTTTTCATATCTATATATAGCGATTGGGAATACAAGAGCCTGGATTATTCTGCACTGAAACGTCTTTACCCTTTTTTATCTTTTCTAGTTCCTTCATTGCAGTGCTTCCAGGTCTCCATCTTTTTCTAATTTCTTGGCTCCAGTCTTTGACTGAATTGATGATTGAGTCAAAGTATGCAAAATCTTTCATCATTTTGATTTCTTCATTATAGACATTAAAGTTGTGTAATTCTTCTGTAATCATGATTTTTTTCCTTAATGTTCTGCTTCAGTTCTGCTTTTGCATTTTCTTCTTTCACTTTAATCAGGTGTTGTTTCAATTCATTGCTGCTTTCTGCTATTAATATGTATCATCTGCATATATCCAGGCATTGCTATATCTTTGGCCAATTTTCTCGTCTTCCTCTGTTCCTAATCTGGCTTTGGTTATGATGTGCTTATGCTTATGCACACTGATGGAAGAATGTGGAGACAAAATACTTGCATGACACCTTTTCTTACAGGAAACCAATCTGTTTCTTCATATTCTATCCTTATAGGTTACATGTCAGGTTAAAAAGGTGCTGAGGCATACCCATTTCTTTTAGGACCATTCATTGCATCTTATGATTCATTCAGTCAAAGACTTTGCTGATCTTCTTCTGAAATTCTTTGGTGTGCATATTTGCAATATGATTTCGAGTGCATCTTCAGGATCCAGCTCGAATGTCAGCAGTTTTTTACTCCATATTCTTTGTTGCTAACATTTTGAGCATCACTTTGTTTGCATAGAAAATTAATGCAACATTCCTATAGTTGCTGCATTTCTTTTCTCCTTTTTTGGGGTTTGAAACATAAATTGACATTCTCAACCTGTGGGTCATTGTTTCGTTTTCCATATTTGTTGGCATATTTTTGTTAGAATTTGTACTGAAACAGTACCTGTACCTTGGAATAGTTCTGTGGGAACCTTGTTTACTTTTGAGTGCTTTGTTCCTTCCAATTGTTTTCTGAGCAGGTTTCACTTCAATTTTGTAATGTTGCAGGTTGTTCTTCAAAGGATTTCTTTTTGCAGGAGTCTGTCATTCTTTTATCTCTTCTGTATAGTGCTTTGTATATTGTTCCCACCTTATCTTTATGTTATCTTGGTCAGTATGTTCTCCTGTTGTTCTTTCATCCTTTGCAATCTAGGCTTGAATTTCCCTTTGATTTCTTGGATCTTCTGGAAGAGGTCTCTTGTTTTTCCTTTTTTGTTATTCTATTCCTTTGCACTGGCTATTGTAGTAGTTCTCTTTGCTTCTGCATGATGGTTGCTGAAAATCTGCATTCAAGGTTCTGACCCTGATTGAGGCTGGGATAAACCATCTTAGAAAGGGCAAGTATCATCCTTTATAGAGGGCAAGCCTCTGTTTGAAGGACTGTCAGAGGACTGAGCTCTATTTGATGGCTTTCAAGTTTAAATATGATGAATTATCAGAAGGAACAGCAGATCTGGGGCCTTGAACAAACTGAACAAACAATTGAGCAGACACACAAGTCACCTGGTCATAGTCTTCCCGATCATTATGGTGATATATACATGACACCTTGACTTTTGATTTACATTATGTCATTATTTCTAAATTTGCATCTGTGCATCTATGCAATATATGCAGCTGTCAGGGAAATCCATGTCTTCTTATGCTCTTTTTTGTGCTGCCTAAGTAGCCAACAGATGGAGGGACTGCATAGGCAGAGGAAACCACCTGGCCGAAAATGATCTATTAAGATATCGAAAAGGATGCTGTCCAACAGAATAGGGATTATTTAAAGTCTGGGCTAGGTAAAGCGGAGATGAGTCAGTAAAATTGTTTCAAGATTGGATGAACGTCTTCTCTCCTTTCTTCCTGACAAATGAAGTGGTACAGTCCAGAATAGTTTTACCAATTTGTGTGCTGTCTCTGTCGGCCAGGCCCCAAATCTGTTTTCTAAAGTAAAGCTGAGCCTTTAAAGCATGAGAGACATCTTGAAAATTCTTGTGGTTATCCCTCTTAGAGAGATGAAAAGAGGCTCATTCAGGGCTTAATCTGTGCCACCCCTGCCACCTGCTTTCAGTGTCAGCTCTCTCAATTCTAGCACAAACAAAGGAATAGGAGACGAAACTGTTGACAAGCTGGGCACAAAGTACATTGGTCTTACCACTGAGTGGTCTTACAACTTACTTCTGAAGTTAGAGAGTCCCCATACGTTGGGGACGAAGCAGGAGTGCTTTCAGATCCAAGGATATTTTATCTTCCAGAAAGGCTTGAAGCTGGCGTCTCTTTTTCTAGAAATTTAAGTACTAGGCTCAGCTGTGCCATCTCAGCTACACCCACCTGTTCTTACCAGAGTCATTTGCCATGGTTGTTTCCCACAATTCCGTTTTCCTTTGGTGTTCCCTTGGGTGGTTGTTGTGTTGGTGGCAGGTGTCCCTTACACTCATCTCCAAAGAGTTGACAGAAAGGGGTCTGAGTGCTATAGATACCACATGCCACCCACTTAGCACTCTGCCACCTCTCAGAATAACCCCAGGAAGGAGAATTGAGTTGCTCTTTCTTCTTCTGCCTCCCCTTAAGCAGACAAAGGGAGCACAAGTATCTGAATTTTCCTTGATAAATTTCCTTGATAAATTTCTTGAAAACAATTGAGCTAAACCTTTACGTTCATGTGCCTCCTTTTCGGTTTGATGGCAAAACATTCTAGAAAAAATGTGGGAGGGAAAGATTGCTAAAGTGTTTGTTAAAACAATTGTGTTAAACTCTTGCTTTCATATTCCCCTTTTTTAGTTTGATGACTAAACTTTGCAGGAAGAATGTGGACAGGGGAGATTGCTACATTCCCTAGTTGTTAACAATCCCCTTATGCATTCATAAACTAAGCGCTCTAGTAGTCATTGAAGCCTGTGTCTGAGTTACTGATAAGTCCTTGTGGCTAACCCCACAGAGTTTGAGTGAGGGTTCAATAAGGAGGGCTTCTATTCTATTTCATAGTCAAAGACATCGTGTAGTGATTCCCTTTCTATTTTCTTGATTTGTTCCTGGTATGAAAATGAAATAAAATAAAAGATGGGGAAGCATGAGAGGACTACAAATCAAGACAATGACACCTGGAAGCTCCAACATTCCAAAATTATTCTGAAGGAGGTTGATTATACAAGCAGTGCCTTATCTGGGAGCACTCCAGTTTCTTTACACTTTGTCATAATGCACGAGGGTGTGGGTAAATGTGTACCAGGAAAACTGAGGGAGTGCTCAGCTCATAGTCCTCCCATGCCTCAGGAAGAAGAATCACATGGAAACCTCTGGTGTGCAGATGTATGAGGGGCGTTCAATGTATTCTCGGTAACGGGTTGATTTGCTATTGATGTGGGTAATTTAATTATTTCATTAGCTAATAACACTATCTGAGGATATACATGCAAAATTTCAAATAAGTGGGAACATTAGTTCCCTAGTAATCCTCAGTGAAAGATGACCATAATGACTGATGCGACAATGTTGAAGAAAACCGAGCAAGTCGCTGTGATTAAGTTCCTTACAAAACAAGGAAAAAGTCAAAAAATCATTCACGAAGAGATGGTAGCCATTTACCAGGACTCTGCACCTTCATTATCTACTGTTCAAAAGTGGTCAAGTGAATTTAAAAGGGGCAGAGAAAGCATTGAAGACAACCCTTGTTCGGGCAGACCAGTTACTGCCACTACGAAAGAAAATGTGAAAAAAATTGAGAAACTTGTATTGGAAGATGCCCGAATAAAAATCAAAATGTTAGCAGAGATGACAAACCTATCTGTTGGTACCATATTTACTATTTTTCATGACCATCTTAACCTTTCCAAGGTCTGTGCAAGATGGGTGCCGCGAATGCTCATGGCACCTCAGAAACAAGTGCGAGTCGAGTGCTGTAGGGAGTTTTTAGAGCTCTGTGGTGAAGATCCATCGAATATTTTTGACCGGATTGTTACTAAAGATGAAACTTGGGTTCATCACTATGACCCTGAAAGTAAGCAGGAGTCCATGCAGTGGCATAAAAAGGGTGCTGACCCTCTAAAGAAATTCAAAGTTACTCCATCTGCCAGAAAAATCATGGCCATAGTGTTTTGGGACTCAAAGGGAATTTTATTGATCGAGTACATGAAAAAAAGTGAAACCATAAATGCAGCATCTTATGCAACCACTCTGCGTAATTTAAGAGAAACAAAGAAAAAAGGCAGGGAAAACTGACCGCAGGTGTGTTGCTTCTTCACGACAACGTGCCCATTCACACAGCACGTGTTTCGAAGGCTGCTGTGCGAGACTGTGGTTTCAAAGAAATAAACCTCCCACCCTATAGCCCGGACCTGGCCCCCAGTGACTACTACCTATGCCCGAATTTAAAAAAAAGATCTTTGTGGAAAGCAATTTTCCGATGATGAAGAGCTCAAGGCGGCAATTAATGCACATTTTTTAGACAAGGAGGAAGGGTATTTTTTACAGGGAACTGAACAGTTAAGTGTATTGAAGTTGTGGGGGATTACATTGAAAAATAAAAATTATTTCCATTTGTTATTCCTTTTTCTTCATGCTGATACCGAGAATACATTCAATGCCTACTTGTTAGCTAAAGTGAGCCTGTATAAACAGACAGGAAGAAACTACCATGGGTGGTAAGAGAAAGCCTGAGGAAGTCTGAGGACTAAGGCAGGAGGTTTGTGGTAACAACCAAGGAATGGGAAGCTTGTGAGGGAGAATAGTGACATTCTGCTGAGTCCCAGAAACTTGACCCTCTTTTTCTAGGTACTTCTAGATTTAGGGGTCCTAGCCTTGCTAATCAGAAGGCATTCTGCAAGCATTCTGTCTTTTCCTTGATAATGGATTTTCTGCTGTAAGGAAAGAGATGGAAGAAGTGGTGAGAAAACAGAAGAGGGTTATAAGTGAAAAACATCAATGTCTGGAGCCCCCATGGAATTCCATGAGGCAGGGCAATTTGGATAGTAAAGACCTTATCTGCAAGCACCCTTGCTAGGCTCAGGTTTTCACACAGAGACAAGTGCTTCTCTGATTCTTTCTCACAGAGCCCCGACTCTGCTTCCAAGCACCTTTGGTGGATGTGGAAGTGTTGGAACGCCAGGATGCGGTATTGGAATGCCAAGTGCCTCTAGAGAACATCCCTACAGTGTGGTATCTTGAAGACAAGCGTCTACAGCCCAGTCCCAAGTACCTGATTGAGGAGCAGGGCCTGCTGCGGCGGCTGACAGTGAGAGACGCCCGGACAGATGATGATGGCATCTACCTGTGTGAGATGGAGGGTAAAGGACGCAGTGTTGGGGAGCTCTCAGTGCAAGGTGAGGAGAATTTGGAGTCTTCTTTGGTGTGGGGGCTGTGACAGGGTCATTTTAATGACAATTGTGTTATGTTGTGGTTCTTTGCATGGTAACCATCTAAATCCTTTCTCTCAGGCCTGATAGTAAAGCGGTTGCCTCGAAAGCTGGATGTAATGGAAGGGGAGAATGCTGCCTTCTATGTGGAGACCCGGGAACCGGTGGAAGTGTCAAGTTGGGACCGTAATGGGCAAGAACTGGTGGAGGCACCTCACACTCTCATCAGAAGCTTTGGTAAAACCCATCTTCTGGTCCTGGTGCATGTGTCACGACACGATGCTGGAGTCATCACTTTCATGGCGGGCGAGTCGCAAACTTCAGCACAGCTCCGGGTTAAATGTGAGTGGAGTGTGGAGATGGGACTGCTTGCGTAGGAGGGGAAATCTAACTAGCCATAAATCCATTACAACTGGCCTTTGGTATGAACTTTAGCCACAAAACCAGCCCCTCACTGGGCTGGGAAGATAAACCTTATTTATCTCATCCCTCACCCTGAACTGAATTAGAATGGCTACTCCACAGAAGGGAGGTTTACTGCATCCACTTCTAAAATCCCAGAGTCAAGCCAGAGATCCCTGATGCAGCACTTCAGTTAGTAGGCCAGGCTTAGAATAAGTACTGATACAAACCTCAAGGAATCAGTTCAGGCTTGTGTAGTACTGTATTGTTCCAGGTGGACAAACCAATACGAGTATTTTAATTTTATCTAACCTATTTTCATTGCCCTTTGGCACCTAATTTATGTTATTATTTATTCAATTGGTATCATTTTCCCAAGAAAACAGTACTCAAGGCAGCTAAGAATCATAAAAACATTTACCCTTTCCACTGTCGTTAAAAGCAAAAACATAACAAGTACATTAGAAACACAGATAAAAACACACACCAAAATGACAAAATAAAAATAGCACTCAACCCAACAGATAATGTTACATGCTGAAGGCCTGCTTGAACAGATACCTATTTGTCTTGTGGTGGAATGACAGAGAGAGGGAGCCCACCTGACCTCTCTTGGCCGGGAGTTCCAAAGTGTGGAAGCAGCCACTGAGAGAGCCCTTCTTGTGTTCCCGCCAAATGTGCCTCCCAGGGCAGAGGTACCAAAGAAAGGCCCCTCTCAAAGATCTTAAAACTAAGCAAGCACAAATTAGAGTAGGCGGTCTTTCAGGTGGCCCAGTTTCAAACCATATAGAGCTTTAAGTGTCACAACCAGCCCTTTGAACTGTGCTTGGAAACAGACCACTCACTCACCAGTGAAGCTGTTGTAACAAAGGAGTCATTTGTTCCCTATAACTGGCCTCCATTAACTGTCTGGCTGCAGCACTCTGTTCTAGCTGAAGCTTTTGAATAGTTTTCAAAGTCAGCCCTGTGTAGAACATATTATGGTAGCCGAGAGGGCCTGCTACTGAGGCACGTATGCCCATGGCCAGATCAGACGTCTCTAGGCATGGGTGCACCTGTGGTTGTCCCTAGTCTCACTACTCCAAACTGAGAATGGCAAATGCAGATTTTGGCTGCCTTTAAATCAACCAGCTGTTCCCAGTTGCATCGCGCTTTAGCTAACAACCTTGAGACCACCACTAGCCTTTACATTGCCTGATTTTGTCAGATAGCTGCCTGATGTAGGTGATTGATTTAATCCCATTTTCCCTGGCCTGGTGCCTCTACACACTTTAAACATTAACTTTCATCAGCTTCAGCCAGCATAGTTTATGGTCAGGCGTACCAGCAATTGTGGTTCAAAACATCTGGAAAGCACTAGGTTGGAAAAAGCTGATACAATCCATGCTTGGAAGGCCTGTGTAAGTAGTTTTCAGTATTTGGAATCAAGAGTGATTATCATTCATTCAGTTAATATATGTATTAGTGCTGAGTTTGAAGATTACTAAGTCATAGCTGTGGGCTCAGTTTCCATGAATCATCATCCCCTGCACTTTTCTTTTTCTCTGGAACAAAAATTCATTCAGGGAGATAACATTCTCAAGAAAATCCTCCCACTGTGCTTGCAACAGTTGAAATGTATATTTTTCTTGCATGGAGTCAAGAAATTGAATTGATATTTGAGGTGATTGCACTTTAAAAATCCATCTGATAGACTTGAGCTCTATGTTTTCTTAAAACTGCACCTCAAATTGGAGATTCACTCATATGTTTTGGAAAGTTTTAAATTCAAAAAGTTAGACTCTTAGCATTTTGTCAAATTTCTTTGTCAAATGTCACTACTTTTCTCTGTCCTGCTTCTGTTTTTTTCTGTGTCCTCCTTTATCTATTTTCCTTTGAGAGCCTTTCGGAGGCAAGGCTTGTTCTCTGTCTCTCTAGATACCAAAACAAGTGTCAAAATGCTATAGAATGTAATGACATAAAGGAAGGGAACGGGGGGGGGGGGGGGTCAGAATCTGCAAAACTACCAACTAGCTACTTTATGAGTACAGCTGAAATCTATGAATAACTCTGGATAAAAAAAAATCTTGAACTTAAAATGTCTCTGGAACAAAATTAATCACTTGTAGAAGATGTGCTGCCAGCAGATGTCTTTGTTTTCCATTTTTGCTGCTGTCCAACAATTTTTAAACTTCCTGCTCCCTGAAGTACACCCAGTTGTATGTCTCTCTCCCTTCTTGGTTTGTTTAGTTATGCAAAAGTAGTCTCAGAGGCAGCAATTGATAATGGAGGATTTGGGGGTGAGAAGGAGGAAGGGCTGTTCAAAATGGTATCCTGAAGCTGCTTTCCCATCCAAATGGTTGGGGAGTGAGTGAGAAAGGCTTGATTGTTTCCCCTCTTGTACTATTGAACGGCACTTCAGAACTACCCAACTCTGTCTTACCTCAGGGCCTGCAATTAACATTCACCCAAAGCTCCTAAGAAACCAAACATACACAAAAAATGCATCCATTGACCTTGTCTGTTCCATCATCTGTACACTCAACCCAGAGATTTAGCTGACTACAGTAATTTGCTGTACACACGTTGCCTGGAATCAAGGACAGGCTGACTGGTGGTCACTTTGTAGAGGTGTATTCCTCGACTTCGTTTTGTCCGTGGAGGTCCGGTGGCCCTTTTGTCAGCTCAAGCTGGTGTGTCAGCTGTAGCCTGTTCATGACCTGATCACATATGGGATTGACTTGTGTAATGCACTGGATGTGGGGCTTCCTCTGAGCACTGCTCAGAGACACCAGTTATTCCAAGTACAGGTGCCAGGCTGTTGAATGGGACTAGCTGGTCTGAGGTGAATGAAATGCTTTGTTTTCTCCAGGTGCCAAGAGGATCCCTCCAAGTGCCCCTGTGGCAGTGAGGATGTGCACGGCACGCAGTAACGCTGCCCTCCTGACTTGGTGTCCACCCCCTGATGTGCACCGTAGCCCCCCGAGCAGCTACATCCTCGAGAGGCAGACTGTGGGAGAGGCTGAGTGGGTGCCTTGCCTCACGACTGATGTTGCCAGCATGGTCGAAGTGCCAGGGGACAGTGTGCCCCAAGAGGCCGACTACCGCTTCCGTGTGTGTTCTGCCAATCAGTATGGGTGCAGTGAGCATGTGGAGTTCCCGGGCTCTGTGCATCTTGGTAAGTTTGTCTTTGCTCAAGCGTGGGCATCTCACACAACTCTGTTTTCTCATTGCTCAACTGCGGGGCATTTCCCTTTCTTCTTTCACGGAAATTTCTGCGTGCCTCTGCTGCTGGAAAACTGCCTTCCACTGTGTGAGAATGCTCATGCAAACTTTCTTGGGCCTTGGTGATCCACATGCCTGCTAAATTACCCCTATCCTTGGGAGTGAAGGAACCCCACCCTGCTCAGATTCCTCATAGGAAGGCCTGATTTTGCCAGGATTTCTCTTTCATTAACTACCCAGTATCTGTGCTATCACTGTGTGCTTCCTTCCAGCGTCGCAGTCTGCTTTAGAAGCTGTTTTTAGGACTTGGGCTCAACCTTACATAGCAAAATAGTAGATTTGAGAGTTCCTCTGAGCTTATGGACTTTAATGGACTATGGGACCCCTATCCTCTTCCCCTCTCTGCCCTGAGCTACCTTATAGCTAACAAGTGACAGGTCTCTTGACTCCCCATCCCTGAGGCCTTCTCCCTTAGCCCAGATGATAACAGCCAGCCCAGCAGTAAAGCAAACAACAAGATAAAGCAAGCAGCTACAGCAGGAGAGGAGGGGGGAGGGACATTGGAAGCCACATTGGAGGTAAGTAGGAGCCATCAGCAGCCCTTGGGCATTGCAGTGAATAAGGCTGTACTAACACCCACTTCACCAACAGAGTAGACATGTCTACCTTTTGAACCTTTTTATTTTCCCAATGTTTTAAGAGCTGGATATTTTAATTGGGGTTTTGTTATTAGCTAAATTTTAGGAAGCTGTGTTTTATTTTTATTTTTTTAACATTTTGTATTGTTAAACTGTCCCGAGACTGCAGTAATGGGACAGTCTGCACAAATAAATACATACATACATACATACATACATACATACCAAGCAAGAGAATGAAAACTGATAAACCAACAAAGGAAAGCAGATGGCTTATGGTACTAGCCTGTCTACCCATGACTGTTTTTTTTTTTTTAATTTATACTTTCCACATACATTCAGACTGCTGAGTGCCTTCCATTACTTTCCCCCCACAACCTGAACTACATCTCTGTGGTTTGTCTGTGTGTGTGCGTGCATATGCATCCATATTTCACCCATTTTAGGCTGACTTCTTCAACCTCTGCTTGTTGTTATAGTCTCCAGGGCCCGTGTACAAAGGGGACTACAAGATGTTACAGTTCATGTTGGGGAGGATGCTACTTTCTCAGTGCAGCTTTCAGCCATCACATGTGGTTGCTGGTTCTTGAATGGGAAGAGGCTGGAGGAGGAGGAGGAGGAGGAAGGCCAGCAGTACCAGATCACACACAATGGAGTGGATCATGCTTTGAAGATCAGAGGTGTGCAGCTAACAGCCAGTGGGTCTGAAGTGAGATTTGAGGCCAATGGTGTGAAGGAAGGTGCTGTACTGCATGTAACAGGTGAGTACTTGGTTGGAAGTTTGCAGCAGGCCAGATCTTAGCCTACCTACAGTAACTACATGCAGGCCATCATCCCATGAGAACAGTGATCTGGCCGTAGCACTGAGCAAGCCATAGTTTTCTTTTGTGCAGGCAAGAAAGCCTACGGAGTGGCTGAAGATTTAGATCCTAAAAATGGTGTAGGGGTAAAGGCCTAAACACCTCCCATACTTTCCTGCCCCAGTGGTGTTCCTCAAGTCACAATTGGAGCTCCTCACAACAGCTTTAAAGTTCTACCCGAAAGTGTCAGAAGATCTGATCATGAATTTTCTTCCTCATGTGAGGTCTGCCCCTCCATGCTACCAACTGTTATTTCCAATAAGGTGTCTGCAGGTGGAATCCTTTTAGCTGAAAGTGACACCTGAAACTCCTGATCCCTCCAGACATTGCCATTTGCTGTCTTTGAAACCTCATTTGCTCTGTTGCAGTTGTTTAACTGGAACCGTCTTTGTTCATTTTGAATCTCTGTGATTTGCCTTCATCTTTGCAAAGACCAAAGCAAAACTGGCAAGAGCCAGTTTTGCTGAACCCAGATCAGCATTTATCTAGTAGGCAAGGTGTCCTCCCGCTTGCAACGTAATTGCAGCCGATCTAAAACTGCAACCACTTTCAAACATGTTATCACGCCAAGATAGTTACCAATGTGTTCGTCATGCCTGACCTTGCAGATACGTTGTGCACTGTTTTACTGGTGTTTTTGGTCGCTGTCACCATTGCTGTGTCCACAGCAGCAGCAGCAGCACATGGGCATGGAATTAATGTTTTGTCACTTGTGTTTGTCCAGCCCCGAAGGTACATATCACCCCAGTGCCTGAGGCCAGGCGCTCCCGAGCACTTCTGGCTGGGATGCCTCTGCTCCTGGAGTGTGAGGTCTCTATACCTGATGCTCCTGTCTGTTGGTTCAAAGAAGGGAATCCTGTGGCCCTGGATGGTGGTGGCCTGGTGGTCCAGTCTGAAGGCTACATGCGCAAGCTCTTAATCTCCTCAGTCTGCTCTTCAGACTCTGGGATGTATACATGTGATGCAGGAGATGATTCCATCAGCTTCATGGTTACTGTGGATGGTGAGCAAAGGGAAAGGGTGTTGGTGTATGTAAGGGAAGGCTGTGATACAAGTGCAGGGTTGCTTAAGAGTACTAGTGTCAGGAAGAAACTATGGGAAGCTTAACCAGCCTTAAAAGAAAGGCTTAAAATAAAACTGCAACCCTTTAATAAATCATAAGTGTTGGGTCTCTATTCACTTGAAGGCTGAATTCCATTTTGAAAAGCTGTTGGAGGCTGCATTCCAGTGGTAGGTGGGGCCAAAGGCGAAAGAGGTGGGGCCGAAGGCAAAAAGACATAGGCAAGCGCAAAGAATGCTTGTATATTTTAGCTTTAAGCCCTTATTGCCAATTACTGAGCCTCGGGAGAGGTATTGCAGCATTTTAGAACTGGGTGCAGTGAAACTGTGGAAAAGCTAGATCAGGGCAAGTAGCTGGATCAAGGAAAGGGAACATGGTCTTCTGGGGAATCCCAGAGAGTTGAATTTGGACCCCAGGCCTTAGGTTCTGCAACCCCACTTTAAAAGAAAGGTGTCTCTTAGGAGCATCTGGCAGCTTTCAGCAGGAGCCTTGAAGTTTCTGCCATTCAGTGCCAGCAGTAGTTGAGCTTGTAAGGCAATCCTTTCCCTCCCCACTGGAATATTACAAATGGTCTTCATTTTCCCTCTGTTCCATCTTATGAATTTTGGCTGTATTTTCTTCCATCCACCATTACTGAATTTCTTCACCATTGCAGAACCACCTCTGCAGGTTGTCCACTCCAATGCTGAAGAGGCCCATGCCTACCAGGTCTCGGAGCGTGTGATGCTGTCCTGTGAACTGTCCCACCCTGGGGTTCCTGTGCATTGGTACAAGGATGGGGAGGCAGTGGAGGAAAGTGAGGCCCTCCTGCTGGAGAGCGAGGGGCCCCACCACCGTCTGGTCATTCCCTCAGCACAGGCGCAAGATGCAGGGGAGTTTGTTTGTGACATAGGCAGAGATTCCATCTTCTTCAACGTCACTGTTACAGGTTAGTAATTTCCCCAGATAAAGTCCCACCATTCTAAATATACTGTAATGCTTCAGAGATGCTACACAGGAAACTTTTACTGTGCAATCATGATTCCTTATGGAAATTTGCAGGGTCTTTCCATAATGTTATTGCACTCCAGGATCTCTCCCTCCTATTTGTGTGGGGTTTTTTTTTAAAGAGTCAGGAAAGCTTGTAAAATTCAAATCACAACAAACCAAAACAAAAGCCAGTGTGTTGTCTCAGTTCTGTGGCTATACCTCAGTGCTACCTTGTGATTGTTTAGTAGAATATATAGAAAGGTAAGGAAATGCAAGCTCCAGGAAAAAAAACCCTTGTAAAGGACACACATTTCCTCCCACAATGAGAAGAAACCTCAGAAAAGCAGCAGGTTAAGCCCCTTATGTAGAAAAGACTTTGGTCTTTATATCAGGGGCACTGCCTCCTCCAGCCCAAAGACTGAATTCTATTTTGGAAAAGGACTTGGGGATCATATTCCAGTGGTGGGCAAGTCTGAAGGCAAAAGGTATGAAGTCTAAATATTAGCATTTTGTAGCTTAAAACTCTAACTGTCAATATCTAAGCCTTGGGAGAGGTATTTTAGCTTTTCAGAATGGATAAAAACCTCCGCAAAAGCCAGGAAACCAAATGCTTGGGGGAAAGGGGATAGGGCTATCTAGGAAACCCTAGAGGGCAGGATTGGGATCCTAGACAGGCTAGATTTGGTCCATGGTCTGAAGTTCAATGCCCCTCATTAAAGCTCAGAACAAAATAGCTTTGCTAGACCAGTACCTGCTCTGCATAGATGTTCTTGTTCTCATGCCCTTGTTCTTGCTCAGCTGATGGCGGGGGGGGGGGGAGACAATGACATTTGTGGTACTTTAAAGAATAAATTTATGTCAACATAGGAATTTGTAGGGTAGAGCCAACTTCATCAAGCCAAACACATATATAGGAAGTGGGTATTTTCCTTTCTGGTTTTGATTTCTGATGCAATAGACTCTGCTCTACAAAGTCTCATGACAATTTGCCTGTTTTTAGGTTGCTTCAAGTGAGGATTGCTTCTTTGGGAGTTGCATTTGTGCCACCACATTTCAGTCATCCAAAGTGGTACCTGAGACTTAAAAGGTTGTGGGATGCTTCCAGACAGAGGGGTCTTGGTGCTAATGATCTAAAGCTACTGTGCAGTTTTTCTGTCTTTCTCTGTTTAATGTAGGCTGGGAAACTTGTGGCCCTCCAGATATGTTGGCCTATGGCTTCCATCAGCCAGCATAGCCAACAGTGAGGGATGATGAGAATTGTAGCCCTCTAGATGTTTTGTCCTATAAGTTTCCCAAACTTGTCTTAATAGATTTTCTACAGTAGGAAAAAAAGATGGAAGAATGGAAAGGTAAGGAGGGGAAAAACATTACTATCTGGAACTTCCCCTTCTCACCCCCCATAACGTTCCTTGAACAAGGCAGGGCAGTGGCATCATAAAAGCCTTGTCTGGAAGCACCCTCCAAATGCTAAGCTTTTAAAAGCAAAAATTAAACAGACATCCCTCTGTCTGCTGGAATTTAATTCTTCCAGTTGTGCAATTAGCTTTCCAGAGATATATTTTTAAAGCCTATTTCCCCCCGCCAGCATTATGTCTCACTTTTTTGGAATAAGAAAAGAAACTTGCTCAACCGCATTTTTGGCCTGAAGGCTTAGGAATGCAGCTTGAGTGAAGTGTCAGCTGCAAATGCCTTAAAGGCTTCTTTCAAAGGAAGCTTGGTTTTGTTCTGTTTAGGGGGAAGCAGGTACAGATTCTTAATCAAAGAGAAGGAAAATACTGGAGGCTAAACAAATGTTCAAAAGCAAGGCAGGTCAGGGTAAGGCAGAGTGTGACTAAACTGCATTTAGACTTTCTTATACCTTGCTGATGCCATGTGAGTCACTCTGAAAACTAAGGTATGAGAGGAGATCCATGGTCACAGGGTGCTTGACTTGGTACTTTGGGTTTAAATCTTTCCTCAGGCACAAATTCAATTGCCTGCGGTTTGTTGTTGGGTTAGCTCTGCATTGTTTAATCCATGAACAAACCAGAGATTCTGGATTTCAACAAGGTGTTCCTGAGTTGTCAGTTGAAATTGAGATGGCTCATGCCCTCCACTTGTCCCAGCAATTCTTGGATTAAACAACCTGCCATGGAATTGCAGCTATGATGTGTGAACTAGGTCTTTGTCTTGACTAGGGTACATGTTTCTTCCTCAGACTCTGTATCTCATTTTGTAAAATAGAACTGTTAATGACCTCCCCATAACACTTCTGATGATAAATGAAGTCAGGATTCTAAGGCTACAAGTCAATGGCCATGATAGCTAGGAATTATGGAAGCTGCATTCCAACACATCTGGAGGGCACCAGGTTGGTGAAGGCTGTCCTATAGCCATGACAGACAGTAATATACAGCCTCAGGATTATTATTTAAAATTCTATAGAATATTATGTATGTGACATATTTTATGGTGTTTATCTCAGCCTTACAACAACAGTGGGAGGAAGGAAGATGGCCACATGCAAAAGTCTCCTGCATCTCTAACAGTTGCCTAGAAGAGAGTAGGTGGAGCCTGCGCAATAAGCTACACCTGTGAAAATTTGCTTTTCTATATTAGGTTTAAAGGTGCAGGAGGCCTGGCCAAAGAATTGAGCTTCATGGAAAAGCTCATTGTATTTGCAGTCAGTTTTCCATTTTGAAGGTGCAACACACACTGACTGTGTTCAACAACCCATGGCAGGAATGGCTTGTCATTATGTGTGAATTCAGTAAGCATGGTGAAGCATGGCACATTTGGTTACTTTGCATCCCCATGGAGAATCAATGGTCTGTCCTCTTCTGTCTAGCAATTGCTGAAGAAGCTGCAGCCGCTCTCTGGTTGACTGCTTGGTGCAGCTTTTCCCCTCTGTTTGCCTGCTGCATTCCCAATGCCCAGCCACAGCTCTGGAATAGCAGCAGCAGGGCATCACGCAGCAGCATCTCCAGCAAGAGGGACCTTGGAGATAGGTGTACTTTGCTCTCCTGTCTGGTTGCTGTACTTTGCTGCAGCAGCAGCAGGCTGAAATGGTTGCATGCACGTTCTACTTGGGGAGCCAGCATGCGCCTCTTTGTGAAGACAGCTTTGCATGAGAGGAGAATGCCTGCTGTGCATGGGCATAGCCATCAGGGTGATCATCCTGAGAAGCCGAGGTCTCCTGCTCCCTCTCTTGCTCTCCCTGCTGCTCCTACCTTGTCCCTAAGGATTCTCAGCACCATGCTATCCCCCGTGCAGGTCACAGCTCTGCAACAAGCACTTTCCCTCTAGCCAGCCAGAAAGATTTCCCAGGCAGATGCCCACACCTGCTCCCTTAGGAACATCTCCCCACAGGATGCGTTCCCTCCATCCCTGGCATGCATGCCTGTACAGATTCCCTCAGGGTGCTGGGAAAGGTGGCCCCTGGAAGTGCACGTGAGTTTTGCACATGGGTGTGTATGGCGTGGACTCAGGTGCTGTAGAGGTGGGTGGGTGTGCTTGCATGTTGGTACAGAGGAAGGCAGCAGCACAGAATGCTCTTGTAGTGTTGCTCTAGAACAACAGTGCTGCTCTAGTGGGTAGGCAGTAGCTTCACAGAACAGCAGAATGCCCCAAAATGTGACTTATGAGAACATGGCCAAGAGAGCATGTGGGCCATTGGGGGGCAGGCAGGCAGGGCAGGCAGGAGCAGAGCACACTGGGGTCGATTCCTGGTTGCACAGGCTGATGTGATACATGCCCCACTTGGAGGGTAGATGGTGGCATGTGGAAACTGCTCATGAGTAGTAACCTCATGAAGGTATGAATATAGGACACAAGGTAAGAAAAGTAACTCTGTGGTTTTGCTTAGCATAGCATTTTTATCATTTGTAAGCTGCCCAGGGAACCTTTGGGTTATGAGGCAGCATAGAACTGGAATGGAAATAAATAAATCTGAACAGCCCCACTGTGGCAGGAGGAAAGCCTTCACAGCGCATGTCTTTGCCTCACAGAACCTCCAGTAAGTGTGCTACGCTCCAATGCCGAGGAGGCCCATGCCTACCGTGTGTCAGAACGTGTAGTCCTGGCCTGTGAGCTGTCCCGCCCCGGTGTTCCTGTGCGCTGGTACAAGAATGGGGAAGAGATCAGCGAAAGCAATGGCTTCCTGCTGGAGAGTGAGGGTGCACACCACCGGCTGGTCATCGCCTCTGCACAGACCCACCATGCAGGAGAATTTGTGTGCGATGCCGGGGGTGACTCTGCCTTCTTCAACATCACCGTCACGGGTAAGAGAGGAACTTCTTCCCCGTTTTGTATTTATTGCTGTTTAGAACCTTTATATCCAACATTTCTGAGAGCAGAGTTCGTAATGTTTTTAGAATCTCCCATCCAGGTTTGGATCATGTCAAGACCTGCTTATTTTCAACAGGTTTTCTGCATCATGTGTCTTTAGACCAAGTCCAGAGACCTTTGAAGCACTATCTCCCTCCAACAACTGACAGTGAAAAATATGCTTCCTTTAAGTTAGTTTTCCACCCCTACCCCTCCTCCTTATTTTCTGTAGTGCTTGGATTTCAGATATCTTTATCACATTCACTGTGCCAATGAAACATCTGTGATTCCAGCAGCTGCTAAAGGAAAGTATACATCCTATTGGTGCAGGGTAATAGTCAGAACTCAGCTGAATCTCTACTCCTACCAAACATGTGATGATCTAGGCAATCATTTTTACTTTTCTTTTTTTTGGATTAAAATTAGAGGCACAAGTCACTTTTTAATGCCCTAGAAGCTTTACTTACAATGTTGTATGTGAACAAGATTTATGCAGCTTCTGTGAAGCTTAACTCCTGTGTTTAAGTCTGACACAGTTGTGAATGTGCAGCCAGAGTAAAAGGAAGTCTGACCAGGACCCTACACAGAAGCAGCAGGGAGCCCTCTGTGGGGACTCCACCATTTCTCTGCATGACTGAGCCATCTGGTCACCCCTGATGCAGAGATGTGGCAGAGTAACTCAGCACAGTGGAGGCTGATTGGGAGGAGGCAAGGCTTAGGAGTGAACCATGTGGAGAGTAGTATGCAGCCTCTGCTGTGGGTAGGCAGTTTGGACAGACAGGAGCCATTTATCACTGAATTAAGTTTTTCTGTATGGGGTGTAGTACACCCCAGCAACGCACACATGTACACACATCCCCAAGTACAACAGTGGCTTGGTCCAGTTGGAAACATTGGAAGCTGCCTTATCTTGAGTCAGCCCATTGACTTCCATAGCACACTATTGTTTCTGTTGCCTGAGGGCCTCTCTTTAGGCCCCAGAGTCTAAGGTTTCTGACAGAAATCTTTCTGACTCTGCCTGGAGATTAAAATGGAGACATTCTCCATTCAAAGCAGGTGCTCTGCCATGAAGCTGTGGCTCTTTCCCAATGTTTGATTCATCTTTCCTGTCGCAGAGCCGCCTGCGCAGGTTGTTTATTCCAATGCAGATGAAGCCCATGCCTATCAGACCTCAGAGCGTGTGGTATTGGTCTGTGAGCTGTCCCGCCCTACTGCTCCTGTGCGCTGGTACAAAGATGGGGATGAAGTAGAAGAGAGCGAGAGTCTTCTGCTAGAGCATGAAGGTTCCCGCCACCAGCTGGTCATTGCCTCAGCCCGGATGCAAGACACAGGAGAGTTTGTGTGTGACATAGGCAGCGACTCAGTTGTTTTCAAAATTACTGTCACAGGTCAGTGGCCTCTCCTATTTTGTTTTATTTTTTTTAAGTCACTGGTGTTTGTCAGATAAGGCTGGAAAGAATGTCATGTTTCTGGAATTCAGGACAAGATGAGTATTTTGTAAGCCTTGTTTGACTTGGCTTGGCCAGTGCAAGTAAGCTGATTCGGACCCCAGGGCTGGGCCCTTTTCCAGGCCATTAATGAACATGTCTGAGCAGGGTCCAGCAGGGAACATCTTATTTACTTCTCTCCTTAGTATTACAGTTTCATTCATTGTCCTCCTTTTCCTCATCCAAGGAACCCGAGGTGGCTTACATGACCCTCCTGCTCTTCATTTTATACTCACAACAACTCTGAGGAAAGTTTGGCTGAGACTGTGACTGGCCCAAAGTCAATCAGTGAGCTTCATGGCTGAGTGGGGACCAAAACCTGGATCTGGGTGTGTGCTCTCTGAAAAACACATTGAGTGGCAATCTTTTCCTCAGATTGAAAAAGCTTCCTTGCCCCTGGCCTAGACCAGTGGTGGCGAACCTATGGCACGCGTGCCGCAGTGGGCATGCAGAGCCCTCTCTGTTGGCACACAAGCCAGGTCACCCAGAATCGCCCTAGCAGCTGAGCATCAGGTAACAGCACACATAGGGGCCATGCGCTTGCTCGGAAAGGAGTAGTGGCACCAGGTGATGACATCATGAGCCGCGACTCATTAACTGTGACCTGTCCAAGCTTTTGCATGGCCGGTCAGTGCACTGCAAAGGACGTGTATATATATATATTTGCTTGGACTGGCTGTGAGTTGTTTTTTCTAAACTAAAACCTCAGTATTCAAGTTTTACTGCAGAGTTGGCACTTTGCGATAAATAAGTAGGTTTTGGGTTGCAGTTTGGACACTCAGTCTCTAAAAGTCTCACTGGCCTAGACCTTTGGAAGGTTTCCCGTACTGCACCCCAATCTGTACACAGATGTCTCATAAACATTCTTTAGGGTTTTTTTTTTTTGATCCTTCAGGGGTTCACTTGGACTTATCAGAAAGCCCATCTACCTTCAAGCAACACTTGGGTTCTAATGCATCTATTTCCCTGGAATAGGCAGTAGAACCTGTCATTTATTTATTTACTGCAAATGGCTGCTCACTGCATGCAGCATCTACTCAGCACTGGAATGCTGGGAGGAAAACCAGGCCCTACCCTTCTATTGTGGACTCCTCATCCAAGCCCGAGGTTAAGGGCCTGCAAGGCATAGCTCAGCCTTCCCCAGCCTGGTGCCCTCTTGATGTTTTGGACCATACTTTCCAGCATTCCTGACCATTGGCCATGCTTGCTGGGGCAGATGGAAGTTGAAGTCCAATGCATCCAGAAGCCACCAGGTTGGGGAAAGCTGCCTCAGATGGTTGCATTTTGTTTTTGTGTAGGTTTTTCAATGGAGAAGAAGCAACTGTTTCATAAGCCTGTTTTCTACTGGTCCCCACTGATAGAATGACTTTTCTGGCCACAGAACCTCCTGTACGGGTGCTGCACTCCAGCGCAGAGGAAGACCATACCTACCAGGCTGGAGAACGTGTGGTGCTGTCCTGTGAGCTGTCTCGCCCTGGGGTCCCCGTGCACTGGTACAAGGATGGGGAAGAGGTGGAGGAAAGCGAGGGCCTCCTGCTGGAGAGCGAGGGCTTCAAGCACCAGCTGGTCATTCCGTCAGCACAGGTGCAAGATTCTGGGGAATTTGTGTGCGATGCAGGTGGTGATTCCGTGTTCTTCAACATCACTGTCACAGGTCAGAAAATCAATCAGTCAGTTAATTGATATTGCCAGAGGGGTATTCCCCTCCCTCCTAGCACATGCACTTCTTTCTTTCTGCAGTGTATACCTTGCTGCTTCAAATACCCCACTGGGGTATTTGGTCACTTCCCTTCAGGAGGGGCATGTAATGGCAATGCTGGCCAGGTTACTGGCACATCTCATTTTGGGCTGTGTTATTCTTGATAGGATAACAGGATAGGAAGTTGGCAGATCATTGCTCGAAGGAAGTTCATGCTCAAGGGAACAGTGATTGTGATATCCACCTCTTCTGGTGGTCAAATATATGCTGACTCTGAACACAGACCTTTGAGCTGTTCTGGCCAGTAGGCCAATCTCTCCTCCCTGCGTTTACAAAAATGTTTATGTGAGCTGTCGTCACAACATCTGTGTCAACGAGAACCGTACACTGATTACGCATTGTGCAAAGGAGTTCTCTCTTTTGTTTTTCTTAAACCTCTTGCTGTGTATCAGCTTCAGTGGCTGATCCTGTCCTTTTGTGTTTTTTGAAGGCGTGAATAATATTTTGCTTTAATATTTCCTTGTTTCACTCCCATGCTCCCACACAGCACTCCTCCACATTTAAGATTGCCATTATGTATTGAGACTTCCTGTCCCCTTACTTTTGCTATTATGTTCTGGTCTGCTGCTTTTCACATAAGCTACAAAAAGTGAGAACCTATATAACAGCAGTTTGCAGAAGGCAGACCTCCAGACTTTTGGATCAGTGGTAAGGAATGCTAGAAGGTGAAGGCAAAACATCTGGAGATCTACTTCATGTACAAACACTACCTGCTATTCTGTTCTGAAAATCTACTGCTGATTCCTGATGTTCCTTGTTCTCTGTCTCTCTCCCCGCCGCTTCCCCCACCCTCATCTTTCACTCCATGGCACTGCAGAGCCACCTGTGCAGATTGTGCACTCCAATGCAGATATGGCCCATACTTACCAGGCTTCAGACCGTGTGGTGCTCTTCTGCGAGTTGTCCCGTCCCAGTGCTCCTGTCTGCTGGTACAAGGATGGGGAGGAACTAGAGGAAGGTGAAGGGTTACTTTTCGAGAGTGAAGGGTCCCACCGGCGGCTCATCCTTTCCTCAGCACGGGTGCAAGACACAGGCGAATTTGTGTGTGACACAGGCAGTGACTCGGCCTTCTTCGTTGTTACTATTGCAGGTCAGCGATGTCTAATAGCATCTTCCTTAGGGTTGTTTGCTTAGCCATTTTAGTAAATTTAGTAGATTTGTTTGCTTAGATTCCCCCTTGAAGCCTAGTGTGGAGCCACTGTCAGTCCCAACAGAGTAACCAGGACTGGGCTAGTTGGGCAGAGAGGCTGGCCAGGGGTAAGGCGGCTTTGCTCCTAGACTTAATCTCTGTCAGGACAGCCCTTGCAGAAGGAATCAGATTTGTATTCACACCCCATAATCTGCACAGTGCCTCACTGTGCCGGGCCACTCCCCATCTTCTTTGCTGATGAATATTACTGTGGTACCAGAGTGCTGGGCACAGTTTGCACCCTGGCAGGAATAAAGTCAGCATGGGCCTTTCCAATGTCACATGCTGATAAAGAACTCTTCTTTCTCACATAGGAAGCTGCTACTTCAGGTCAGACCATGGGTCTGTTTAGCCAAGTATTGTCTACAGAAGGCTTCCTCAACCTGGTGCCCTCCAGATGCATTGAACTATCATTCCTACCATCCCCACCCAACCTGGCTGTGGGTGCTGGGAGCTGTAGTCCAAGACATCAGGAGGGTAATAGGGCTATACTGAGATAATAGCTCTCCAGGCACAAGTCTTTCCAGGGTATAACTGAAGATGCATGGTTGAACTTGGGACTTTTTATATGCCAAGCATGTACTGTGCTGCTGACCTACTGTTTAATTAATTAATGCACTTTTTCCTCATCCTTAGCCAAAATTGGTTCCTGGAACACCTTATAATCGGTCATCTTAAAAGGCAGTCCCTGTTTGCAGGTTTATAATGTAGAAAGGCATGGTGAAGGAAAAAGGCGTGGTGAAGGAAGAGGAAAAAATTGAGTAGGCTTTCAGGAGGGCTAATGGCTCACCCTGTTTTCCCTCCCATCTCCCAGCAGTGGACAGGCCCTGATGGTGAACACAAATCTGATTGCCTGCTCCCATCTCCCTCACTTCTTCAGTTGCTTAGAGCTAAAGATGGTAGATAAGAAGTGCTGCAACAACTACATTTTTGAAGATACAACTTGTAGAGTTACATTTAGATATCTTTCAGTTGCTTATGTCTTTGAAATGGTGGTTGGTTGGTGGGGAAGGAGAGTTTAACTCTGGTTCCACCCCCCATGAGTCATCCAAGAGTCTGAGAGACAGCTGAAGATATTTAAATGATATTTACTGAGAAGTTTAAATGAAAGCACAATGTGTAATTGAATATATATTGAAAGACAAAGATATGCCCATGAGCAAATTAAATCAGGAAACCCTGAAAATAGCTAAAAACAATACTGTGTGTATATATTGTATTTCCAACCCTGTCTGTGTGGGCTCAGAATGGGTTACAAGATACCCAGATGCCTTTAGGACTGAGCAGCAACATGACCTTCCCATCCCCTAGTCTGACCTTTATTTAACGCACAATGTGGATCCTGTGCCACACAACATATTTATGTCTCAGGCTTTATTGGGCAGGCAGCGGGGGCGGGGCGGGAGGAGGCTGCAGAAGCCGTGAGTCTCTCCAGAGCTGACTCACAGGAGCCAAGTCTGATGCATTTTGATGCTTCCTATCTTAAGAATAGGAACTACAGGTGGCGCTGAAGGCCGATACTTCGCTTTGCAGCATGCTAGCCTCCCAGTTAGAAATTATGTAAAACAAAAGCTCTTTAGAAAGGAATAAAAATCAAGAAGTGTGGGGAGCCTTATGAGGTGTCCACAGGCTCTGTGTCGGAGACCCCAGGCATAGGCGATGAAGGCTGCAAGCTGTATTTACCTGCTGAATTCAAGGTGTTCAAACCTTGGTTGTTCTGGCAGCAAAGGCAGTGAAGCATTCTCACTCTTCCTTTTGGCTCCCAAGATCATTACAGAAGTGTATCTCCTCCAGTTTCTTAGCCCTCTGGTCCTTCAAACTGGGGGAAGGTTCCATAGCTCAGAGGACAGAGCACCTGCTTGGTGTGCAAAAGGTTCAACCTCTGGCATCACCAAGTGCTGGGGGGTGGGGGTGGGGTGGAAAAAATATTGCCTGAAACCCGGGAGGACAGTCTGGTCAGTTCTGACAATACTGGGATAGATGGACTGACTTAGTACAAGGCCTGTGCTCCTATGCCTGGGGGCAATTCTTCTTGCAGCTTCGATGGGCTGGGAGTGGGGTGGTGGCCAGTGAGTTCGAAGGACAGACACCTCCAAGTGTACCACCTCTGGGACTGAAGGGGAGCAGAGGGCAGGCTGGCTGTTATCTTCACTTCAGATCCCAAATTGCTCTCTGTTTCCAGGCTGATGTCGTGCGCCTGAAATGGCTTGTGAACCCAGTAGGGATGGGGGAGACAACTTGGCCCTCCCATGGAGTTCCCTGGGATACCTGTGGTAGGACCAGGGAAGGGGAGGGGAGGGCCGGGAATCTCTGGTGATTCTGACAAATGAAAGTCTGGGTTGGCCACATGACCACCAACTCACCATGGCTTATTGGCAGGCTGGGCTAGCATGATGTGTGAATGCATCCATTGAAAACTAAAGCTTGAAGGAAGGATCCGGTAAGGTTTTTGTAGAAGTCCCTGTCCTTTCAAAGAGAGCAAAATGTCCAGTCTGTCAGATAATCTGTTGGACTTCCTGACCCATTTACCATGTTCAGAAAAGCAATTTGAAATCTTGAATAAATTCTGGATACCATGTGTACCTGACAACATGGTGGATCCCTATGAGAGCTCACCCTCCTTGTAAGTTATTGGATGGGTTTGGGCAAACTTTGCAAACTTTAGCAGGGCTACAGTAGAGCACTGATGGATGATGTCTTGCTTTTCCAAGCTGCCCACGTTCCTCGGACTCTCTGCAATTTTCCATGGTTTATTTATTTATTTATTTATAACATTTCTATGCCGCACCCATTGCAGAAGCTTCGGGGCGGCTCACAAGGAAAATAAATAAACATAGAATAGAACAACATTAAAAATATGGAGAATCTCGCCCATAATTTAAAACCAATAAATAACAACAACCAATTAATAATTAAAATATCATTTAAATAAAAAGGTCTTGGCCTGGCGCTGAAAAACAAATAAGGACAGCACCAGGCGGACCACTCTGGGGAGCGCATTCCACAGGTGGGGCGCCACCGCAGAGAAGGCCCTCCTCCTGGTACTCACCCTACTAATATCCTTCACAGAGGGCTCCCGGAGAAGGGCCTCGTCCGCCGATCTCAGGGGGCGGAAGGGCATATATGGACACAAGCGCTCCTTTAGATAACCAGGTCCCAAGCCATTGAGGGCTTTATAGGTGATAACCAACACCTTGAATTGGGCCCGGACTTCAATGGGGAGCCAGTGAAGCTGACAGAGAACTGGGGTTATATGAAAACAACACCCAGTCCCCGTCAGCAACCTGGCAGCTCTATTTTGCACCAATTGAAGTATCCAGACCATCTTCAAGGGCAACCCCACGTAGAGCGCATTACAGAAATCTAATCGGGAAGTTACCAATGCATGTGTCACAGTCACCAGGCAGTCATTCTCCAGGTAGGGACACAGATGATGGATCAGCCGAAGCTGAAGGAAAGCGCTCCTTGCTACTGCTGTTACTTGAGCTTCTAATGACAGCTCTGGGTCGAGGAGCACTCCCAAGCTGCAGACCCTGTCCCTAAGAGGGAGTGCAACCCCATTCAGGACAAGGTCCAGGTCCCCCATCCCGAAACTTGACCCACCTACCAACAGGACCTCTGTCTTGTCTGGACTGAGCCTCAGTTTATTGGCCCTCATCCAGCCCATTACCTCGGCCAGGCACTGGTTCAGTACAACCACCGCCTCACCTGGATTAGTTGAAAACGAGAGGTAGAGCTGGGTATCATCAGCGTACTGATGATTCCGCAGCCCACACCTCCTAATGACCTCTCCCAGCGGTTTCATGTAGATGTTGAATAGCAAGGGGGACAAAATGGACCCCTGCAGAACTCCATGGCATAGCTGCCATGGCGCAGAGCCACAGTCCCCCAGCACCACCTTCTGGAATCGGGCATTGAGATAGCAGCGGAACCACTGCAAAGCAGTGCCTCCAACTCCCAATCCCGCTAGCCTATCCAGAAGGATACCATGGTCGATGGTATCGAAAGCCACTGAGAGGTCCAGGAGAACCAACAGGGACGCACTCCCCCTGTCTCTCTCCCTGCACAGGTCATCCTACAGGGTGACCAAGGCAGATTCAGTACCGTACCCAGGTCTGAAGCTGGACTGAAATGGGTCCAGATAATCAGTTTCATCCAAGAGTGCTTGGAGTTGTCCTGCCACCACCCACTCTAACACCTGGCCCAAGAACGGGATGTTGGCCACCGGTCTATAATTGGCGGCCTCCTCTGGATCCAGGGATGCCTTCTTTAGGACTGGCTGGACTTCCGCCTCCTTTAAAGGGGCAGGTACCCGGCCGTCCCTTAGAGAGGCATTAACAACTTCCAGGGTCCAGGTCCCAATCCCGTCCTTGGCTTTCTTGAATAGCCAAGATGGGCAAGGGTCCAGTAAGCAGGTGGTAGGACATGCTTGTCCAAGCACCTTGTCCATATCATCAGGCCACAACAACTGAAACTCATCCATCAATTGTGGACCAGACGGTAACATTGGCACCTCCCCAGTAGAATCTGATTCGCCAGTAGAGTCCAGCTCGTGATGAATCTGAGCAATTTTCTCCCTGAAATGCTTGGCGAAGTCGTCACAGCGGACCTTCGAGGGTGGCACGAGATCTTTCTTTGGGCCCGGATGTACCAGCCCCTGTACCACCCGAAAGAGCTCCGCCGGACGGCATTGTGAGGAGGCAATGGAAGCGGAAAAGAATTTCTTCTTCGCCGCCCTCACCACCACAGCATAGGCCCGATAATGGGCTCTCAAGTGTGTTCAGTCGGATTCATCCCGTGATTTCCTCCACCTACACTCTAGACGTCTCCCAACCTGCTTCATCGCCCGTAATTCAGGTGTATACCAAGGGGATGAATGGGCTCTGCCAGGTGGGAAAGGACGCTTAGGAGTGATCGTGTCAATAGCCCTGGTCATTTCCCCATTCCATAGTTCGACCAAGGCATCGACAGGAGCACCAGTCTTATCAACTAGGAAATCCCCCAGGGCCTTCAGGAACCCATCCGGATCCATCCGGCTCCTGGGGCGGGCCAGCACAATCGGGTCCGCACCCTTACAGAGGGAAAGGCCGCTCTTGAGCTCAAACCTCACAAGGAAGTGATCTGACCATGACGGGGGTGTCAGACATAAGTTCCTCACCCTCAGATCACCCTCTTCCTGCCCCATCGAGAAAACCAGGTCCAGAGTATGTCCACATTCATGGGTCGGGCCAGTTACGTGTTGAGACAGCCCCATGGTCGCCATGGTGGCCGTGAAGTCCTGAGCCGCCCTGGTCAGAACCGTCTCGGCGTGGAGATTGAAGTCCCTCAGGACCAACATCCTGGGAGTCTTCAACACCAGGTCCGAGACGATCTCCATCAGCTCAGGCAGGGAGTCTGTTGGGCAGAAGGGTGCACGGTACACCAACAGAATCCCCAATTTGTCTTGTTTGCCCAACACCAACTAGAGGCACTCTAGACCTGGCCTCAAGAGGACAGGAAGCCCCGTGAGGGAATTTTTTTTTGACATTATATACACACGTACACCTGCATATAGAATATTTATAATAAATAGATGTGGTAAACAACCAATGTCTATAATTAACACTAAAAGGAAAATCTAATATAATGGTAAAAGCAAAACATTTCCCAGTGGGTGACCAAGTCTGAGAAGAGAATTACAACTCCCTTAAAAGTTACTGTAGTTGGTTTTAAATTGAATTACCTTCTGCATACTCCTCTGAATATCAATCCTTCATTCAATACCTATTCAATTACATATTGTGCTTTCATTTTAACTTCTCAGTAAAGTTAATTCAAACTTCTTCACTTGTCTGTTGGATTCATGTGTTCTCCAATAAGCTCCTCACAAGGGAACTGAGATCAGCTCTGGATCCTTTCCAAGACACAATTCACAGAACTCTCTTGGTTCAACATTACAAATTGCTGTAACTTGAGACACATCCCACTCAGCTGCACCTCTGGCCTAAGCTCAGCCCCTTGAGAGAGAGGAAAGAGAGAAAAGAGGACAAGAGCAATGCACAGGCCTCACTTCCTGCTCTCAGTTGAAAACCCCCTTTGGGAAGCAGAACCTTCATGCAGGTCGGGGAATTGCTCTTGCCCCACATCTCTGGAAAAAAGCTTCTGCCTACTATGGGTTGCCATCCAGTTAGAAACAGGAGGTATCAATCCAAGGGTGCAGGGACTGCATGGGATCCCATGGAGGGCTCACCAGTTAGCATGTGTCAGGGCTGTTTTGAAGTCTGGGAAACAGTAATAGAAAAATAATGTGCCTCTGAGCATGGGCAGCTTGTGTTTTCCTCAGAGCAGAGCAATTGCAGCCAGGCTCACACATTTGGATAGAGACTTGCAGAACAAATAGGTTGGGGCCCAACACTTCCCTTTCAGAAACAAACTCCTTTCTATATTTCTGTATTGCAAGGGTGGGGGACTTGTGGGCCAACAGTTGTGGTTGGATGCCAGCTCCCATGTGCCCCACCCAGCATGGCCAATGCTCTGATAATGGGAGGTATAGTCCAACATCCAGATTCCCTGTCCCTCCTATATAGTGTCGGAGAAGTTGCTGCAAATGGAGGGAAGAAGTTTTATCTCATAGCATTTATAAACCTACTCATGTCTTTTACGCTTTGTAGCAGAAGGTCCAAGGTGCTTCTTCCATTCACATTGCCTCTCTTCAGCTCCCAAGGTACACATCAGTCCAGTGCCAGAGGCCCAGCGCCTCCAGACAATCCTAGCTGGGATGCCTCTCCTCCTGGAGTGTGAGGTCTCTGCCTCAGATGCCCCTGTCCAGTGGCTCCAGGATGGAGAGCCTGTGTCCTTGGAGGATGGCCACCTCACTGTCCAAGCTGAGGGCTGCATTAGGAGGCTGCAGATCCATTCAGCCTGCCCCCTGAATTCTGGGACATACACATGCAAGACAGCTGATGACTCTGTAGCTTTTGCTGTGACTGTGGATGGTAAGTAGAATATGCAAGAGCAAAGCCCTAGACTAGTCTTCTTCAACCAGGTGCCTTCTGTATGGGCTGGACAACGATCCCCACCATCCTGCAGCCTCCACAGGGAATGGCCATGGGTGAGAGTTGTAACCCAGCACATCTGGGAGACAGCAGGTTGGGGAAGGCTGTACTGACCCTAGCGGACTGCTTCAGGCTGAGGGGCAGCATCTCAGAACTGCAGCCCAGTCTTTTGCCTCCGTCCTTTTCTTAGGACCTGGATCAGGTCGTTTGCTTGAGACTCACCTTGTGTCTGCCCCTTTCTTTTCTCCTATTACCCCCAACTTGTTTTCTTGTAAATGATCCCCAAGAGCCCCACTTCTTGAGTTGTGCAGCTACTTCCACCTCAGGAAAAAGGGGCATAGCATGGCATGACATTCACATATGCTGATTTATATGTGTAGATTCAAATGTAGAAATAACTAATTTAAATAGAAATACAGTGCACATTGCTATAATTGGGAAGAGTGTGACCCGGTGACTTGTGTGCCTGCTCCCTCTGCTGTCTGTTGATGGGCAACTTCCAGGCCCCTGCTGCCTTCTGATGATTTTTGGCATTTAAACCTTAGAATCCTTAAATTGAGAATGCGTTCAAACAGAGGTTGTCCTCTGTAAAGGCAGACATGTGGTCACTATGCAGCTGTTAGCAGCAGCCTTGGTAGCACTCTAAAATGGCACACGTACACTGCAAGCACTAGGATCTCTTTGTTGTTACATTGGCCTTGTGCTTTTCCACCTCTAAGGCATTACTGGAAGCTGACAGTTTAACAATGTGCCCTCTCCTTCTCTGCCCAAAGCTAGTGAATTGCAGGGCCTCCTTCCATCTCTCCACCTGGCTCAAGCTGGAAAGGATGCACTGTGTGTGCTTTGTGTGTTTGTTCTGAGATGTCCTTTCCCTCTGCAGAGCTGCCTGCTCAAGTTGTGCGCTCCAATGCAGAGGCGGCCCACATTTACCAGGTCTCAGAGCGTGTGGTGCTGTCCTGTGAGCTCTCCCGCCCTGGGGTTCCCGTGTGCTGGTACAAGGATGGGGAAGAAGTGGAGGAAAGCGAGGGCCTCCTGCTGGAGAGCGAGGGGCCTCATTGCCGTCTGGTCATTCCTGTGGCCCAGGCTCAGGACACGGGGGAGTTTGCTTGTGATACGGGTGGCGACTCCGTCTTCTTCAATGTCACCATCACAGGTGAGCTGTTCTCCAAGGTATGCCTCTCTCCCTGCTGGTCCATTTTAAGCCCCAAGTAATGCTGCCACTCATCCTTGACATAATATACATGGGCTGCTGTTGCTCTTGTACTTCTTCAGGTGCTCGTTCCACAGTCGATTTGGGGCTTTGGTTCTGTCCTTTTTGGCCCCCTGCCTTTTGCCTGTGAGTGCACCAGAGCAGTGTGCTTCTGTGTCCTCTCATGCAGAAAGAGAAGAGGGCAGTCCTGTGATAGGGGCTCTCTGTGTCCCAGCTGGCTCAAAGATACCTACCCCCAAAGACATATGGAACACAGCACAAAGGTGAAGGGATCTCTCTTGGAATGGTCTTGGAAAGGGCTTACTTAAAAAGTCAGACTCATGACACATGGCACACCAATGAATGCATTTAAACTCAGGCAGTGGCAGCTGTTTCTTTTAGGAAAAAGTGGCCTTGGGAAAGGGAGACCATTTTTTAGTGCGGAAGCAGGGGTGTGAGGATGCGTAGCCTTCCTACAACTTGGCACTCATCTCTTTATGCTCTCCTCCCTGGCCAACCCCAACTTGTTTCCCCTAATAGCCATCTATTCTGCAGGGCAGAATGAATCTGCAGGAAAATGGAGGCAGAAAAGTGGCTCTCCCTATTGTTCCCATGCAGACAATTGTCCTCCCCTGATTCTACTTTTCCCTAGAAACAGGCTGTTTGAACTTCAGTGCTTGAGAGGTATAGATAGTCAATCAATGGATACTTACATATAAAAGTAACAAGTTTGTTCTTTTCCAAAGAGACCCCTCCAAGTCCTGCTAGAACCCCCTCACACCTTTGTTTAGTGCTTCTCCAAACCCACCTGAACATGACCTCCTTCCTTTTTAATAGAGATGGGCAACTTGTAGCCCTCCAGATTTGTTTGCCTTCAGCCCTAGCAAACTTAACCACAAGTGAGGGATGCAAGAAGCTGTAGGCCACAAATTGTCCATCCCTGCTTTAGAAGCAGCTAAAGCAGGGTTTAATGACCCATCTTTACATGCAACCTGTAGTGGGTCCTAGGTAGGGCATGAGGCAAGGCTAGACATGGGAGGAGATGAGGCCTCATAAGCTCCTGCTTTGTGTTGTTCTGGCAGAGCCCCCAGTGCGGATTTTGCAGCCAGCCGAGCGTTCCCTGGAGAAGCAGGTGTGGGCATTTGAGCGCCTGGAGCTGAGCTGCCAAGTGTCACATGCCACTGCCCCTGTGCGCTGGTTCAAGGATGGCCTGGAGGTGGATGAGACTCACAACCTGTTGCTTCAGGTGGAGGGTGCTGAGCGTCGTCTGGTTGTCCTGCAGACTAGTGCTGAAGATGCTGGTGAATACATCTGTGAGACCAAGGATGATTCTGTCTCCTTTGATGTCAGGGTTTCAGGTGAGCATCCCCACTCCTGGATCCAGAGTTCTTGGGGAAGAACAGTATCATCACCTAATCCAGCCCAGGACCTTGCATTCTAAAAGCACCCATCTGACAGCACAACCTTGCTCAGACTGGCTAATCTTTTGTGGCCCCATAGTTCTCCCAGTCTTGAATTGGCAATTTTAATCTGTAGATTTTTTTTCTGGGGCTTAGGATATGATTCCACAAGCCATTCTGATTAAAGCACTCAGTGTGCATAATAGCCATAACACCTCTGGAAATGAAAATAATAGGAGGGATAAACAGGATATTTTAAGAGACAGAGAGCTGCCATCACTCTGTGTCTCTTTACACCCTAGTCTCAAAGAGGTGTGATGTTATGTCATTGTGCTATGACTCATCCCGCTCTCCCCTCCTCAGCTGATGATGAGAAGCAGGGGCAGAGCCAGGCAGGATTTTGCACAAGGATACATTATGGTAGCTTTCTCTACCTGATGCCCTCCTGCAACCCCTTTCTTTGGCATTTCAGCCCTGGCCAGTATCACCAATAGTCAAGAATGCTGAAGATTGTGCTTTAAAACATCTGGAATGCATCAGGTTTGGGAAGCCTGCTTTACTTGAGATCATGAATATGTAGCAATGAAGATAGATGGAAATGCAGCAAATACAAAGGAAACTTGGCTATCTAGCCACCACACCTATTTGTGTTTTGTTCGATTTCAGCTGGCACACGTGTCCCTCACAATGCAACCTGGGTATTTTATTTGGCAGCACTTGCACAGATTCTCAGATGTTTCTCGTGCAGGTGCTGTAGGAATGATGTTGTTTGCGTTTACATTAGAACTTAAAAGGAGCCTTGTTGGGTCAGACAAAAGGTCAATATCAAGTCCAGCATCCTGTTCCTCATAGTGGCCAACCAGAGGCCTCTGGGAAGCCCGCAAGCAGGACATGAGGGCAAGGGCCCTCTCCAGCGATCGGTGTTCAGTGGCACTCTGGCTCTCATCCTGGATGGAGCTTGCATGCGTCAGCCACACATGAGTGTAAGCCCCACTTAAAGCCTTCAGTGACTGTGGCCACTGCTACATCTGGGTGGGATGAATTCCCAGTTTAACTTTGTGCAGTATGTTGAAGTGCTTCCTTGCATCTGTCCTGAATCTGCCACCATCCAGCTTCATGTGATGACCCTATTAGTATTCTAATATTAAAAGACTACTAGCAGCAATTTGGGATCCACACTGTCCAAACTCCACAGTGTCAGTGTGTGTCCTAATATGACTCTTATTAGGACCCGTTAATTCTCAGAATGCAATGTAGGAATTTTTGCTGGCTAAGTATTGTGTTGGATATGCCAGAGCTTCATTAAAGGTGTGCTTAAGGAAACAGTAAATAGAGACTCCCCAGGGTTACTTGGGAAGGCAGTGATATTCTTCACATCAACGCATCCCTGCCATGGCTGCACTAGGAACAACGCAAGCATTTATTCTCAGCGGGATATAGATTTGCCAGAGCAGGCTTCTGTGCATGAATCAAGGGCAAGGGTGTGTGGTGCTGCAGCATAAAGAGCTGGTTCTATTCTTGGGTGTCTGAATGGAAATACGTGGAAAGCCAGTTAACGTAAGCATAACACATGGGAGAGGTACACGAATACTGCTTTGAGTTCTGATGGCTATCTAAAACTGGGCTTTACATAATTACTGAAGAGAGCTCTCAGGATGACTTAACATTTTAGGAAATCAGGTCAAAGTACATGTGATACTCAGTCACATGTAAGGTATTTTTTCAGGGTTTTTCTGCCTTTTCCTCCCCAAAATACCTCCTGCAATTAGCAGAACAGCAGTGGTGCACAGAGATAGGAGGACCTTCTTGGTTCTTTCCTCTTTAGCACCTTTTCTGCTTTAACTTGCATCTCACCTTCCCAGCTCTTTTCCTCACACAGTGGTGGTGGTGGTGGTGGTGGTGGTGGTGGTGGTGTGTGTGTGTGTGCGCGCGCGTGCGTGCGTGCGTACGTGCGTGCATGTAAGACACACTGCCTCAGCTTTACAAGAAACATGGAAGAGTGGATTGTCTAAGTACCTTTCTGGAGACAGAGGAAGAACACAGAAGAGAGGAAAAACACATATATTGCTAGGGTGGCCACTTACCTTGCCAAAAAGAGGAAAAAGAAAGCACAGATTTGCATGATGTTTACATGTGCTGATTTATGTGTAAAGATGCAAATTTAGAAATAATTAATAAATGAATACCACAAGACTGTGACCAGGTGATTTACCTGCCTGCTCTGACTGCTCATCCAGAAGTCAGCTGTTAATGGGTAACTTCCTGGAGTTCCCTCCTACTCCTCTTCCCACCTGCTCAGTGTCGGATGGATCTGACACTCTGTCAGGTGGAGGACATCTTCATACAGTGGTTTTGCCCCTGATGAACCTCAGATGGGGCTTCTGTAAAGTAGGGATCCTGACCACCTTAAAACATATCATTTAGCTGGGAAGGGGATTTGCTCCTGTGTGCCCATGGAGAAAACAGATTCAGTGTGTCCCTCACTCCATGGATCCAAGGGCTCTCTTTGCAAGGAGATTCGTTTCACCATTCAGAGGTTGTTGGTTTGGTCCAGCAACAGCACTGTTGCCAGTGGCTGCTTCAAACTTGGGCTGCCTGCCCTCTTCTTCCAGAGCCCCCTGTGAAGATCGTGCAGCCCTGCAGGACTCCTTCTGTCCTGAAAGCCTCAACGGGGGAGACAGTGACCCTGGCCTGTGTGCTCTCCCATGGGAATGCGCCTGTCCACTGGGTTAAGGATGGTGTCACGCTCAAGGCCAACAGCGGCCTTGTCCTGGAGGAAGAGGGTGCCCGGCGGTGCCTGGTCATCCCTGCCGCTGGCCCAGAGCATTCTGGGAAGTACATCTGCAACGCTGCTGATGATACCATGGCCTTCACCATCCAGGTGTCTGGTGAGTGCAGTGCTCAGGGACCCTGGCACCACCAGGGGTGGGAGCTGAGCTGAGAGTGTTGAGGGTGGGTGGTTGCTGGGTGGGGGTCCTAGCCAGTGTCAGTGGGATGGATTCAGTGCACTGATCCATCCCAGATCCTCTCATCTGTGAGCCAAACTTCTCGTACTGCCTGCTGTACAGAGCTTGAGCAAAGCTGCGCCAGAGCTCCTGCATGAGTACTGGCTGTCTGATTGTCAAAGCTAGTGCTCTGGCATTAGTATGACATTATGGCCTAAACCTAGGCATGTTATCACCTGGTAATGTGAGCAGAGGCAGGAAAAAACCATTTCCCAAAGAAATAGTCTTGAGTAACTTTGGGGACAATCTGTACGAACACCACTGACCAGTACAAGCCAGATCTGGGGAGATGTTTCTGCTTACTGTTCACATTGGCTTTTTATGATCCTCAGCTAGTGTCGATACGGTTGCACTGGATTTCTGGCTCCTCTGCTTGCACTGGCTTTTCTTTGAGCTTTCCGCATTCATGTCCTGCCAGGGTCTCTGTGTTTGTACTTCTAGTTCTGGGAGCACTCCAGGCATTATCCACAGATTTCCTGACGTTATTGTTATAACCTTAGACTACAATGTCATAGGCATTGTATATAACCTGGGTTTTCTTGTAGTTGGCCCCACCTATGGCCTGTCTTAGGCGGTGGATTCTGGTGAATGAGTGAAAAGAAGTAGGATCCATATTGTTGTTGTCATTGCTATTTAACATGGGAAGGCATAATTTGGACTTTCAAATAGCTTTCACAGCTGTGCAGGGGAGCCAATTCACATTGTGAATGTGGCAGGGGAAGAAAGGATCAGGCTGCTCAGATCACTGAAATCCCAGTGGCAATTCCACACCCCCTTGTACTATACAGGAAAAAAATGCAGCCCCTGTGTAGTCCAAGCCGCATTGCAGAACCTCTTTCAGCCTGAGGATCCAATTCCATTCTGGAGAAGCTTCAGGGAAGCACATGCCAGTGTAGAGCAGGATTGGAGGCAATGGGTCAACATTGCTCGCATGATTAGCTGCAATCTCCTGCTGCTGGAAAATACATCCTAGGAGAAGCACTGCAAACATTTAGAATGGGAAAACTGCACAATGATCTGTGATGGGGTGATAGGGAATGGGGTGAATAGAAGGGGGGTGGTCATCAGAAGAATTCCAGGGGATGGACCTGGCCTCCGGGCCTGAGGCTCTGTGGCTTTGATAATAACTGGCTTGCCCCTCAGGCAAGAAAGCATCTTGTCCTGTGTCCCTGAAAATCACCACACTTAGAGATGTGCATGAAGTATAGGAATTTGTTCCAGCAGTGATGCTGGCATCAGGTTCAAAAACCACAACTGTGAACTCCTGCCCCTTGAGCATGAACTAGTGAAGGTCATATTGTCATGTAGATTTAAATGTATGGGACCGCAGTGAATTGCAGGGAGCCTGCTCCCCCATCTAGTTTTCTTTATTGAGCAACTTCTTAAGCCATGCTTTTCATGGGGAGACCTGCTCTGTATCTGTGTGGCATTCTCTTGTGGTGGTGTAAATCTACAGCTGATTCGCGTGTGCTTTGGATTCCATCTTAGGGCTGACACTAAAGTAGGAGAATTTTTTTTAGTCCTGTTCAGCCTCTAAGATTCTTTTGCTATTATGAGATAGGAGGCAATTGCCTAGTGGGGGAGATGCAAAAGTTAGTTGCTCATTAACAGTGGCCTGTTCACATAGGTTATGACTGGGGTAGTCAGATTCATGCTATTGTAAGAAAATCAACTATTTTGCTTGACCTACTTGGATGTTCAGAAGCTGCCTTATGTCAAGCCCATCTACCTTAGTGTTATCTGCCCTGGTTGGCACAGGAGACTTCCAAGCCTTATATGGGGATAGAAACTGGAACTTCCTGCGTGTCGAACATTTGCTTGTTTTTTATTTATTGCTTATTATTAAATTTATATCTGCCTTTCTCACAAGGTACTACAAAATATCCTCTTCTTACAACACCCCTGTAAAGTTGCTTAGACTGAGAGCTGGTGACTGGTGCAAGGTCACTCAGCAACCACGGCCAGTGCTGGCTCTGAGCCAGGGTGTTCTCCCACTGAGCCATGACCATTCTCAGGTCTTCAGAGTGGCTAAAGCTTAACTTTTTCCTAGATCAGGTTAGAGTAACTGTGGCTACATTGCTAAAGGATCTGATTTGCAATTTTTTGAGGTGCAGTTCCAGCTTCTAGTCAAAATGTGCTACTTATATGCTTTATAGTTGCACGCTGTTGGTTATGCCATTGCAGAGGTGATCTTCAGAGTTTGATGTCAGTTTGGTGCATTCCTATGTGGTGTCGCACAAACTGGCTTTGAGCAGAAGAGCTTCCCCACCCCCAGCTCTTTCCTTTTCACTTGGCAGCCTAATTTTTTTGCTTTTCTGCAAGGCAGCAGCAGTAGGAATGCCCAAGGAGACCGCTGTGTACAATTAATCCATTTATGGGGGATTTCACTTACTTACACTTTGCCTGTACTTTTTTGAGGTGGAAAATTGGATTCTCTGCCTCCCGCCCAATCCACCTGTGTTTGGCTTAGAAAAGTTGTTTGGCTTAGAGCGGCTATTATTAATAGAGCCGTTGCTCTGCCTTTTAAAATGGAAAGCTTTTATAACTACATCTGGCACTTTTAAGGAGGGGTAAGCAAAATGGTCATGAATAGCATTGATTCAGGGGTCATTTTTCCTGACACAGAACCCTGCCTTGGTGTCAACAATCTTTCTGTGCGATTTCCACAAAGCAACAGTAGCTAGCAAACAAGAAGTGCAACAGGAAATACCTCATTAAAATAGTGGTGCTTGTTGTAAGGGTCTTTTGGCACAATGTACCTCTGTCATGTCAGCTGCATACAAGGGAGCCTTTCCTTCATCACTGATTAATCTCAGGGGCAGCTCCAAAATGGACTTTACAACTGAGGAGCACCAGCACAGGAGATGCCCATTTTACGCAGGAAATTAAGACTTGGGAATAGAGCTGCAGCATATTTTTGCAACACCAGGTATGTTTGGGCAGGAGTCCAAGGGGCACAGGAATTCTTAGTTCCCAACAGAAGGGAATGACCAGGAACTACAGAAGCTTGGAGGACTTAGCAGCAGTGTTCCTGTAGGATTGGAGTACAGTCAGAATTGAAAACGAGCTGCTGCTCTGTGAGGAGAAAAAGCATTTTACAGAAAAAAATCCACTGTGCTCTGTTGCTCTGAACTCCAGATGCAGCTGTCTTTGTGGCAGTGGCCTGTGGAGGCAGTGGTTTTGTTTTCAGTTTATTCAGTGTGTCAGTGATTATTGTACAATTTCTCAGAGTTCATATCCAGATGAGGCAGAAGCAAGGAGACAGGATAATCTTTGATTTTTGTTTTTTGAGCCAGAGCTAAGAAGTAAAGAAAGAAAAAAGAAAAAAAATCACAGCAGTCCTGAATGATTCTTCCTTAAGTGAACAAATTTGAAATGGGGGAAGGTTGCCTAGCCTGTATGGCATGTGGTGGAAAATGTGTGCTCTTGATGTAAGAATTTCTCCTACAACCTAAAAAGAATATAATTCAGGAGCCACTTCTGTTTTGCAAAATTTATAATGAAAACTAGGAGGGAACATAAAGGGCTGAGTGCAATCCCAAGCCAGTTTGGCATCTTTAAAAGGGTTTTACACACACACACACACACACACACACACACACACACACACACACAAAGAGTATGTGTATGTGTGTAAATTATATGGGGCACTGCCTGCTGTGAACTCTTCTGAAGATGTGTGTGGATCTGGTAAGTCTTTGGTTGGGAGAGCACTGGGAGTACTGTGCGAAATAGTCTTCTCCAGCCTGGTGCTCTCCAAATGTGTTGTCTGGAAACTCCTTTAATGCCCAGCCAGAATGACAGATTGGGGAAGGCTGGTGTAAAAGGAAAATATGCTTTCCCACCTGCTTAAAGAGTCTCTTGCTTCAATCAGGCTTGAAATGCAAATGTAAAGCCCACATTGGCCAAGATGCTCATTGTTATTACGTTCTTTTTCCTCTCTACCCTGTCTCTTCTGCATGCACAATCCTCAGTTGTTGCATAAACCATGGGAGAGAAGCTCAATGGTGATTTAAGCTTCACGTGTGAAAATGGCGATGTCCATTTTTCTCATGGACTTGCATTCTGTACACCCATTGGCTCAAAACACCCAAACTGATGCCAGTACAAAGCATGATCTTAATATCATTTTGTTTTAAAAATGGAATACTTGTTGTTATGAAGGCTGGCATCAAGGCCATTCACCTGGAAAGGACCTGCACTTTCCAGGGGGCTTTCTGGAAGATCCCTTGGACCTGTTCCTTCAATGCATCAGTAAAAAGTAGACAAACCATGATGGTGGGAAAAAGTAGAAGTAGCTTATCCCTGACTCTCTGCTGGGGAAGGAAATAGGTGGTTAAGATGATGAGAAAGAAGAACTCCAGCAACCCGTGTCTGTATTAGTGAGGGGGTAGGCTCACTGAGTGAATGAGGCCTGTTGGAAGCTTCTTGCCCCAAACCTGGAGCTGATAATTATATTTCTTACTGGGTCCTGAACACTGACCAATCCCTTTGTTCCTGGATATTGCTGTGGCCTAGCCCTGTCCTAGGGGTGCCAGAAATGATATGAGCTTTTCCAAGCTGTATGTAATCCCCACGTCACATGTCAAATATACCTTGAGACCCTTGGGAACTTGCAGAATTATACAGGACTGGTTAACTCCTAGGAGTTTAGGTGCCCAGACTCAGCTTCACTCTTTCTACCCTTAAACTACACAGTGCTCAAGATATGTTTTATGTAAAACGAGGAAGAATTGGGCCTGGTAGGAAGGCTGCTGTTAAGATGAATGTGTTACAGATTGCAAAATGCTTTGCTCATTAAGAGTACCATGAAAATGTTTACTAGACAAAGGACTGGCAGAAAATTAACTGAAACTTTCTGTGGCTGGCAGACCCCCCAGTGCAGATTGTGGGGCGTGATGAGCTGCAAACACACCACTGTTGCCTGGCTTCGGAGGACTTGACACTATCAGTGACGCTGTCTTGTTCCAAAGGAGAGGTAAAGTGGTACAAGGATGGGGAGAAGCTGCAGGACACAGACCATGTGCGACTAGAGCAGGATGGGACACGCCATTCGTTGGTGATTCTGGGCGCAGAATGCAGTGATGCAGGGGAGTATCTGTGTGACAGTGGTGACGACAGCCTCATCTTCTATGTCACAGTGGAGGGTAAGGCTTGGGCCTGGTGGGAGAGGGTGGGGGAAGGGCACTCGTGAGCAGTTACCTTTTATGCGTCTCTATATCCATTTTTACAATGCAAGAATACAGTCTGTAGCATGGAAAGAGCATCATGTTCCATCTTACAGATTGGTTTGATACTATTTCAGTGATCTACATTCAGAAGGGGGGAGCAAAGAGGACTCGATAAGAATTTATCTTCCCACATATATTTCTTAAAGGTCATCTTATTCACAGTCGTTACCTTTGTTCCCCGTTTCCGGAAACTACCATTCCACCTATTATCATGTCATCCTGCCTACCATTTCATGATATCTCTGTTTAGCAGAATCTTGGAGGGATCCTTGGTGGCATTACAGAAGAAAAAAATGGAAAAGCCACATTCTGTAATTTATTGTCTTTAGTGCTCATTCCAATAGAATTTAATTTATTCTTGCTGCTACTGACATGCATGTAATTAGCCTTCCAAGTGTTTAATCTCCACAATCTATTTGAGATACCGCTGATAGAACATAGTGTTTGTCCTCCAAACTGGACTTTTTGACCTTTGAAACAAATAAGCTTTCATCATCCTTAATGATACCTTGAGTTAAATCTTGTTCCCACTGGTTTTAAAGCAATAATCAGGGCTGTGGATAGTTAGTGTTTTAAAAATAACAATCAAACAACAATCAGAATTGTGTACTAAGAAAAAGTGAATTCTGCAACTTGTATTATGAAAACAAGCAAATGCATGTGGCTTTTGTCTTTTGAAAATAATTTATTCCACTTCTGCTGGTTGTGGGGTGAGGTAACACCCCATAGCTAACCACCTCTCGTGGAGAATAAGACTATCAATGGTTACTAGACATGGTGGCGATGTAATACCTTTAATATTGGAGGCATTATGCTTCTGTGCGCCATTTTTTGGGAAAAATAACTGGGAGAGCCCTGTTGCCTTCATGTCCTGCTGGTGGGTCTCTCACGGGTGTATCAGGTCTGCCACTGTGAGAACAGAATGCTGAACTAGATTGATCTTTTGTTTGATCCAGTATGGCTCTTCTTATATTCTTAGGCCAGTGGGTGCTGACTGGTTTGAACAGCCAGTGACTCCAATGACTGACAACAGTACCCTGAAGTGCACAAACCTATGTCTAGACAAGCTGGTGCACAATGGTCCAGAGCAAACTGCCTACCTCTACCTTTGCAGGACATTTTGTCTTTCTTTTGAGCTGAGATTCATGTGATCATGTTGCCATGAATGGTTTTTTTGGCCTTTATGACTTAAAGGTGTCTTAGTTCCTAGTACCTGGGTCTTAGCACCCCCAGCATTTGGTCCTGCCAGCCTCATGATAGTCTGGTGGTAGTGAGAGTGAGATGAGCCTGACTCTTGCTACTGCTGGCGCTTTAATGGCTCAGAAAAGCACCATATTGCCTGCCTTACTCTCCTGCCCACTCCACCTCCATGTAGTGCTCCTTATGCTTGCTTGCTTCATCAGGGTTGATGTCTGTGTTCACCTGGTGCTGAGGCTTTTTTGGACTCCCTACGTGGGCAAGCCTGCCTCTGCTTTGTACAATGACACCTCTTTTTCTCTCCTCTCTTCCTTAAGAGCCTCCCATCTCCATTGTGGGAAACACAGGGCCAGAACAGCACTGCTTGGCAGCAGGAGAAGCTCTAGTCTTACCTTGCAAGGTGTCTTCACCCAGTGCCGCTGTGCGCTGGTTGCGAAATGGAGAGGAGCTAGTAGGCAGCAAGCGTGTTCACATTGAAGCCCACGGAAGCCACCGGCAGCTCACCATCCTTGGAGCCAAGCCAGCCGATTCAGGCTCTTACGTGTGCGATGCTGGCACTGACCGGATGGAGGCCACAGTACAAGTGGCAGGTGAGATTTCCTCAGAGGGGACACTGGCAGTGGAGAGGGGCAGAGGATTGCTCACGCCATTCCCTCTTGCTGAAGGGAGGAGCTGGTGTCCTGTCAAGGCTGAGAGGGATGTGATACAGGACGTCCTGGTTCAAGTCTACTTGGCCACGATTTATTGAGGGAGTCTTGGGTAAGCCATGAACCTCCACCCTGTGGGTGAGCATGGCGAGAATAAAACAGGGTTGTTTATAAGAAGTACTGCTATAAAATCTGTGAAGCACCGTGGCATTCTGAAGCATTATATAATTGCTAAGTATCATTAATTTTTTATTGTTAATAAAATAATTCAAGAGAAGCAGCTGGAAGCTGCAGGTAAAGGAAATGGCTTCTGCTTCAGTAATTGCTGGCAGTGGCCCCAGGGCTTCTGGGCAGCATTTGGGTTTTGTACAGGAAGCTGGAGATCTGCTCCCGTTTCCAGGCCCAGAGGAACCTGGACATGGAATGGGCCGATGACACACAGATGGAGCAGGCAGCTTCTCTGTCTCCCTTCTGCCATGGAGGGGGTTAAATTTAACTTTGGCAGACTCCCAGGTGCCCTGCCTCTGCATCTTCTGCCAACAGTTGCTGCCCACACTGAAAGCAAGTGGAGGTCTTATTGACCAGAGGTCTTTTTTTTAAAGTCTGAGGGAGGGAGTTGGCAGTACCTGCCCTTACCAGGACAGGTGCTTGGAGGAGGGGCAGGCTCTGCCCAGGAGGGGATGTGGCAGCGGCGGCATGCTTTCCAGCACTTGGGACTGGTGCTGTACCCTTCTGAGAGGAGCAGGGGATGAATCCAAAGGGCCAGTGCAGGGCATGGCCGGAGGACAGCTGGAAACATTTCTAGAGTGTGTGTTAATTTCCCGCTATGCAGCCACTCCACTCCATTCCTTATAGCCCACCCCCACCCTTGCTGGAGAACTTGATGCTTTCTTTGGTCATGTGTACATTTATGCATGATAATTTTTATTATCCAATTACTTTCAAATTACAGTGGAATTTTGCAACTTGTTTTAGTTACCTGCATTAAAGTAAATTTGCTTACAAGTGCCTATTTGGCTTCATTTGTTTCTGGAAATAATGAAAAACAACAATGGAATCCACCCACTGAGCCTTGAATCCTCTTTTCCCATCTAGCTTCTATTTTACCTGACATTGCCTCCACCAGCTTCCCCTATCCTGGTATCCTTCAATTACATATCCTATAATTAGCAGCCAGCATGACTAAGAGGAATGATGGGAGTTGCAGTCCAACATTTCTGGAGGGCCCCAGATTCAGAAAGGCTGGCCTGCATAATTTAAAATCCTGTCTTTGTGGACTAAAAAATTAAGAAGTAGAAACTTGAAGCTGAGAATTTGTCAACATGAAATAGACACTTCTGTGGCTATATGTCAAGACAGCCTAAGAAAATTTGGTTCCTGAAGCAGCAATCCAAATTGCACTCTACTGACTGTACTGTTAATTGATAAACTTTACTCTTTGCCTAGGATCTTGTCTGCAAATGTTAATAATGAATAGAAGGAAGTCACACATATTGCTATCTGAAAATGATGAATTTGTGCCAGGCAATCTATATCAGAATGATATTACAAAATAACTGTTCTGTTAGTTGTGGGTGTTGATATCTAAAGCCCTTTTTACATCTTTAAAGAGCCAGAAGCTTTTGTGTCCTTTAATAGAAGCCCCAGGTCTGTTGTTTTCCTCATCCTGCTTCTTGCTGGCTCCAACTCTGCTTGATAGATAGCAAAACTTAGGTAACTTTGCTTACCAAAAGATTTCCTTGTTCTCAGCACCCCCTGTGCACATAGTGAATAAGGATGATGCCCAGCTGCCTGTGGAAGTCCAGGAAGGAGAAACTATGACACTGGTTGCCCGACTCTCCCAAGAGAAGGCTTCTGTTCAGTGGATGAAAAACATGAAGCCACTTTACCCTGGGCCACGCATAGTGATGAGCAGTGAAGGGCTGGTGCGTAGTTTAACCATCCGGCAAGCTGAGCCAGGAGACAGCGGCATCTTCAGCTGCAGTACAGGAGATGATGAGGTGCATTTCAACACATACGTGCAAGGTAAGATGGGCCTATCTCCTCTCCTCCTGTTCCAAGCTAGTTCCAAACTGAGATGGAGAAATATAAGTGGGGAGAAGCTTCCTGCATACAGTAACTTCTCCTTGTTCCCATTCCTGGATAATGGTGCATGTGGGAGCTCATGTGGGAGCTCATCATGACACTCAGCATAGCCACATCCTTGAGGAGAGTCCAAAGATTTAGGCAGCATGTTGTGAGTGCTTTTCATCTTCACCAGGGTAGGTCTTTTGTAAAGCTAATAGATCTTAGCTGCTCATTCAAGAGCTGATACATTACATCAGGGACTCCTCACAAATCTATAGGCCTGGTTCGCATGTGATACTGTCTTATTGAAACCATGGTTTGTTGCTCTACCCAGGGTTTGTCTCATGGAAGATTGAACAATCTGTGGTTTGTTTTTTTCTGTTCTTGGTTTTGTTTCTTTTCTCCTTTGCTCCTTCTCTCTCTGTATTCTGACTACTTTAGCAGTACTGGTAGGTGAAGTGGCTTGGTGTTTTGCCAAACTTGCCCACAGCCTCTGTAGCCTGGTGAAACAATCCATGGTTTTGGTTTCCTACATAACATGGGTTGCAAGTGAGGTGATACCACTGCTGAGAAAACCCATGCTGCCCTTCCCCTTGCATCTACTGTAAGGGTTACAGCTAAATTCAGGGGAACAAGGAAGCAGGAGGAGCACAGCAGATGCCATCATCCCTGCTAATCCAGGAGTCCCAGGGCTTCAGTTGCACAAGCCCTGGCCCCGTGACATTGCTGTTCCCAGAAGACCGCAGCCACGGTGAGGTATCTCCGTTCTCTGGCATATCCAGGTGTAGGCAGTCATTGAGGTGATGGAAGGGAGCGAGGGCATGGAAGGAGCAGCAGCAGCAAGGGAGGCCGTGCCAGGAGCAGCGTACAGCTGGTGGTGCCATAAAGCACAGGGGTGGCTTTTGTTGGGCAACTTGTGCGCCCAACGTGGCCCTTGGAGTTTTCTCTTTCCTAGTGGTGTGGAGCTGGACAGAAGCTCCCAGAGTAAAACCTGCGTGGATGTCACATATTTGGAAGTCTCATGTTCCACCTACATGGGAGAGTTTGGGTGAAGGTGAAAACTGATGGGAAGGACAGACCAAATGTCAGGAGAATGAGAACCCAGCCTCGGTATCCCTATGTTCCTCCCATCCTTCCTCACATGGCACTGCTGTTTTTGCTCCTACTGTTCTGCTAGAGGCCCCAGTACTGTTTGTGCCAAAGCCAGAGCATCCAGAGAAGGTGCTGGTGCTAGAGGGGGGCAGTGCAGTGCTCTCAGCCATTGTCTCCAAGGAGCCAGCAGTGGTGAGCTGGGAAGGACCCCGAGGTGCCCTGGCGCCGGGCGAGCACTGCCAGCTGCGCAGAGAAGGCCGGGTGCACAGCCTCCTGCTCAGCAACGTGGTCAAGGCTGATGCTGGCGAGTACATCTGTCATTCTCCTCAAGACCAGCTGCATTTTGAGCTTAGCGTTAAAGGTAAGTTATTTCTGCCCTGGGGAATACATGGAAAGCCATTCCGTCTAAGAGTTGTTGCAGTTCCAGCTGTGTAACTGAACAAAAGGCACATGGCCTGATTAGGATGGGATTCTCGACTCAGAATGGAATAAGATGGTGGTCATGTTAAAGAGGGAATTTTGGCATGCTCTGAGCCTTTTGTTACAATACTGCAGCACTAGAGTAAGCTACACTGCCTGAAACTCTCCCACCTATACAAAGGTTCAATGAGCCTCCCATAGCAAGAATTTCTTTCTCTGTCCCTCCCTCTTTCACTTTCTCTTAGCTTTATTGGCTAGAGAGATTGCTAATCTATCCACCAACCTAACTACTACCTATTACTTTTATAATTTTTAATAACATTTTTACCCCATCCTTTACAAGGGTCTTAGGATGGTGACACAAACAAACTCGGGGTGGGGGTGGGGAGGGGCGTGTTAGCAGAAATATGCAGCAAGCAAGCAGTACAATGAGTTTTGCCTGCAAAATGGTAGTCCCTGTGATAATTTTTCCCAGCCATACTGTGCAGGTCGGGGCGTGCATGCTGGAAGAAAAAGTGGTGAAGAGGGCAGAGATCAATAGGGGAGAACTGCCTGTAGAATATGAGGTTTACTTGCTGTTACATCTTGACAAAGTCCTGAGGCAGAAGAGACAGACCTCTGACCAGTTTAAGACATAGGCTGGGTTCAAACAGCACAATAACCAATCCTCTAAGGTTGATTATAGGTTGAGGGTGGGCTGTCATTGAACTGTGGGTTGTTATTGAGATGTTGCGTTATCATGTTGTTTGAACTCAGCCAAGATAACCATGGTGAATAACCCAAGAAAAACCATGGGATCTCTCATGGGTTTTTATGGGTATCAAGCCATTGCTTGTTAGTGCAGCTGGGGCCAGACATAACAGTAATCCATGTTTCCACCACAACTCACTCTCAGCCCACACTCAACCTCTTGGTGTGGGTAATCGTGTTATCCGAATCCAGTCATAGCCTGTCTTTTTCCCAGCAATGGGAATCATCATCAGCTGTTAGCCAGGACTGAAAAAAGATCCTCCATATATAGAGGCAATATATCCTAGTGACTGATGCTTAGGGGCAAACAATAGGGTGGCTTTCATTGCCATAACATTTTGAGAGGCTGCAGTTTCATCTGTCTCCCCTGTGGTGGAAACTTAATGTAGACTCCTGGTGTGGTCCAGCAGGGCAGTTCCAGTTTGTATGGTGGTGACAGCAATAAGTGTTCCAGACACCACAGAGTTGTTTTGAATGCCCATTTCACTTTTTTGGTTTGAACTGGCTTTGCTCACAGAGATGGTGGTATAGATTTTGCTTTGGAGGGGCCACGGCAGAGGTGGCCCCTCTTCATGCTCTGCATGAAGCAGGTCTCTAGCTTAGTCTCTGGCATCTCCAGTTAAAGAAGTCCCAGGTTGTTGGCTAGCAAAAATAATTTGCATAAGACCTTGATTTGCTAGGCTGAAAAGATAATTCTGGACTCAATGGACCAATGATCTGGCTCTGCATAAAGCAGCTTGGCACATTCAGGCTGTCTATTATAATACAGATCCTCTTTTGAAGGCAGCCTGTACTCCCTACTTTAAAACTAAAATTGCTTCTTGGCCTCAGAATATTCACACAAGATTTTCTGTTCCTTCATTCAACAACTGGTGTTTTTGGCTAGATCTATTTCTTGGAACAGTTCAGCCCTCTTGATGCCAAGATGATAAAGCAGCAAAGTCTTGTTCCCTACAAATTCTTCACTAATGCCAGTGTGGTAGTTAGAGTGTTGCATAGGGAACCGGGGAGATCTAGCTTCTAGTACTCACTTGGCCATGAAGCTGACTGGGTGACTCTCAGTTTAACCTACTTCACTGGGTTGTTGTTATGAGGATAAAATGGAGATATGTAGCCCACCTTGGGTTCTTCACTAGAGGAAAAAGGGCAGGATATAAATGCAATGCAATAACAACAACAATTTGCATAGGTAGTGCACATCTGCATGTATTCATTTAATTTCCTCCTGTGTTTATAGGGAATGAAGATGCTGGACTTTAGAGGCAATTCATATCTATGCACAGGAGACCTTGCAGAGGGGCAGAATAGACGACTGGTGCAGAAATTTTCCCTTCTGGTCCCAGTTAAACTTCTCCTAGATCTTCCTAGTTCCTGAGCTTTTAGCAAGTCCTATCCATCTGTCCTCAAACATTTAACTTTTGTTATGAAAGCTGGAAATGTAGTAAGAAAGCAAACTGCTTTTCCTGAGATCTTGCAAATGGGTTAGTGCATGATCAAGATTTTCATGGCCAGGCTCCAGACACGTCCAGTCAGTAGGGTGTGATGCATTTTGCTAAAGTCTGTTCACTGTCCCTGCATTGCTCTTTGTCCTACTCAGAACTGCCAGTGAAGTTTGTTCGGGGCCTGTCAGATGTGTCAGCCCTGCAAGGGGAGACAGTGCTGTTTTGGTGTGAGCTGTGCAAAACCAAGGGTGACGTAGTGTGGCTGAAAGATGGGCAGGAGCTGGAACCCAGTGAACACCGGGAGATCCGAGCAGAGGGACGGGAGCGCTCCTTGACCCTGAGCCATGTGGGGCCTGAGGATGCTGGAGAGTACTCATGTGAGAGCAAGGACGACCGCACCCTGGCCATCCTCACAGTCCAGAGTGAGTCCTTTGGGGAAGGGCTCAGTGGTTCAACAGGTGCTCTGCATGCACACAGTTCCAAGGTCAACCCCCAACATCTCCAGAGAGCACTAGGAAAGCCTTCTGCCTGAACCCTGGAGAGCTGCTGCCAGGCTGTGTGGCCAATACTGAGTGAGACAGGCCTGTCATCTGACCCCATATAAGGCTCCTTCCTTCCTTCCTTCCTTCCTTCCTTCCTTCCTTCCTTCCTTCCTTCCTTCCTTCCTTCCTTCCTTCCTTCCTTCCTTCCTGTGCAGTCACCTACTGCTGGTTCTGGGAACTCGGCTCCATAATCTTTCATGCATCATTAGATAATAGGGGCTAAGGGTTTTGCCCAGGGCAGCTGCTCTCTGTCTTCATGAAGTGGGTGTGGAGAGGCAGGAACGTGGGGCCCTGCATAGGAGGACCTTAAATAAAAGCCCTAGAGAAGTTATGAGGGTTTGGGGCTACTGGGCTGCACCTAGGCTGGCATGATGCTGTGCAAACAGCTTTCAGAGGTGGTGAAAACATTTGATCAATCAGCCAAACCTCCCTGACTCACAGCATTTTCCTCCCGCTGTCCCCTGCTCAGTCCCTAGGCTGGTGGAGCTAATTTCTGAGCTGCACAACTTAACCGTGCTGGAGGGTGATGATGCCACCTTCAAGGTTGTGGTGTCTCCAGACGACGTAGCTTTGAAGTGGCAGCTAAACGGCCAAGACGTGGTGCCCAGCGAGCGGTTAGCCACAACCAAGAATGGACTGTGCCACACCCTCGCCATACGACATTGTCGACTGAGTGACACGGGCATAGTCACTGTCCACGCAGAAGGCCTGTCTAGTTCAGCCAGGCTCAGCGTGCAAGGTAAGGAGAAGGAGAAGGGCAAGGGAGCAGCTAGTAGCTGGGCACTCTTGGGAGAGGAAGGTCAGCACATGCGGATGGACCACGGCTAGCAGTTGGGCACCGCCAGTGTTGGTAGTGAACAGAGGCCAGGAGTCCTGCTTCAAGAAGGAAGCCGGTGCCATGGTTGCACATCTATGCTGTTCCCCAATTCTAAAGTATGCATCAGTGGCATGAATAAAGTATGTAAATTCGTAATGCTCACCAGATTTGATAATTTGGCACGATCCAGGCTGCTTTTTTCCATGGTGGACAGGTAATACCAGGCATGTTGGCAGTTCTTTCTAGCTCTTTGTTCTGGCCAGGCACTGCATGTGTGGCCAATTTCCAAAATGTTATCTCCCTAGCCCTGCAGGTTCCAAGCTTGAACTTCTGAAAAATGACAGCCAGGATTCTTAGGATGCCGGCTTCTGTATCCTGTACCAAACTCAGTAGTTGCAAATGGGCTTGGAACACATTGATCCTGGGTAAAATGGTTAAAGGGCAGAGCTTATGAAGCAAGGCTTCTTTCCTATTTGAGAGCTGTGTGCACTTGGATAGGAGCTAAACCTGTAGGGAGCCAAGGTTTGGGTGTTTTTCCTTCCTGCAGAGGCTCAGGTGCTGTTTGTGCAGACTCTGCGCGACTTGGTGGCTGAGGAGGGTCAGGATGTGCGCTTGGCGGTGGAGCTGAGCTTGGAGAGCGCTGAGGTGCAGTGGATGAAGCAAGGCGTTCTGCTCCAGCCGAACACAAAATACCTGATGGAGGCACAGGGGTCTCGGCGGGCCCTCACCATCCACAACGTTGAGCTTGCGGACCGCGGCACCTACCGCTGTGAGAGCCTGCATGACCGCACCCAAGCCAAGCTGAGCGTGGAGCGTAAGTGCCTACCGTGGACCTCTTCCCCAGCCTTATCCTAACCATTTACTTTTTGTGAACTGCCCAGGTGGTTGCCTGTTGGGCAGTATAGCAATGAAGCAAATAAATGAAAGAGAAATAAATATATTTTATCCCTCTATCTTAGACTGTCAATTTCTCTAGTAGGGTCTGTGTCCGTTCTAGGTGCTGTGTAGGACTTTGCATGCCGTCAGCATGGAAAGTTGTATATGAGTAGAGTCACGGCTGCTCCCTAAAAGCTGTAGAGGTCTTGCTAAGGTAGGAGATGCAGGGCCCCAGTTTCCAGGCTGGTGGAAGCCATACGGGGAGCAATCATACGATGTCATGGGGAATCTCTGCCTCTGGAAGGCACTGTGTACTTTCTGTTCTTCCTGCTGTTCCATTTTGGGAAACAAGACCCTTCCTGGCAAGAGTGGATGTTTCACTGCTCTCTTCCCCCTTTTCCTCCCATGCACCAGCCCGAAAGGTGACAGTGAGGAAACCACTATCAGATGTGGAGACTTTTGAGAAGGAGACGGTGACCTTTGAGCTTGAGCTATCCCATGCCAACATATCTGGGGTCTGGACACGGGATGGCGTCCGTGTGAAGCCCAGCTCCACCTGCCGCGTCAGTGCCATGGGCTGCACACACAGTCTGACTCTGCTGGGGCTCACACTAGATGACTCGGGGACAGTGGCCTTTACTGCTGACACCGTGCGGAGCAGCGCCCGCCTTATGGTCCGAGGTACTGAAGCAGGGCGGGTGGTGCAGGGAGGGAGGTTGTACAGGGGAGATGTGATGGGGGCTTATGCTCGGGAGCCCACTGTGGCTCGGGCCCTTCGCCTGAAATGACTGTGCCAGTGCTGCCCTCTGGTCTGGGCTCTTCAGCAGAGGGCATAACGGTGCAAAGTTCCAATCCCACCATCCCCACCTTCGCCATGGAAGTGCCAGCTTACACAGGGTGTTGATTGCGATCGTTCTTTAAGCAAGCAGCAAAGCCAGTCTCTTGGCTACAGTCCCCTGGCATGCATTCACTGTGATTTAGGACACAGGTGCAGGACCTCTGGCCCAGGAGCCAAATAGGACCCTCCTGGGGTCCCAGTTAAGCCCTCTGGGGTCCCCCAGATGGCCCCACTCCCTGCTCTTTGGTATTTTCCTGGCTTTTGTGCAGTTTTCCCCTAAATCCTAAAGGCTGAAATCCCTCTCCAACTAGCAGCGGCAGCTTTAAGTTACAATATGCTGCTATTTTAGCTGCACCCACTTGCCTTCAGTCATGCCAACACTAGAATGTGGGCTTCAGACGTTTTTGTGAAATGCAGTTTAGTCCTTGGAATTAAAGAGGGTTTAGGTGACATTAACCAGGGAAAACACTAGTCCTACAACACTGCCAACCCCCTGTTTGCTGTTAACTGCTTTATACTTCATATAGCACTGCAGGTACATGAAGTTTTTTGACACAGCACATTGTTAAACTAAAGAATTTGCTACCACCAGATGAAGTGATGGCCACCAATTCAGACAGCTTTAAAGGGGGCTGAAATATCTACATTGTTGACCGTCATTAGTCAGCATCTGGCACTAGAGGCAGCTCGGTACCTGTTGCTGGAGAGTATGAGCAGGAAGGTGCTCTTGCATTCATGACCTGCTGTGGACTTCCAATAGACATCTGGCTTGCCATTGCAAGAAACATGATGCCAGGCTAGAGAGGTCTTTCGTGTGGTCCAGGAGAGCCCTTGGTATTCTTGAGGACTAGCATCCAAAGCTCAGTGTGCTTTCAGTGCTCTGTCCAGTCACTGATAGCAGTGCTGGGTTTGGGAGTGCTGAAGGAGCAGAAGAAAGGAAGCAAGTGTCCTTCAAACTGAGCTTGCTGAGGGCTGCAAGTTGGTGTGGTGCCAAGCCAGGAGGAATGTCTCAGCTGGGCTAAGCAGAGCGTTGTGATGACATGATGCCTTCTTCGTTCCCAAAGTTGCCTCATCTTTGCATCAGTTGCTTTTGCCTTTGCCTCCATCCCTGCAGAGCCACCAGTTACCATGCTGCGCTTTCCCCAGGATTTGGGCATCCCTGAGACGGGATCAGCCACTTTTGAGTGTGAACTCTCCCAGCCCTTGGCCGAAGTGAAGTGGTTCAAGGTAAGGGTGGGTCCTCTAGCATGCCCCCTGTTCAACTTCCGCTGAGCTTCCCCATGCTCTGAAGAGCAGCAGCTCACATACAAAAGAGCATGGCTCATTCAAAGGAGAGCCCGCCTTTCTGCTCAGTGTGGCCCAGTCTGCTTCTGCCCATCGTCAGTTAGGCTGAGAGCAACACTCCATCTGCTTCCCTCTTTCTTTTCCCCATCTCACTGAACTCTTCCCCAGACAGTGCTTTCTGTTTTCCTGGTTGCTGTAGGATGGGGAGCAGATCCAGACAGGGCCCAATTGCCGGATGTATTCAGTGGGACGCCGGCGCCTTTTGCAGCTCAATCACTGTAGCCTTGAAGATGCGGGCGAGTATACGTGTGATGCCGGTGACTGCCGTGCCTCTGCCAAACTGCGGGTCTTTGGTATGGATGGCCTGGGCTAGAGAGGGGAGGAGGGTTGGTCTGGGACTAGTCTGTGCAAGGCACCCCAAACCTTCATGTTCCTGGGTGGAACAGGAGTCTGCTGCCCTTTGCCATATCCTCTAGTCCCTGCTCCTGTCTCCCCGACAGTTCCTTCTTGTATCTTCCTGGAGAGGGGCGGGTGATCATTGACAGTACACCATGGTGAGTCAGAGTCTTGTTCTTGAAGTTTGTACAGCTTGCACAGGAAATTAGGCTTAGGATAAACATTTGGTGCTCCATTAAAAATACTATCCTAGCTATAAGAGCATATCAGAATGGAAAAATGCACCGAGGAGGGGCTCTTAAATCTTTCCAGAAAAGATTTGACAGTCTTCTGTCAAGGCTGTTTTTAAAGTACAGGATATCCCTTCTTAGGACAAACAATCTAAATGACTCACTGAGTGATGCTCCTTCCTAGGTCTGTGGTTAAAACATGCTGTACAGAAAAGGTAAGGGGAGGAAAAATTCTACTTAGTTTCTCAAGGTTTAACCTGAACTCGGGCTCAGCTGCAGAAGCTGCTTTTAAACCCAGGATCTGCCTTGAGGTATAAGAAGTCATGACAAAAATGGAAGTATCTCTGGGCAAGCATAGGCATGCTTTTCTTGCTCCAGCGAGAGAGCAGTCAGCCCAACTATGTTTCAAATAAGGAAGAAGGACCTTTTCAGCTGCTGTGATTCCCAGTTTCCAGATACTTATATTTTGCAGCTGATGCCAGAAAAAATAACAGGTGGGGCATATGTAGACATCACAGAGTTAAATTGGTTTAAAATCCCTTAATTACCTCTTTCAGTTCTAGAATGGGAGGGGGAGTAATGATCTCCAACAGAGAATTTAAGCATACCTCCACCAATTATAATTCCTGGGATTCTTTGGAGTCATGGCAGTTCTACAGAAGTGAAATCAGTATGTTTGTGGTAGGGGAGTCACAGGGCACTAGTAGTCCCCTTGATCCAAGGAATGAAGGAGAGAGGAAGAAGATACTGAAGGCTGATACACTAAAGCTACTCATTCCATTGGACTTGGAGAGGGGGTTTAAGTGGCTTTTTAAAGGGTTAAACCAGCCTTCCCCAATGTGATATCCTCCAAGAGGATTGGACTACAATTGCCAGCACCTGGTGCCATCAGGGTGAGGAATGCTGCCTTACTTTGTATTACATTCCCAAGGTTACATTCCCTTTTTGGAGAGTGGAGGTAAGGGAAGCAAATGGTTCATAAACCTGTTTTCTACTGATTCCCCCTTCATAGGATGCTTATCCCATGACAGAATCTCTTATACCAGAGTGCAGAGGAAGACCATGGCCACCAGGCCACAGGGAGTGTGGTGACACCTGTCTGGGGATGCTTGGTTAGACAATCAATGCATATTAAGCATGATAGCCATAAATTGTTTTTAGTAAGTCTAGTTTTGAATACCCAATTCTGGGAACAAATTAAAGTCTGTGTGTGTTGCTGGTGGAGGCTTACTCATAACCTTCCTGGAGGAATCTGGCTTCCCAAGGCCGAAAAAGGGATGATTAAAAGGAATATTCCCATTCAGAGGCAGCATATACAGACCAGTGAGTATTAGTTGCCAGAGAAAAACAGTGAGAGAGGGTGCTAGGTTTGACAGGCCTCTGGTCAGATCCAGCAGGGCTCTTATGTACTTCAGGGCAGATGTACAATTGATCTAATGCAGCTCTTCTTACAATCTCAGAGAATCCATTTACTATGTCTCAACTCATAAATGAGCATTCATGGAAAAGAAATTTTTTCAGAGGAGCTCAGTCTGCCTGTCTCAGTCTCGATTGGAAGGAATGCCATGGTCAGCGCTGGAAAATATATGAACCCATCATCACCCAGTAGGAACTCCTCAGCCCCTATCCCATGCTTTCTCCCCCTCTGCAGAGCGCCAGGTTCAGATTGTGCGGGAGTTGGAGGACGTGCGTGTGCGGGAGAATGAGAATGCTGTTTTCATGTGTGAGGTGTCGCTTGAGGATGTGAAGGGTGAGTGGTTCCGGGATGGAGAAAGGATCAAAGTCACGAGCACTGTGAAAATCCGACAGGAAGGTAAGTGAACCTCTCCAGTCTTGTTGTGGTGATAGTGCATACATGATTCCTTAACTTTGATACACTTCCAGTTTTTATATTCCCATTTGTCCTGTGGGCTATAAAATAAGTAATCATCTCTAGGTAAGGTGGCCACTTACGTATCACCATCATCAACTAAAAAAGACAAAAGGAGATGCAATTTGCATAACTTTTATATATGCTCATTTATATGTGTAGATGAAAATAGAAATATTTACCCTAATTTAAAAAGAAATACAATCCATATTGACACAGTGAGGAGGACTGTGCTGAGGTGACTTCAGTGCCCCTGACCTGCTCTCTCTTCTGATGGCTCTTTTATCTTTAAACGTGATGTCCCTTCAAATAGAGGACACCCAGCCACCCTAGCTCCAGGGCAGGGGTAATTCTATCCGCTCCCAACATGCTGAGGGAATGAGAGGGCTTGGAATCCCTCAAAACCTCCCCTGGCCTGCTCTAGCATGTCTCCTTTCTGCCATTGTCTTCACCCTGCTCAAGAGGAATGTATGGCTGGACCTACTTCTCCGTCTGCCAGCCTCCCTCTCCACAGGCATAAAGGGAGGTCCACTGTGCCACATGGCCCCTGTGACACTATGTGAAGCACCATAGAATTGTGGTCTCAAGAACTTCCTTAAGTGGAAAAAAAATCATCCAATTATGGTGAAAGGCATTGTAGAAGGAAGAAATATTTTTGTGCTCCTCCGTGGTTTGGGGCGTAATTCTGCTGACCTAAGCCCTTCTCTGTTCCACTAATTTCAAATGGCAGGTTTCAGCACAAACATAATTCTCCCTTTGGATGAAAGGGGGCGTTTAGCTGAATTATTCCTGCTGTTTGCCCAAAAGGGCTACCTGAAAGATCCATGCCTTGGTTTCAAAAGGTCACATAATGCCAGGGGTGGGTGGGGCTAGTGTCCCGGGCATTAACCAATCACCTGCACAGTTGCAGCTCATGAAGTACATGTTACTGTAACAGATGCAATACTCAGATGCTTTTCCACAGCATCTGAATATTGTGGTTTAACTACTGGGAAATTGCAACAGTTTTGCCAAAAGCTGTTCAGATTCCCTGCAGCAGCCATCTATTTCTTATACAAATATATGTATAATTTGGAAAGATCTTTCATCATCTTAATGAGCAGCACAGTGGAGGCACACAACGCCATTGCTTTCAGCCACAGCCATTCCAGCCCAATCCCTTTTCATCTTAGAGCTGGAAACCAAACCCCACATAACCCTTGAAAAAAGCTAACATCCTTCCTGGTTTTTGTCCCTAGGAACCCGGCACTTCCTCCTTCTGTGCTGTGTCCGTCCTGAGGATGCAGGCCTGGTCCGTTTTCTAGCCAAGGCAGCCACTTCTGAAGCTCGCTTGGAAGTGGAAGGTAAGGGAGCTACTTCACAAGGGAACAGGTTCTAGACCAGTCCTCCCCAACCTGGTGCCCTCCAGGTATATGGCAACTCTTACCATCCCTGACTGTGGCCAATAGGAGTTATAGTTCCAAACATCCAAAGGGCACCAGGATGGGGAAGGCTATCCTAGAGCCTAGAATCTAAGCAAACCGCGAACATGAATGAATTGCATGGTCAATAGGCAGTTAGATCAGGCGTGAATTTATGTATGATGAGATAAAGATGATGTGGCAGGCATGTTGGGGATTAAATTATATAGAAGTGAACAAATGGTGTCGGGGACAATCTTTTGGGGCCCGTGAGTCCATTAAAAATTGAGAAACTGTCTTGGGCATGAGCACAAAATGCATGGCATGGGGCATGGTTAGTCACAAAGGACAAGTAATGTGCCCAAAGAACTGTGTGCAAGGCAAAGATGCAGTCTGAGCCCCAATGCACTAAACAACTCCTTTGACCCACAGCTTTCAACACCAACAGAAGCCCATTTCTTAGAAGGAAATCCCTTTTGCTCTCTCCCTGCTGCCTCCTACTGTGTCAGCCATATCAACTCCCATTCCATTTTTCTCTAGCTGTGGATCACCACCCACTCATGCATTTCCTCTCAAAGTTTATTTAAAAAAAAAATCAAGTGGGAGGTGTAGAGCACGTCAGTGGGCCCCAAGAAAGGTGTTGGAGCATGATGATCCTCACAGGCACCATGTTGCCTATGCCTGATACGTGGTTTGCGTATGAGAATTTCATTGATCCACTGTTGCCAAGAGCTAAGTCGTCTTTATTGAATAAGCAGAGGTGGAGGGGTTAGGGGTCAGGTGTTGGGAACCCAGCTCTCAGAATCTCAGAGTTTGCTCCTTTCACAGCCCTTCCCATTCGCATTGTGAAGCCACTGCGGGACAAGACTGTACTAGCACGGCACAAAGCCACGCTGGAATGTACAGTGTCTCAGTCCCGTGGGCGCGTGCGCTGGTTCCGTGGTGACAAAGAAATCTTTGCTGGTCCCAAGTATGAGATCTGCAACTTGGACTGTTACCGAACCCTCGTTATCCACTCCGTTGAGCCTGCTGACGAGGGTCTCTACACCTGTGATGCACTGGATGACTGCTCCACAGCCTGTCTGCTAGTGGAGGGTAAGGGGGAACATGTGAGTGCAATGAAGAGAAACGGGGGTGGGGGGGCAGGATTGGTTGGTCACAAGGGAGCTGGCAGACAGAACTGCAGAGAAACGATTAGACGTGGAATTGTGTGCTGGCAGCAGGCGGAAGGGAGAACAAAGAAAGAGTGCTGCAGGGCAGACTTCGGGCTTGCAGGATCTACAGTGTATTACAACCCCCAGATCCACCAGCCCTCTGGATTCAGGGACAAAATAGCAGCTTGGTGTAGCAGCCAGTGCCTATGAGCACATGCTCTGGCTAGGAGTATGTTTTCAGTATCAGGACTGAGTTCATAGTTCTTTCACACACACCAACACATCTGTTACTGGTTTCTCTCATAGAGCTGCTTCATTTTGCCAGCCTAATTTTAGTGTAGTGGGGGAGTCTTCTTGTTCTCATTATTAGACATTTGGGAACTGGAAACACTTGCCAACCTACTGTGGATTACCTGTAGGCTTACTAGTAGATCCCAAGGTACCTTCTGGCCACCTCTGCTGTAGTGTGCTGGCCACACTGTGTCCTGTGGAAAACTGATAGTGTTCTCTGTCCCTGCAGCTGAAGGGATCCAGGTGGTACGGGCCTTGCAGAATGTGGAGGTGGTGGCTCCCTCTGAAGCTCGGTTTGAGTGTGAAATATCTGCTCCTGCATCCTGTGCCCCCCAATGGAGCCTCAATGGAGAGGAGTTACAGCCGAGCTCGTGGGTGCAAATGGAGAGTGTGGGACACATCCATAGGCTGAGGCTCTGCCAAACCGCACCCAGCATGAGTGGAATGGTAAAGGTTACCGTGGGTAATGCCCGCTCAAAAGCCCACCTCACAGTCCGAGGTATGTGTGAATGGCAGCTGTGTTCACCGGTGACAGGGGAAAGTGGAAAGGGGGTCCCCAAACATGAAAGTGAATTGTAAGGGGAATAGGAGCAGACCTTGGCTTAGGAAAAATGGACTGGTGGGGTCTTGGACACTGCTGTAGACCCTTCTGGGTTCCTGGCAGGGGCAAGGAAATCTGGGGTGTGTTTAGAACTTCAGGCCTGGGGGGCAATTTTAGCTTTCTTGGGGTGCCAGTCTGAGCCTCCCAAGGTTCAACAGATGGCAATGTCTTCTTCCAATCCCCGCCTTTCCCCATGCTCTTTCTTCTGACCGCAGATCATTGGGTGATTTCTTGAATTTCGTGCAGTTTTTCATTTTGAAAGGTTGCAAATGCCTTTCTTAAGCCTTAGTTATGAGCAGCAAGAGATATCAGTTAAAATGTGCTGGCATTTTTGGCATTTTGACCTCACTCTTTTTGCCTTTGGCAACCCACCCATTTTGCACTAAGTTTTGCCCACCACTGGAATTTGGCCTCCCCAGAGTTCTCCAAAATGAAATTCACCTCTCAGGTTTAGAAAATGCCACCAAAGAAGGGCAGATAAGTGAACTGTGCTTCTGTGGATGTATTTCTCCTAACAACTTCTTTTCCTTTCTACACAGAACACTAGCATCTGGAAGGCTCCGAGTGTGGGAGAGCCATGGGTAACCATCAAAGGTCCAGGGCCACCGAGGGCAAGCAGTATCAGCAAGTTGGAGACAGTTACATGGACAGTTAGAATTACCTGGACACAGACATTTCCTCTTCTTGTCTTCCTCTTCTGTATGGCAAGGGAAACAGGTTCTGCCTTAGTAAATGCTCTCAATTCCTGATTTTGTTTTGTTATCCTGACATGCTTTCTGGTGGGATGTTCCATCAGTTGCCTGGAGCAGCAGGAGGAGGTGAGGTACTGGAGCTGTGTTAACTTGTGCCTCTATACCAGGAGCGTTGAACCTCTTTCAGCCCAAGAACCAAGCTCCATTTTGGAGAAACTTTCAGGAGCCACATTCCAGTGGTGGGTGGGGCCAAAGGGAAAAAAGGATAGAAACAAAAATGCTTGCATATTTTAGCTTCAAGCTTTAGCTTTAGGCCCTTAATGTAAAACACATTTCATCCTTTTAAAATGGGTGCAAACTGCACTAAAACTGGGAAACCACCAACAATCAGTAGTTGGAAGAAAGGAAAGGGGATCAGGAGGGACATGGCCACCTGAAAAGCCCTGGAGGGCCAGATTTGTGGTTCTTCATTCCTACTTTGTGTACTTTTCAGAGCACCCCAGTTTTGCATCTTACTGCATGGTTAGTGCTACCCCACAGAATCCAGAAAACCCACAGAATGAAGGTGATGTTGTGACTGGTGCTGTCCCTCTCTTTTCCCAAGTTTCCCATCTTAAGCAGCAACAGGCTTTATGGTGGGTGTGGGAATGGGAGGGGTAATGGGCAGAGCCCATGCCAGGACATGTACATTGTGGAGAACAGATATAAGAATCCATGCACATATAAGCATCTCTACATTTCACCCCTTTGAGAGAACCTGAAGTCAGGAAAGAGGATGATATAGCTCAAGGCTGTGGGGAGAAGCCACTGATGAGTAGCACAAGATCGTTATCTGGGATGCGACAAAAATCCTGTCTTGGTGATTTAGCTTCCTGCTCCGGATCCTCCTCCTTACAGAGTTTTGGGATCTTATATTGCCTGGAAAGAGAGTTACAATATCATAAACCTCTCTTTAGAGAGGAACTCTGGTATAGTAACTACACACACTCACATTGCCAGAGCATTGCACATTTCTTCCAGAATAAGTCTCTACCCATAACCACCTCAAGCTTCAATCCAATACTGTGAGAGCAGTTTTCTCCTTGCTATTGTCTCCCCTGCAGAGCAGATTTGGAGGGGTGATAGGGGGCTGCAGGGTGGAGTGGGGAACCACTCTGTCAGCTGTTTTTGTTTTGCTGATGTTTGTTTATGGTTGCTAGAACCACAAGAGTGCACATACATATTCATATCCCAAGGTACTCAAGGTACCACCTTGCTCACCGCCAAACAGAAAGAAGCAACCATTCAAGATGTTGTTTGGTTGGGTGTAGGTGAAGGCTCCCTGTTCCACTCCCCCATTCTGCTTCCCCTTGCAACTCTGACCCGATCAAACCAGGCTTCTTCCATCTACACGTCCAATATCCATACACATGTATGCAGCAGCGTTACTGCCCCCGCCTAATGATTCTGGCACAGGCATTCATGGAGGCACCACTCCTGAAAGCTTTTTTTCATTTACTTGCGCAGCCGCAGCCCGGCAGCGTTTGGCACATATACAAAAGAAGAAAGGGAGGGGGAAGAAGAGACAAAACAAAGAAAAGCCATAGTGCAAGGTTCCTGTGGTGACAAACAGTGACGGTTGGGGACAGAAACATGCAGTTTCTCCGTGGAGGAGAGGCCTTGTTGAACTGTGCTGGATCCTTTCCTGCCCTCATCTAGAAACAGAAGGCTGGCCATTCCCCTGCTCCCCATTATTGGCTCCATCAAAGGTAAAGATGCCAAGAGACTTGCAGCCCCACAAAAATTCACAGTAGACAAAAGTAAATGTGGATGCTGCTAACCCCCTTTCTGCCCAACTCTGTGAGAACAGGGAGATAAAAAGGGGTGAAGCCACGTATGGGGCTGAAGGGGAAGAGAAGAGGACAGCACTCTTTTCTCTAGCCATCCTTCTGATGGGCTTTCTGGGTCCAGCAGAGCTCGTCAAACCCAGCACTGTGTCAATAATAAATTAATACAAATAACTGCAACACGACTATGTACATGGGTATTCCCCCCCGCCATCCCTGCGGCCCCTCAGTAGCCAATCCTCACTCCAGAATGAGGAGCAGGGTGAAGGCACAGGAGGAGGGGGGCTGAAAAAGGCTCATTGCCTGGATACCAGCCGAATGCCTTGCTCCAGCACCACCACGCACGCGCACGCACACTTGCACACTTCAGCCATTACACAGCTCAGCCCAGGTGCCAGCCCCCCACCCCTCCTTGAGTCACCCATTGAAACAGAATGCCAGGCACTGGTATGGGCAAGGGGCCCAGGGCCAAAGGACCCCATTTCCCTGAGCTGGCTACTTCCAGCCAGACTGGAGTGAACCAAGTCAAATCCTACCATCAGTACATAAGGGGCACTTGGGCCCCAAAAGACAGTCGTTGGGGTCAGTTCATGCAAAGACAAACTCCAGGACAAGGACTGAGTCCACGATGTGGCAAGAGCACACAGGAACAGCACCCCACAGTCCCTCCGCATATGGGCCACTCCAGTACCGGTGGGTGGGGAAGGCTTGCCATCCTTCTCATGGTGAGTGGGGGTTGCAAACGATCATCTCTCTCCTTTCTGGCTCCACAAGGCCATGCTCACCTTCCCCCGAGTCCTGCACTCCCAGCCTGGCTGGGTTGCACTCTTTTCAGCCCTTTGCCCCCAGCCGCCTACTCATACTCTTTTCTTGCCCCTTGTGTCAAGGCAGCTTAGTCAGAGCCAGCGTAGCACTGGGGAGAATTCCACACACACTGAGAGATGCTGGACTACATCCAAATGGCCAGACCAGGCCCGTGAATGCCTGCAGAGAGGAACTGTCAGTCCTGATGGAAAAATGAAGGTGCTAAGCTATGTCCACGTAGCCTGACCTGTGCACCCAAGGGAGGCAGAGTCCTTGTGTCCTGCTGGGGAGGTGCTGGGCTATACCCGCATGGCAGGGCCTGAGCCCGTTGTCAGGGGCACAGTGGAGCCACAGTCATAGTCCACGTCGATGGCAGCATGAGCGTTGGCCAGCAGGCTGTTCAGGGATGACCCCGTCTGCCGCTCCCGGAAGCTCTGTATGTAGCTCTGCAAGGAGGAGGAAAATAGACAATGAAGGTGCATTGCTGCCTTCCCTGCTCCATCTTCTAAGCCTTCCCAAAGTGCAGCAATATTGCCCCCTTCCTCCATTCAAGTAGTTGAGAGGCAGCTGTTCTTCCATACAGCACCCTGGACCCAGCACTGGGAAAGGCTAGTATTGCTTCTCTCTTCTCTCGAACTCCTTGCACTCCTGAAAATGACTACCAGAGAGGATGTGGCTTGCCCTGCCTCTACTGTAACAAGGACAGACCAGGACAACCAAGGCCTACGTCACACTTAGGTGGCAAGAGTATTCCTGGATGCTCCCTTAATATTTGCTAAAGTAGACATATGAAGCGTGAGCAGCAGGTGCACATTCCTAAACACACAGTGGACATGTGCTGGGAAGCCATTCCCAACTGAGATTCCTTGGTGCCTCTCCCTTGACATTTAGGAATGCAGGGCTGCTCTTCCACTTTTTATGTATTTGCTACAACAGGCCAGGGCCAGTGCCAGGGCCAGTGCCTTCATTCCTCCTGCTGTTTTGAACACTGCTCTACTCCTCTACGCATTTGGACTCCTGAATATAAACAGACAATGTATGCTGGGTATCATCAGTGTATAATTTGTCCCAAGCTATTTGTACCTGTGGGTAGCAAGGAAAGAAATTGGCACAGACTTGCTAGGTTTCAAGGGCCATGGGATGGAATAGTTATACACATTTCCTGTCCTTTGAGAAGTACTGTTATGCAAAAAGAAGGCCAGTGTATTTCTCCTACCCTAATTAGCAAGGTTCTGTAAAGATCATGCAGCACTGCTGGTAGTAAGCAGAACTTTTACAGAGCTAAGGAAAAAGGTTAGAGTCATGCTTCTGGCTCCCATCTGAAACTGCCAAATAAGGGATAAGGACACAATTTTGACTTAAATTTCTCTATCCATCTCCTCCATATTTGTGATGCTATGTTTTGGTGGATACCTTGTGCATGGAAACTGCAGTTGGTACTTAGACTACACTGTCTCTTTGTCCTATCTCTATGGGAAATCCATACAGACAGTCTATGGTGGGTGTAGGAAGCAGTGGCTTGGAGGTGGTAGACACTTCCATCCTAAACAGGTGGAATGAATGAATGAATGAATGAATGAATGAATGAGGGGAGCATTAGGTATAGGGCCAATTCTCAAGAACAAAATGCTTTGTTGATTAACTAAAAAAGAGGGTGACTGGAACCATAGAAATAACAGGCTTGCCAAGTGGAAAATAATGGGCAGCAAGTTGACTTCCCTAAGCAGTCTGTCCCACCTTTGCTGCTAAACAGCTGAATTATTTGCAATCCAGCTGGGATTCTCTTATCCCATCACCCTACCCCTGTGCAGGAGGGTACTGGCATTCACTCACTGGGGAGAGCACATCTCCATCAAATCGGCGCACAGGGTTAGGCTTGCGACGGTAGGCAGGCTCTGGTGGGTGGGCCTTGTGCTGCAGATGGGGGTGAGGATGTGGCCGCTTCTTCTTCTTCTTCTCCTTGCGCTCTTCTCGTTGCTTGATCCTCATCAGCTGGACACGGCGTTGCTGCCGACTGATAATCACTGTAGAGGGAAGGAAGTGGGAAGGTGAGGTGAGAAATCCAGCATGGCAAATAGGCAAGCAGATGCTGCCTTTGGCCTACCTTATTCTGGGAAGAAATGGAGACCAGAAATAAGTTGAGATCCCCAGCCCCCAAATCAGGTAAGTTCATGGTTGGCGGGGCCATCATACAGTATTAGATGGGCTGCAGAATGCATCCATATGTCCAGAGTGCATGGTTCTCAGTAATTTTCAGTCCAGGAAGCAGTCCTTTAGATCAGTAGGTGCTGGGCATTGGACCCAATGGACTTCTCCTTTTTTCTGCATCTCAGACTGGCAAGCACTCAAACATGTCCATTCAAAAACATTCACTACCTCAGGAAATGGCCTCCTCTCGCTACAGCAAGAGACTCAGCATGCCTAAACAAGCTCTCTTCTCACCATATAAGGTATCCCCAACTAAACAGCCTTGTACTGCTGCTGGGAAACATGTGTGAAGCCTTGAAAAATCAATTTGTTGTTGAGGGAGAAAAGGTTCTGGGATGGAGATTTGCAATGAGTAAATGGGTGGACAACAGCATCCACCCCCTGCCACTTTTCTGCTATTAATTCAACCTCCCAAAGTGGATTTTAAAACACACCCAGGAGATGAAAGATTGAAATTAAACCTGTTTGCATGTAACATGTAGTTTAGACCTTAGAGATAAGAGACTGCACTGAATGGACCCTCCATGTGTTTGAGCTCACAGCATTAATTAATTACTGCAGTTAATCAGCTAAACCTCACTCTCATTAACATTTGTTCTCAATTATAAAATTTGTGTGCCTGCTCCCTCTGAAACATTTGAGAGAAAAGCTTAGGGTATAATTCTATTAATTGTAGCCTCACCACTTGGAAGCCCCCAAACTTGGAAGCTTCCCAGGTTCCTTTGCCCTGGTGAACTGAGGCCAGGAGGGTAAGAGGAATGGCAGAGCTGATGTTTGCCTCCCTGTCTTATGATCGCCTGTATTTTTACCAGATGAGCTTTACAGTCTGCCTAGTGGGGGCACTTGAGGCTCAGGCCACTCCGGCCTTTTCTCTGCCCATCGGAATACACCCTTTCCTTAAGTTCTGAAGTTGCCCTTCTAATCCTGGAGAGGCAACTGGTGAAGTTCTCTTTGCATTAGCTATGAGAGGGAGGGGCCTGGCATTGGCTCTCTCCCATCTCCAACACTGGAGTTGTCTCTGACTTTGGAGGGGTTTTACGAGCCACCCTGTGGACCTGGAATGCTCTCCCAGGGACCTTAGGATTGCTCTCTTAAAGATGATAATGATAGCTGGTACAAACTTCACCTTTCAGGGTGAAATCAGTTTATTTTAACAATAAAAACATAGATAAACTGAAGCTAGTGCTGTTCAGTTGAAATTAATGTGGCCGTATCTTTTAAAGATGGATTTTAACAATACTGATGTTCTTCAAGCTGTGTCTTTGTTAAAGCATGTTGGTTCAGTTGTGTTACTATAGGAGAATTTCATACTTATAAAGTTGTTTCAGAAGAAAATATTAAACATAACTTTCTAAAAAGAATGTTTACTGCTGCTTATTAAATTACAAGTTATCACACATTTACAAAAAGTTATCATTTTCATTCAAGATCCTCTAAAGGCAACTTCATTCCAGTTTTGCAAAAATAATGTAATTAGTTGGTTGGTTGCTTAATCATCTGACTTTAAAAAAATAAACAGATCAAAAGACTATGAATTCTTGCATTCTTATGGACCCAGGCAAACCTCTGCAGATTCATCAGTTCTAAACTGTATTTATCTTAGTAGGAGGTAAAAAAATATGTAAAAGAGCCGCCCTATGTAAAATTACCATAGGAGACCTGCGCAGTACCTTTGCAGCAAGCTGCTATTAAATTTATTTATTAGATTTATAACCTGTCCTTTTCTTTTTAAAGAACTCAAAGTAGCTTACAGCATTCTCTGCCTACTGCTCTCAATCTTATCCCCACAACAACCCTGTGAGGTAGGTTAGGCTGAGCATCTGTGATTGACCCAAAGTCACCCAGTTGGCCCCATGGCTGAGCAGGAACTAGAATCCAGATCTTCTGGGTCCCAGTCCTGTGCTCTTAACCACTACACCACACTGGCTTTCCAGCCATAGTTATAGCAGTTGGTAGAAAAATTGAAAGGCAACCCTGATTTGGGCATGTCCACATGTGTTTGTTACTTTCAGAAGGCCCTGGTCATGTGCAGTATCCACTGGGGTTCTTGCCTCTGTGGGTTCTCAGTGCACCACAACTACCCTCTGTAAGCAGTGCCTGCTGCTTATGCAAGGGAAATTTAGCACTTCCAGGGGCAACCTGAAAGAAGCAGAAACACTTCTGGAAGGAAGCAGATCAAAGGAACTTGCATAAGGCAGTTCTACAGACCTGCCTCCTCCAGAAATGAATGTTTCCACTTCTTTCAAGTCTTCTTCTGGGTAGTGCTAAATCTTCCTTGTATACTCAGTGGGCTTCACTAGTGGTTAAGAGTATGGGACTGGGACACATAATCTAGTCCCCATAATGCTCAGAGTGACTTTGCAGAGTCACAGACTCTCAACCCAATTGACCTCATTGGGTTGTTGTGAGGATAAGACTGAACGGGGAAGGGGGAGAATTATGCAAGCTGCCTTTAGTTTGTTGAAAGGAAAAAAGGTGCCAAGCAAGGAAATAAATAAGACTTAGCAGGGCCTCACACTTGCAGAAGGGAATTGGCAGGATGGAGAGTCATCAGCAGACGATAAATATCCCACTGGATACTGCTCCATGCCACCAATTGCGATAATAAAATGGAAATGTCATCTCAGTTGTTCACATGCACAGCAATGACTGGTAGAAAGCCCTGTCCGTGCCATATGCTAAATTTGTGTGGTGCCAGGATGATGAGCACCTCCCTCTGTTAGACCTATTGCACATCCCAGGCCCCATTTGAAACTGACAAATAGATGACATCCTAAATGTGCCACTGCTAATATCGCTCAACCCAAGGGATGCCAGTTCTTGTGCTAATGAGATTCCTCTCAGTGACATGGATTTAGGGGAGTAAGTTAAAGTTTAATATAATTTCCAGACAGGTAACCGGATTATACGCAGCAAAAGGGCAAGTTGGGAATGAGGCTCCTCCTATCGGGCTGTCCACTTGCCCACCTTCAGCCCCCTTATCAGCCTGGCAGTACCATACTCACCTTCGGTGTGTGAGTATCCCTCAGCTGTGACTTTCCACTGCACTAGGACACCCAACAAAGCCAAGACGGGCCAAGTACCGAGAATGACCCAGCTGTACCAGCAGATGGGCTGGGCAGGTGCCACCTTCACTCGCTCATAAACATACTGCAGCAGCAGGAAGAGCTCAACGAAGTAGTCAGCTGTGGCAGTCATGACGGCGCTGCCAAAGACAGCAGTGGAGAGCGTGGTGAAGAGGCGCTGCCACTGCAAGGTCAGCACAGCACACAGCATGCCCACGCCCAGCAGCAAGCCAATGGGGATCCAAACAGTAGGCGGGTGGTAGAACTGCTCCATCACCACCAGGGCAGCCACAGCCAGCAGGAGCCCTAGCAGCAGCCCGACCATGAAGAGCCCGACGCTGCGCACCAGCATGGTGACTAGCCCACACAGCACCCCGATGCCCAGCCCAATGCCCACAGAGGCCTCCACGCTCAGCTGAGTGTCCAACACCCGCTCCTTGTAGCACAGCATGAAGATGATCACCGAGCCAAACATCAGCCCTGTCAGGAACATCACTGCCTTAAAGCACCGGTACCCTGAGGAAACAAGGGAGCAGATGTTACTACTACTTGGGGATGTGGTGAAGGACACAGGGTAGGTTAATCATCTGTTACTCTAGTGGGAAAAAGCATTCCAATTATCTGGGCCATACACACTGAGAAATTCTACTCTCACGTTACAAAGAAATATCTAGTGGAGAATGGGAAGTCCTAACACCAGGAGTACATTAGCTGAGCACTTCCTGCACTCCGTACAGCACTGGTGCCCTTCAGGTGCCGACTCCTATTGCCCCACCAGTATGGCTAATGGTCAGGAATGCTGAGAGTTGTAGTGCAAAACATTTGGAGGGCATCGAGTTGAAGAACTCGATGCACAGAAGCCGGCTGATCTTTTCTCACGGGACTTTGCACAGCAACCCAGCCATGCTTTTTGCTGTGCTTGGGAATGTATTTCAATGGGATATCACCAAGAGAATTTCATGAGCATGTGTTCCATTGTGTTGCTGCTGCAGACGCACAATCACAGCTCCTATAGAATGGAAACTGAGATTTTCTTTTTACAATCCCAGGTTGCTGTGAATCCACTATTGCTCTGGCATGAAATGCCTGATCTCTCTCACTGCCACCCAGGCATGTGCCATCCCTTGCTTGGCTGCTTGGTGCAACTGGAACTCAGAAGCTCCTAGGCAGCACATTACACTTAACAGTCTAGGAATGAGATACTCTTGGGTTGTTTAGATGCTCCGATAGCATATTGCTTGTTCTGTGCAAACCAGGCCACAGTGAGGCATGCCTGGCTAGGTGTGGAATGGCCTCCATGCAAATGGTACCGGCATGGAGATCATCTATCCCCTCTAGTCTCCATGCCATACCCTCAACTGCCCTCTGGACACCTAGAATGGCTTGAGACAGCCCTCCCCACACCTGCTCACCAAAGAAGCAGTAGATGATCCCGAAGAGGCAGCACATGGCACACACCACCGAGGGCACCACTTGGTAGCGCCGCTCAATCTCCTGCTCACAACTATGGGTTCGATCTTGGCCTGGGGCATGCGGCAGCAGTGGAAAACGCAGGGTCTGTACAGTAGACGTCATGGCTCTTCAAGGTCTTTGGAGGTCAGGCTCCCCACTCCCTCCCCATGGCCTGTGGGGAATGCTGCCTCATAGTACAGTTTCCATCTGTTGGGAAGAGACAGGATATGAAAGGTCAAGCTCCAGGTTCTTGGAGGTCTGACAGGTGGCCAAGCAGCCCATGAACTGCACAGACTTCCCTGAATCAAAATGACATAATCTTCACAGAAAGAATCAGCAGGACTTAAGGCATATCACTCTCTTTCTTGACTCATTGCAAGTCTGTTCCACCGAGACATTCCACAACGACTCCCCTTTTTTGTGGAGGCTGGAAGAGGCAACTAACAAGGATCACAAATGTAACAAGCTCAGAGATGGAACACCCACCAAATTCTTGGGCCAGAGCCAAGTCCAAACAGACATTAACAGCAGACAGAAGCAGCTTTCTGAATTGTTAGCGATATGTGAAAGGGGCAGAATAAACCAGCCAGCGCTCAACTAGGGTCTCTAGCCACAGCTATTCCTTCAGGGTTCCCTGGGATTCCACTGGTCTTTCTCCATCTTGGACACGTATTATAGCTTCTCAGAAAGTCATCCCAGCCTGACAGGAAGCTCTACAGCAAGTTCCATGATGGAGAGTGGGCTCAGAGAAATCCTAGCAGAGAGCCGAATGGGGATGGGATGACAACTTTCCCCCAAAAAAGAGGCTATAAAGAGAATCGCCACCGCATGGTCTCCATGGTAACTGAGGGAAGAACAGATGATACTTTTAACAACATACATGCACCCCCCCATCCATCCCCCAGTTTTTAGCTCAAAGAACCAGTGGGGTAGGGGAGTGAGTCACCAAAGGGGGATGTAGCAGTTTGGAAAAGCATCTGTCAGAGACCAAGTTTCATTAACCCTATAAGTGTACGTCTGAATACCTGAGTCCAGCCACCAGGACTGGCAAGCTAGTTGGGGCAGCCATTAATAACAGCAGCAAAGGCAGGCCAGAGCCTCTGGTTCCTCTTTGGCTTTCCCTTCCTCATTTTCTTAGCTCTGCTGGCCCAAAGGCTGGGAGGCACAACAGTGTTGTTAGCTCTTCCCTCTTCTTATAATGAGCAGATAAAGCCAAGATACAAGCCTGTTTATTCTTCCTCTCCTTTCTAACTGATATGAGCCACTCTAAATCAGTTCAAAATACAGTTAAATGAGCAAACAAACAATACAAGATCAAGCAGCAGGCAAGCCCTTCCCACTCCTCCTGTAGCTTGCAAGTGAAACACTGAACTGATTCATCTAGGGCTGTAGGGGCACCTCTGAAACCCACACCCAGAAGCTAGGAGCTTTGCACTTACTGCAGTTACCTTTCACACCCACCCCTTGTCACAGAGGATTCCTTTTTGCAGGGTTGGGCTCAGTCACTGGCACGGGGAAATGGGGTGAAGGATGGTAAGAGCTGGGAGGAAGGTGCAGCCAGAGGGAGACTTGCCCCCCCCCCCCGACACCCGTTTGCAGCCCTTCTCTCTTCCCTTTCTCATTTTCTTCCTTCACCTCTCCCCCTATATACTGCCAATGAGCATCACTATTGAAAGCATGCCATCTGCTGATTGGACAACTCTCTGTTGCTAAGGGAGGCAAAGCATTTTCCCATTGGCTGCCGAGAAATGACCAAACGGTGGCGGCCTTCTTCTCGGCTACATCTTTTTCGCTTTGTTTCAACAACTCGACTCTCTTCCAGCGATGTCCCCCCCTCCTTGCCCACTCTTGCTCTTTGGCTGAACAGAAACAATTCTCCATACCTGCTTGCTTTTCCTCCATCTTAAACTCATCTTTAGGTTCATCTTAAATCACCCACCAAGTCCTTTTATTCCATACCTATGCCTTTCCAACTGGCAAGGCCCTTCAAACATGCCCAGGAAACTTCGCTTTACTACTGACCAGAATGAAAAGACCATCCTGAAACAAATGGAAAGGTCTGCCACTTAGGGTGTTTCCGGATGAGGCTTTTGACCTCATTCTGTGAAATTTGCAGGGAATCCAGTTGTCTTCTGCTTGTGTTTCTTTACCCTTCCTTTTCTTGAGCACAAAGGATGCTTCCAGATGGAAAGCATCTAGTGATACTGAGTAAAAGGCAATGTACAACTATTCTGTCTTCTGTAATTTTTTAAGGAACTCTAAACGGTTTTTTATAGTCAGAGAAGTCTGAAGTAGAGGTTGGAAAATTTGAGATGCTTATGAGTAGAAGACAGCATCATCTGGGACCCCATCCCATTCTGTGAAAGCTGCAAGGCAGTAGTACAAAACAAGACCCAGAAAAATTGCTAAGGAGAAAAATATGGAAGAGCTGCACAAGGTCTTCTAATTTATACAGCTAGGAGCCCTCGGTTGTCTTCCAGGAGTCCCAGTCTTGGAGCCTTGATCACAGTTAGTAAGAAATGTGGTAAAATGCTCCAGATAAAGGCGACATCAGCTTAACTCTTTTCTTATGAAAAGAAAGACCCAAGTTTTTAAACAGACATTAGGATAAAAAAAAAAAACAGCCCCACTCTTGGAGGTGTGCAAGTAAATGTTCTAGATATACAGGTACATAAAAAGCACCAGATGTCAAGAATTTATTCTTGTTATACTACATTCATAATATAATATTGTTGTTATTATATTGCTTCTCTTGTGAGGATCCCAAGGTGGCGTACATAGTCCTCCTCCACTCTATTTTATCCCCACAACAGCCCTGTGAGGTAGGTTAGGCTGAGAGTGAGTGGCTGGTCCAAAGTCACCCAAGTAGGGACCAGAACCTGGATCTTCCAGTTCTCCAGTCCAACACTCTAACCACCATATCACACCCTCTGCTATAAAATACACAGAAAAGTATCTTAAAGTTCTTATGTCACATGAAGTCAAAGCAGTCCACTCTATAGGAAAGAACTTAGTTCAAGTGTTAACCATACATAATGTAGTGTGTATGATGCAACATATGATCAGCCATTTATTCATTGACTGGAAACTGACCGTGATGTACATGTAGCTACTTGACAGGCTGATCATCTATAATATCCTACCAAACAGTGAATAGCATTTTATTCCCTATCCACCCCCAATCAGAAATCAAGGGAAGTCTCCTCAGCACCTGGCATGAATTTACAGACTGCTTTACCATAACATTCTTATTCACCCTCTGTAACATCACTATCTAGGTTACATGCCCTCATGACCAGCAAATCAATGAATCATGCCAAACAGTGTTCACTCAGCTGGGTCAAGGGTCATAATAGCAGCATACCCTTCACAGAAAAGATATCAAAGAGACAGAAATTAAGACAGACTCTTAACACATACAGAGACAGTATCCACACATGGGAAGCTGAAACAGAGAAGCACAATGTTCATTCTGTACCTCAAAAGAAACAGAAAGATGGCTACTCTTACTGACTGAAAAAGGCATGCCTATGCTCTGCTGTTCCAAATACAGTCACCTCCAAGAAGCACCACCAAATTACCAGGAACCATAGATAATTTGACATAAACAATGGATCTGAAGCAGGTGATCCAGACATCTTGAGTAGATTGACATCCACATCATGTCTGAATACTATGCAGGCAGATGCATCATGAAAAGACATATCTCCAAATACAGTTAAAAGGATAAGAGTGGCTCTACTGGATCAGTCCCTCAATTTCAGCGCCCATTTTGTGCAGGGGCCAAGCAGTTGCCTCTGACTATGTGAAGCCCACAAGCAGGATAAGGCAATCCCCCTGTCCTGTTGTCTGTCTTTAAGAGTTTCCTATTCAGAGGTATCCTGCCTCTGAAGTTGGAGATTGGTTTGGGAAAACTGCGACCATACAAGTTCCAGAGAGAAAGTGCTACTAAAACACAAAGCAATACTGAGGTTATGTTTTCTTGGAATATGCAAGATGGAGTTACACAAAACTCCTCATATCTGTAGCTTGGAAGTTTACATAGCAGGAGCTGGTGAAACTCAAAAAACTTCTACATGCTTCAATTAAGACATAGGGCCAATAAAAACAAAGCATCTCACCTAGTTTATATTTCTGAAAAGCACACAAATGTACCAACACAAGCAAACTGTCATACTCTTATTCCATAATAGCAACATTTGGCATCACATACACAATTATCTGCCAAAATCAGTTCAAACCAAAATGTGCAAAATCCTGCCCCAAACTAGTCAATCTCCAGCAGCTTTTGTGGCATTGCTTTTCTAGCTCTTCCTCCACCCTGCCAGCTTTTCTAATCTTCCTGTTTGCACGTGGCCCCATTGCCTAGAGAAGAGGAAAGGCCAGTGCAGTTCACAGCAGGCTAAAACTGGGCCCAACATTGCCTCTGGGACAACCATAAATACCTGCTTTGTAAGGAAGTGCTTTTGATGTGTACTTCATGTGTGTGCATCAGAGCAAATAAGATTCTTCTTTGGTAGACATTAGGTACGGCAGTCTGCATCCCTGATCCTCTTCTCTGGGAGCAGGGAAACTTATACCTTGATGCTTGTTAGCATTTAACATATTTGAGCCCTCTCCAGAGGCAGCTGGAGGGAGATGCATGACTGACTAGGCCTGCTGTGGGTTCTAGGCCAGCCAACTGGGCTCCATTCCAGGAATTGCCTGAGCCCTGGCTAATCCTCTTCCATGGTGATTGAGGGCTAAAGTTCCCACTTTCCCACAGGATTCTTTTCTGTGCTATATTCACCCAAGCAAACTCTGCAGCTACAAATAGAGCAGTGAAGCTGACCTTTTCATACAAAGTAGTAGGTGATTCCACAAGGGGAAAGACTTTCTTTATGCTACTTCCTGGTAGGCTGTGGGAGCACGATTACAGTAGTTGAGGAAACCAGGCCAACTCTCAAAGAAGTTGTGCCCAGTACTTTACTCCTAGCTTCTCTTAACAAAGGGATTTATAGGAAGGGGTTGCTATAGTGCAGTTTAGGTTCTGAAGGTCAGGATTCAGGAAAGGCAGGCAAGGTTATCCTGACAGAATCCACTGTAAAGGGCGTGTGAGAGCACGTAATAGAATGTCACATGGTAGGAGTAGGATAAGGAAAGCTGCACAAACAGTGGTTGGATTTGGCTTCTCCTGACAGAGCTTGTTGCTTCAGGGGACAAAATTGTGGTGCCAAGCTATTCACACATTAGGAATAGTGCCAGGACACACACTGTTATCCTAGCAAACTTTTTCTGAGGACTAGAGTTAGGCACACCTGCTGATAAGATCTGTTTATGTGGAGGGGAATCCTTGGTTCCTTATCCTCTCCTTGCCTCTGGGATTACTGTGACAGCTTGTTGAAAAGCTGCTCATGAAAGAATCCTATTAACCTGGGAGCAACCCAGGGGAGTGGTAGTTTGGGGAGCGAATGCATCATGGGGTCCCTGTCTGCCAGATGCTTCTCTGCAAGCAAGGAGAAGGCCCTGGGGCGCAGCATCACACTCTACAGAAATATTGTGCAGTCTTTCCGGGAGGCAGCAAGGAGACACCTGATTTTCATTTTATGGGGAGCGGATGGGGTTGGACAATTATAAAAACTGGTTTGCATGGGAAGGCACTGGAATCAACCCACCTGGTACAAAATATCAATGCTCAGGGACTGACTGTAATGGCTACACATATTACACAGAGCCGGTGGCCCCAGCCTGCATCTGCCCCTGTCACGCTGAGTTTTTATCTTCAGACAGTGCCTAGCTCAGACTCTTCTTCTCTCCCTTCCTGTCAATGGCTGATTGCAGAGGCCTGGCATGGAATGCCTGTTTTGCACTTGTAACTAATGAGTCCAAAGGGCATCATTCATAAGGAGCAGATTCCAAAGAGGAAGAAACTTCACGGAAGTCTGGCTTAATTACTGGAATACAAGTACCTATCTGATACTGCCCTGGTTTGGGCAAATCTCACCCTGGTACTCGCCACCCCTCCTCACAACTGCCATGCTCCACATAACACCCAACTTACTGCAGCCTGGTTAATTATGACATATCGTGTTTCAGAGCAAGACATAAAACTTGCCTATCCAAGCCTAGGTTTGCAGGCACTCACAGAAAAAGGGATTTGAAAAGGTCGGGTATGCTGAACTGCTCTCCCTGAATAGCCACAAACCAAATAGGGGACTGTGCAAACCCTTATGCTGATTGCGATTAATCCACGTGGACTAGCAGAATTAGAACAGGGGATGCTGCAAAGATAGCACCAAACTGCTGCAACAATACCAATCTCAGGAATGTGGGCACTTCCTTGAAGCAACTAACTGCCTTGTAGCACCTTAAGACTAACAAATGTTTTAAGGCACAAGCTTTCATCTCACTTCATCAGAAACATCAAGGGGGAGGGAAGTGGTGTAAACAGTGAGGTCAGTGAGAACTGAAATGTAGAAAGCACAGTGACGAGTACTTCCTGCTTGGCAGTATGAGGGCTGGAATTGATTAGCATCCCTTTTGCAATGCCTACAAAGAAGGCCATCTGATTTGCCAAGTTTGTGACATCTTCAGTCTATCTGCGGCTATTCATCCCTTTCCCGTCCTCTCTCCATCCACAGTGTCCCAGTCAGGTCTCAACATGTCCCTCACTTTTCCACTACTGCCCTGTCCTGGCGTGCATTTGCTCTGCTAACACATGCCTGGCTTTGCCCGCCTGCTTCATCCACTTGTTATCAGTTTGTTCTTCCTGTCATTAGAGCAAGCCAGACCATGTTGCATCCTTGTTTGGGACTGACAGCAGATCACAAAAAGGAAGCTGTGCGGTTGCTAGGATACCGAGCTGCAAAGACTTCTGGGGAACCCGCTAGGCTCCCTTTGTTTGGGATGTGGGGATCCTCAGGGATCCTCGACTTGTCGACCTATAAAGGCTGAGGAAGTGCTCAGTGGGCTACCAATACAATATTCTGGCTGCTTTTCTTTTTGGCCACCTAATGAAAGATTTGGGTTGTTTTGGCTGCCTTCTTTTAAAGCTCATCCTTTGTTTACACATGTTTATGCTAATTAATATCTGGAAACAGATAGTGGGCAGGGCTTTTGTTTTCCTCCCTGAGGGGGCATCACATGTGTAAGGAATACAAGCCGGAGAGTGCGGGGGCTTTAAGCAGACACCCTTTTTATTCCCTATGGAGCCAGCTTTCCAGCAGCTGTGGGGCAGACAGGCTGGGGAGTCGGGGTGGACAGACAGACCCTGAGACTGCGTGAAGGGGCTCTGTGGCCCGCGGCAGCAGCAAGCTGGACGGAAGAAGAGCCGTGTGTGTACAGGACAATCTGGAATCCCCCCTCCCTCGCCGCTCTATCCATCCCGGGCTAGGCTTTCCTTCCTATGGTGGTTGCTGCCGGGGGGCGGACTGGGGGGGCGAATCCGACTCTGTTGTGATGGAGGCCTAAATGCAGCGAGCCCCACTGCCACCCAACTTCTTTTCATTGACTGAGCTCCAAGCACCAGCTGTCTCCGGGCAAGAAAGTAGCGGAAGAAAGAGACAAGCGTGCCTATGCGGCGCTTTCCCGGCACCCGCGCTCCCGATGCTTTGTGCTGCCCTCGGTGCCCATAGCTCCCCCTCTCCACCGCCCTCCCCGTGCGCACTCCTCCGATATCGGGCACTTCTCCGCTTAGCCCGGCAGCCGCACGGCCGTCTCCCTCCGCTCCTCCGGCAAGGGGCGCTGCAAGACTCACCGCCGCACACACGCGCGCACACACGCAGCCACCTTCTCCGCTCCCTCCCGCCTCCCCGCGCCGGTGCCCCTACCTGCTCGGCCGAGCTCCGGACCCGGACCGCTGGAGCCTGCCCGGCCGCCCGCGCGCCCGTCCGGCTCGGCCCGGTGCTGAGGGACAGCTCCGCGTGACGTCACCGCGCCGTTCCCCCCCCTCCCCCGCCGCCGCCTCTGCTCCTCCTCGCGCGCCCTCGCGAGACGCGGCCAAGAAAGGCGGGCTGAGGGGCTGGAGCCGGGCGCGCGCCCGGACCGCGATCGGGCCGCCTTCCCCGCTCCTCCCTCTTCCTGATGTCGCCGCCCGCCCCGCTCCCTCACGTCCCCACGAGCCGCTTCTGGCTTGGAGCGCGCGGCGGGGAAGGCAGGGATGGGATGAACAAAGCCAAAAGCGCTCTGCACACGCACGATGCGCCAGAGCCTCGCGCAGGATTCCCGGCGCCCCTGTTCCCCTTAGGGAGGTCGGGCACGGGTTGCTTCTGGCCCCAGGCTGAGCAATCTTCACGCCGAGTTCCCATGGTTAGTTATGCATCTAACACTACCCGCTTCTAATGCATTGCTTTGGCTGGCTCTTGATTCTGTTGACTGCGTTGTAAAGGCACTGCATTGGCGGCCGCGATATGAGTTCGCGTTGTATAACTACGTTTATTATGCATTGCACCCATCACCTATTCTTGTTACATATTGTATTAGAGAAAACACACACAGTAATGACCCTTAAAGGCTGCTGTTGTTACTATTTTGGCATACAAGTTCGTGGATCACAGCCCACTTCATCAAACTGCATATTAGAGACGACCCATTCCTGCTCCGCCGTCCAGCTGCACTGCATGAGCTGCTTGCATAGTCTAACTCGATTGCAATTGACTTGTGTTCGCACTGCTAGATTCCAGCGTATTGCATTTTCCCGAATTGCTGTAATATTAAATTCCACTGCATTTAGTTTTGCTCCATTTCCAAGCAACTGTGCTCATCACTCATTTCCAAGCAACAGTGCTCATTTCTATACTTTTCATTTAGAAAAGTATGGAAAATGCACCCAATGAAGATTTGGCCCTGGGGTCACGTTTCTGCCAACATGCTGGATTGATTTACTTGTTTAATTTAAGCACACTATCTGTGTCCTCACCTGGGCATCAGGGTTCTAAATTATCCTTTTTAATGTATCTCAGAGCACATGGAATCTTATCTGGGCTACAAAGTAACCATTATAAAGCAGTATTGCACACATGAAATATGGCCCTAGAGAGAACCACTAAAATTTAGTGACTAAATAGTGTGACTCCAGAACACTCTCCCTATTGTAAAATACACATTCCATCTTACCCAAGAAGCATACCAATACATTCAGCATTCCAGCATTCATTCCACTAGATAATGCCATCTGTGGAGGATGGAAGACAGGAGTTTCATCGATGGAGCCCCTGGAAATAACATCTTTAGAACTAAGGGCATTTGGTCATGACAGTAAAAATTCAGGGAGGGCAGTAGAATCCAAAGCCCCAAATTGGAGTATTGTACAAAGATGGCTATAGTGCGCCTTTTCTTTCTAGCAGAGAAGTGGGGAAACTACTTAGTGATGCTTTAAAAGCAGCCCAAGTACATTGGTTTTGAACCTAATTTCAGTTCTAACTGAATGGGTAATTTCAACTCAGAATCTCAAAATATGGTCCAAGGCATGTAATAAAATAACTTTGCAAAAGTTAAGCATATTTGTGGCTGCCCAGCATCTGCACAGAAATTCTTATGTACTCCATCTTGGGTTCCATCATGGAAGAAAAGTGGAATAATAAAACTCATATATGTAATGTTGGCATATGCTAGCCTTCTCCAACTTACTGCCCTCCAAATATTTTAGACTTTGATACTCATCAGTCCACACTGGCAAGGGCAATTGCTAGGAATTCTGGGACTTGTAGTTTAAAACATCTAGAGGGCATTAGGCTGACATATGATCATTGGGTGAGGTTAGTAGAGATAATCCTAAAATCAGCAACAAGGTCATGTTCAGTCAGTTACCCTGAATAGCTTGAGATCAAAAGCCTTGCTGCCCATTGATTGTTTTAAAATAAGAATTAACTTCTGTTATGCACCAGCATTTCCAAACATCCCAGGAGAATGAATTTTATAGATAAACTACATTCTCAAATAATTCTGCTGTCAGATTAATTGGATATGATAACAGATGATAGAACAGAGACTTGTTCACATGAGTTTATTGTGATTCTTAGACCTGATCATTCTTCCCATTCTAAACTATCTATAGAAAGAGAGAATGTGCCTGTTGAACTGTCACTGTCATGTCTGGCCTGACCATGAACAAGGAAATTTTGAGTTGCTGCTGCTGTGAAGTACAGGAGCTGCTCCATCTATAGCTATTGGACTGGTTCCTTAGGTGCTGCCATTCACATTTAGCAAGGTGGCTAAGCCTACATACTAAATACCACATTAGTAGCATTTAGATTACAGGGAAGGTGGGAGTTTGGCAGAGAAGCCAAATATTCCTGACCACCTGAGGTCAGCCACTACTCTGGCTTAGGCACATCATCAGATCTGCTCAAGTCTGAATCCCACTTACCATCTGCCAAGCTGTGTGTGACATGAAGAGGAGGAGGAACTGCTGCTGCTCCTGCTGCTGCTCCCACAGCTATCAACTCCCCTCCCACTCTCAGTTCTCAGCAGCTCAGACAGTCCAGATTTGCCTCTGCTGTGCCAGATGATTAACTCTGCCTCACAGATTAAGGAAAACTTAATTGTCTTCATCTTCTTCTTCTTCTTCTACTCTATCATCATCAACATCTGTATTTCTGTACTGCCCAATAGCTGAAGCTGTTTGAACAGTTCATGGCAACACATAAAATACAATAATAAAACTGTTACTGAACTCAGCCAGTCAACAGCTAGGGCAAACCCGGGTGGACCCCAGACCTGAGCCAAAGGAGCCTGAGACGAGACTTAGAGTCAAAATCAGCTTTATTCTAGTGCACTATAGAATAAAGGGAGACAAAAGGGGACATTCAGCCCAAAGCAGTGTCTCAAAAGTTGCACCCCGGCACATGCGTTTTATACCCTAGGTAACCAATTAGGCCACCTAATACACATCTAATACATGGATACATCAATGTATGCACCCCCTCTCATGCTGGAGAAAGAGTCCTTTCTTCTGTCAAGGACCAGACATTTCCCATGTCTATTTCTTATCTGCTCGAGATTCACACAGGCTTGCCATGTTCTTACTCCCTGCACATTTGCAACTTTCATGGCGGCTAGAACCAGTTTCCACTGTCCTTTTGATTACTGTATTTGAGGTCAGGCTAGTGTGTTAGCTGTTAGTTCATTTTGTTAGTTAGTTCATTTTGTTCTTATCTGCCCTCCCTTCTGGGACAGTATAACTGTGGTGTTTTTACTATGTGGCCTTCCTCTGGTCAATTACTTTTGGGGTGTTTTGGGGTGCTGCAATTGGCAACAATACAATAAAAATACAGTAGAGAAAAACATTGTAAAAATACAAAATTTAAAAAAACAAATTTAAAAAGCTACAATAGCTCACTCACATTAAATCATAGGAGCTATTAAACAATTGACAATGTCCCAATATAAACATCAAGCTAATTAAATGTCCTGTCATAGAGGATAGTCATAATCTGGAACTGAAAAGTTATCAAAGTTGGTGTCAGGTCCCAGTGGGGAGCTTGTTCCATAACTGGGGGCCATCACTAAAAAGGCCTTTCTTGTTATCACCAGATAAACCTCTCTTGGAGGTAGAAGTTGCAGCAGGCCTCAAATCTTGATCGTAGTATATGGATAGCTTGTGCTTGGGAAAGGCACTCTGTCAGATACTGTGGTCCAAGCTGCGCAGGGTTTCATAGGTTAAAACAAGCACCTTGAACTGGACTTAGAAGCATATAGACAGCCAATGCATGGAGGCCATAATTGGTGGTATGTGCTCAGACCTTCTGGTCCCATTACCAATTTGGCTGCTGTATTTTACACAAGTTGCAGTTTCTGGTCAGTTTTCCAGGCCAACCTCATGTACAGTATGTTGCAATAATCTAGTTTAGAAATTACCAGAGTGTAGATTACAGAAACCAGGCTATCCCAGGCCAGATAGGGCCATAGCTAGACTACCCACTGAAGCTGGTTAGAAGGTATTTGTGTTGCTGAGACCACCTGGGTCTCAAATGACAAAGATGAATCAAGACAAGTTCATAAGCTACAAATTAATTTCTTCAAGAGAAGCATGACCCTATCCAGAACATGATATCAAGCACAAATATATTCTACCTCTAGAGGTTATGATGTGATTATATAAGACACAAAATTATATATAAGATTTTATATAGATAGATGGAAAGATGGATCTCCTATATACTGACAGCACATGAAACTTTTTTTGATAGTGTCTGCATTTCATAATACTAATTCCCACACAAAGTAGTATTCTTAGCCTATTGCCAGCCTTCACTCGTCCAGTCAATGATGGATGAATGAATGCTCATTCCAATGACTGAGCATCCAACACTTCTTAGTTGTACTGGGACCTGTTGTCTGGGACCAGAAAGCACAGGCAGTTTCAGCTCAGACCAGCATGCACCCTTGAGAAATGTGGCATAAATCTAAATGCTGTAAATACTGAGTAGTACATACATGATAGAAAGGTTTGGGGAAGGTAGAAATAGAAAGCAAAGGAGGAAATACAGAATGTTTTCCAAATGCAGTACTAGTTTTGTAGGACTGGAGAAAAAAACAATTTGACTGAGTATATGCCAGCTTCATATTTTGTTTGGATTTGAATGAAAGTTTAAAATAATATGTTTGGAGGGATGAGGTTAAAAGAGTTCTTTTGAGACAGGCTGTGTCTGTGTGTGCTGATGGTACCTGAATCATTAAAGCCTCTAATTTTCATTTGAAAATGCTTTCAGCTGCCCACAAGCCATCTTTGAATGGATTTGGAGCTATAAGTTCTTCAAAAAGTTTTACAAAACATAAAACAGTATCATTTGGCAATGCATCAATCTCCTATACAAATTTAATGTCCACTTTTCACTGAGCTACATAAAGGAAATAAAACTAACAGGTCTTGTGACATTTTAAAGGCAAACAAAATCAATCAAATACATTTACAATATGGTATGGAACATGAAAAACTAATGGCTTGAGGCTTCTGCCAGTTCTAGTGAAGCTACTGCAAACATGATGCAAATAAATAAGGACATGTGTAATGGCACTTTAAAGACTAAGGACACAATCTTATGCATGCCTTTGGTCCTGCAACTCTGGATTAGTCACCCTCAACTCTGTTACTTGCCCCATATCATAATGCATTTTGAGCCTAAGAACAGTAACATGGCCAGTAATTGGTATGTTTCATTGAACCAACTTGGGTTGGTTTAAGAGTATGTAAAACATTCCAGTTCAAAAAGCTGTAAGACACCCAAAAGCTCGATTCCATCAAGGAATTGTAAATATACACCTGCTCTTTTCTTTTGCAGTAATTTTAAATACACATGTTCTTTTCTTTTACAATTGTATTCAGTGTGGCCTTTCAAGTGGAAAGTAAGTTGAAAGAGGTTAAATTTCAGCAGATCAGACTTAAGTGCATGAAAAAACTCCTGGTGCCTGGAAGTTGTGGTCTTCTTGTATCAATTTGTACCCACATATATATCAATTTGATATACCTATCAATAGGACCCATATTTGATGTCGGATCATAAAGCCACATGAAGGGGTTAAATTCCTGACTCGGTAGAAGAGAAAATAACATTTTAGGCTGCAGAAAGGCATATATGTGAATCTTTTCCTGTATTTAAAACCCCGAAAACTCTCTCTGAGCAAAAAATTAGCACAGCAGGGAGAAAGATTCTAACCCAAGCATCACTCTGCCCAGCTAGTTGTCTACATGCACGTTCTGAACCCGCCGAGTTGGGGCCACGCCCCGGCAACAACTCCGAGGGAAGGGTCACTTCTGAGGCTTGCCTGAAGTGCCTTGGCAACTTGCGCGCCCCAAGTCCTGCCAGACCCCGGTTCCGATCGTGCCCGGAACCCTAAGGCGGGGTTTGACGAGCGCGCATCCTCGGCCTGGGATTGGCTGGGGAGGTGAGGGGGCGCGGCGGGACCAGTGACGGTTGGTTGGAGGGGCGGGCCTAGACGGGGTGACACGTCGGACGGCGCTGGCGGCGGCTCTCCTCAGACAAGCGGGAGTGACGTTTCCTTGCTCCCCCCCACCCGACCTTCCTTCCGCGAGAACAGAAGCAGAACCGAGCCCCCCGCCCCGCAACTCTCCGCTGGGGTCAGGATGGAACGGCTAGACCAATAGGCTCCTCCGCTCCCGCAAGTGTTCTAAATTGGGCCGGCCCGCCCTCCTACGTTGCTTGGCAGCCGTAGCCGCCCCTCCCCCTTTTCAGGAACCGGAGCCCGGTACCAGGGTCGCCCCCTTCTTGCTCCCCACTTCGTCGGAGTGATCTGCCCTGGTAGGAACTTCGCATCCCCATGACCCTTAGCCTCCTCGGTGACCTTCCCGGCCAGAACCCCTGGTCCCCCCGTGTCCTGGCTTCCTCCACTGGTTGGCCCTCCTCCCCACACCTTGAAAGGCACCCTCTTGACCCCACTGCAGTCTCTTCCGCTTCACTCCTTACATACTGAAGTCTCCCCCTTCTGTCCCTTTAACTCAGGGTCCGCTTTGACGCCCCAGTCCCCCACCCCCACCCCTCTCTCTCCAAACTCACTAGTGCACCATGCGCTTTTCTTTGGTTCTGTCGCTTCTGCGCCCTGTGGGGCCTGTAGTGGTTGGGGTGTCCCTGGGTTTCACGCTCAGCCTGCTCAGTGTAACCTGGGTGGAGGAGCCTTGTGGGCTCAGCCAGGGCAGCTTACGAGATGGGGGCCTGGAGCAACAGCAGCACCAAGCAGGGCAAGGCAATGCTGCCCGCAAGCCCAATTCTGTGCCTGGGGGCCTGGGCATGGAGCCTGAACAGAGCTGGGAGCCTCGTGTCCTGCCCTACAAGCCTCCAAATCCAGACAAGGCTGCGAAGAAAACTATCAGGTATTATGGGGGAAGGAAACTGGAGTGAGCAGGGAGGAAGGGTACGTGCAACTAGGGATATAGGATATGAACTGTTTCTCAAATGTAATCTCAGTTGCTTCCTTGCCACTGTTCATGTTCCTTAATGGGCTTGGGTCTTTAATGATAGGTGCACCATCTTTATTTTCTTTTCCTATGCTATTGAGGTTCTATGACTGAATATATTGCATCATGTGACATATTTCTCAGTCCACACATTTGTTGCCATATAGACATAAACTGAATTTTAATTATACATATTTATGTGAGAGGAGGCTACTGTTCTGCACCAGTACTATGTACAACAGGGGTCTCAAACTCACCTGGGGGCCACTGGAAGTAGAGGCTGGGTGAGGCTGGGCCGCATCAAGTATTCCACCCCCGCGGTGGTGGTGGGCCACTCATCCTGCGTGGCTCCCGGAGGCTGGCCGGGCGCCGCCAGCACTTTGAAGGCCGCAGGGCCCCTCCCCCGTGCCCCGCCTGTCCCGGCGCGCAGCTTAGAGGGAACATTGTGCCCAGGGTAACGACTCACGCAGGTGCGGGCCGCACTATCACTAAACTTTGATATCAAGTGGGGGCCACAAAATATCATCCCACGGGCTGCAATTGGCCCATGGGCCACAAGTTTGAGACCCCTGATGTACAATCTATGTTGTATTCACTCTCAGTAGTCCTCTGAAATAGGTGACTAGGAATTGTATGCTGAAAGATGGTGTTTTGCTCAAGGCCATCCCCGCCTTGGAATGTGAATGAGATGTGAATCTGTACCTTCCAGGTACCATATCCATTACCTAACTAGAGTAGATAAATCTGTCCATAAAATGAAGAACTGCTGTGTGGGATCATGCTAAAGGCCTACTACTCCAGCGTTCTGTGTGTGCAGTGAGCAACCGGATGCCTATAGGAAAGGCAGGATGTGAGAACAAAATCATAATCCCAGCAACTGCTCTACAGAAACACACTAACCTACTCTGATGCTGCAGGTAAAATATAGCCTTCATGAGTAGCTGCTAGTGAAAGCTCTGTCCTCTAAGAATTTGTCTAATACCTTTTAATGCTGTCTAAATTGGTGGCCATCAGTACATCTTGTGGTAGCAAATCAATTAGTTAAACTATGCACAATATGAAGACTGGGACTGTGATAAATATAATGGGACACAGTTGTGTGTACCTCACTCTCTGATTCCCTGGCTGGAGATTCGTGGGGTATTTCCTGTGGTGGCTGCAGTCAAAGATAATGAAAAGAACCCATTTAATTAAGCTCTTTACAGCTTTGTGAGCTAGATAGGACTTTAGACGTTAGTTTTTGACTACATTCAGCCTTGGATGAAAAAGCAGTGTTGGACCATCTTACAGAAAAGTTGAGACATGTTTTTAAAAGAGATTTTCCCTGATAGCAAGCATTGATTGCTGTGGATCTCTGAGCCCCCTTCCCTGCCTCATCTCTTCCCCACTCAGGCTGCTGCCCTCCTCCTATGATCTCCCACAGGAAAGCTTGGGGCACTGCTTTTGCTATTCAGGAAGTCTTTCTGTACAAATCGTTTCCTTTGGAAGGAGGAGGTGGGCTGGAGTGGGTAGGTGTGGTGATGGCTACAGTTACCATGAATTAAGCAGGATGTCTGGCTCCTCCAGAGTAGACTGGATGAATGAGGGCTGAGTCACGGAGTTGTTTCTTGGGCTGCCTCAGAGTCTTTGAGACAGCTATGTTTTGATTAATGAACTTAATCCATTAAGGTTATACTTAGGATGTATTTCATAAGGATTAACCTCTGTGTTGTTCTTGCAAGCACTCAAAATGCTTCATGTGTATTGTTTAGTTGTAATCTTTACAACAACCCTGTAAGGTAAGTCAGTGTGATTAAATCTCCATATTGCATGTGTATGTGTTTTTGTGGCAGCGGGGAGGATGGTGGGGGAGAGAGGGTGGCATTGGCAACCTATTGAGTTCATGGTAGAGGTGAGATTCAAACCAACAACTTCCTGATTTGTAGTTTGGTCTCCTAGCCAGTACTCTGTACAGTTTATTGGGGTAATTCAGGCATTGTCTTTCATGGAAGTCCTTATCCCTGTTATTGGGATAATGTACTTTTATGTCCATTGCCTTGTATCCCATGGAGAAGAAGTGACACAAGAAGCCTGTCCTGTCCCCATCCATCCCACCCCTGTTTTCAAAAAACAGCATTTCATACTGTGAAAATTATTATTATTATTATTATTATTATTATTATTATTATTATTATTATAACATTTCTATGCTGCCCCTTGCCGAAACCTCGGGGCGGCTTACAACATGATAAATGCATTTCTGTTCACTAGCTACTGTTCTCCTGCACAAATGAATCCTGTGTGGATTTTTAAAAAATGGGTGATATGCGATAAGGGTTCTACACTGTCCTACTGTAAGAGTACAGCACGGGAGCACTAATCTATCTGGGTTTTTTGGGTGAGGAGAATTATGCATACAAACAAGTGGAATTATTCCACTTGGTCCGCTTGCTGTAATGTCTTGAAATTGTGGAAAATTTAGAAATCAAATTTTTCAAGCTGTACAAGTTTTCTTTTTCATTCATTAAACTGCATATCTCCCATTTGTTTAAAAAATAAATACGTATGACTTGTTTCCTACAGTAATAACATCCATCCATTATGTCTAGACTGTACATTGTTCCAAGAGATATCCCATAAAGGCTATAATGCACTTGAGATGCACTGTGGCTGGTTGTTTAGGTAGATTTCTAGTCTGTGGCTTCTTTCATCAGCACCAATGAAGAGGCAAGTATGTGTACCTGTCCAAAATCTAAAGTCCGCAGCTTTTTGAGTAAGCTGTTCTTTCCAGGTTGCATATAAGCACTTATTCAAGGAAGTAATACCCAGTCTTTTCTGATAACATATACCAGACTGTCATACTTCTGAAAAGTCCTGTGCTTCCCTTGGACTGCATCTCTGTACATGTGGGGCAGGAGAACACACATGCATTCAAATCCTTCCTATATGAGGGGCCTGGTTGAAAATGGATTGCTCAGATATTACAAAAAATTGTAAATCTATATAGTCTAGACTGAAAAAAGAGTGTGGTGTTTATGTATGCCTCGAAATGTGGTCATATGAAATGTTTAGAGAAGATTGTTCAGTTATTTGGCAGGCTTATTCAGCAGGGATCTGCAAACCATATAAGGGCTTTGCTGGTCATGTGTTGATTTCCTTCCGTCCAAGGATGGACAACCTGTCACCCTTTGCTTGGTTTTGTGAAGTCTTTGGCCTACTTTGAAAGGCCTCTTGTAAGTAATGTCTTCAGAGCTCTGGCAAGAGCAGTCTGTTCCTTTTTGGGCAGACTGCTAGGTAGTTGGGGGAAGAGAGAAGGGTTCTCTGGCTCCCCCCAGCTTCAAATTCACCAATTCCTGATAATTGGCCATGCTGACTGGCTGATGATGGGTGTTGTAGAGGGCAATAGGTTGCGTACCCCTGAGGTTAGCATTAAAATATACAACCGTGACATGCAGGCAGTTTGAGTTTCTCCACCTCAGCCTTAGTCCAAATTGCAGGCCTGGGTATTAATGGCTCTGTTTTTTTAGCTATGAAATGGGGTATGCAACTTGATACCCTCTAGAATTTTTGGATTATTGTTCCTGTTATTTCTGAGCATTGGCTTACCAGCTGGGACTGATGAGAGCTTGAGTCTAAAACTTCCAGAGGGTATCAATATACCAGTCAGGTATAAATTTCACTGTGCCCCAGCTACTATTTGTTTACTTGCTCATATCTTTATAAGTTGCTGCTCACCTAGGACGAGTAGCTATTGTTTCTTGCAGAATATCTTGAGTCGCAGTGGACATGGTGCTTATTGTCTGTCATCTAAGACAACGTGTAGCTGGCCAGGTTGGTTAGTCATGAGTTGTGTACACTTGCAGCCATAGGGTAGTGGCTTTGGGGAGCAGGAGAGTGCAAGTGGGGATGCTGACACCATGTGGGACTCTGCACATCACAATAAGGAAGAACAAAGGAAGCTATAAGCCAAGTGACCACCATATGGGGCTGCACAATTTCTAGTCCCTACTATCCCTGGATTAGGTGACTTTCAGCCAGTCACAGACTCTCAACTAAAGTTAGTTCACAGTGTTGTTCTTAGGATAAGATTATGAAGAGAGGAGAATTATTTGAGCCACCTTGAGTTTCTTGAAGGGAAAAAAGGCAGGATATAAATAAATAAATTTTAAAAATGCAGCCACCGTATGGGGCAGCACAGTTTCCTCTGAGCATTTATCTTCCCACTGCTAAAGACAATGATGATGGTAATAACAGGAGTGGAAGAACAGGGAGTAGAGTAATTCCGTAATCCTCAGTAATTATTTTTGTGTAACTGAAATAAAGGAGGCACAATTTTCAGAAAATTAGTTTGGTATGAGGTGTTTGTGTGTGGGGGGCACACAGTTATTTCTAAGGAACCATGGCTTTTTTTTTTGTTTTTCTCCAGGTGGTTTATTTGGATTTATTGCCCCTTATCTTATCTCTGGATTCCATTGCTCTGGCTTATTGGTCCTGCTGGAGAGTTTGCCCTCTAATCTTATCTGAATTTGGTTTTTTTTTTGGGAGATAGAGGTCATTCTAATTGGTCTGTAATCAGGCATGTCCTGGAATATCCTCAACACAGGTTTCTGTACTTATAGTTGGATGCTATATACACAAGCCAAAGTGAAGAGGGGTGTTTTCCCCTCTGTGGATACACCCATTTGCTCAAAATGCCAGCAATTTGAACAGCAGTGATTTTGCAATGAGTTCTGTGTACCAGCAAGAGATGGTTTGAACACATAATACCAGTTGTGGCTTTTTTGAATTAGCTGCCTATATGCTTCAAAACCCTGTATAGGTCAAAAGCAGAACTAAGAATAGGATTTTAGCAGCCATAATTCATCTGCTGCTATTTTTTTTTTGTATATTTTAAATTTTAAATATTTTTCTGTGGATATATTTTATGGTTCTTATTGTATTATGGCCTTTTTCTGGGAATTGCTGTAAATTGTCCAGAGAACTTTGGCTGTTGGGTAGTATAAAATATAATACAATACAACAAATGTTAATAGAGATTTTTATATGGGCAGGAAGCTTATTTTCTTCTGGATATAATGTTGAGCCCAAAAATCTAGGCTGGAACAAGGATTGTGAGCTTTGGCAACAGAAGAAAGTAATGCCCTAGCTTGATTGTGTCCTCCCCAGGATGGAAATGAGGTCTGGGGAGGACTCCAGTGAACCCTACTGCAACTGTAGTCATACATACCTTTTGGTAGTTGCTCAGTTCATTTTTTTAAAGTTAAAAATGGCATTATTCTGATTATTTTGACATTTCCTAATTCCAACCCTGTGTGTGTGTGTGTGGGGGGGGGGGGGAGAGAGAGAGAGAATGAATGAATGAATGAATTTAGTCAGTTAATAATTGCCTACTGGGAGTCCAGAAGACCATGTGACTCCAGATGTTGGCTAGGAACTCGCCTTTATCTCTGACTAGTCCTTTATTATGTTTCGGAAGCTTTCCCTCTTTTTTTTTTTTAGGGAATTGTCTTCCTTAAAAAGGCTTAACTACACCAAGCTCTTATTCTTAACACTTTGTTTTTCTGTGTATTTCTGTTCTTTCTCTCTCCCTGCCTGCCTCTGCAGAGTGTGCTGGCCCCTTATTTCTCACCTTCCCAGTAGGGAAGTACTGCTGTGTGGCCTGAGCTCTTTCACTGCTACTCTCAGTTCCTCAGACCCTTCACAATCATGAAGTGTGGGGTGTTCACCCATTCTCATTGTTTGCCTCTGCCTCTGCAGTCCCCATCAGCAGGACTCTCAGAATCCCCTTTCCCTTTGCCGGTTTGCCCCAGACTCAAAATGAGCATACTGACTGAGAGATCAGTGGTAGAGACTGGGGGCCCAGGGATGAGGGACTGAATGACTTGTGTTGTCCCCAGGAAAGCGGGAGGGATAGGCAGGAAGTGGAGGGACTGAATGAGCCCACTGTGTGAGTGCCGTTAGAGATGGCGATGGGTGGGTGGATGGGTGGGTGGGTAGGGATGGTTTCCTGCCACATTTGAATAATCAGAACCTGCGGCTAATTGTACAAGACAGGCCACCTGCCTCTGAACTTCCACTATAATGTCACAGAGAGCCGGATAAATCACCCCTCCTCCAACTTGCCTGGTGCAGTTTGTATTATGATGAATCCCTGCCTTGAAGGGAGATGGCAATACCTTTCTATCCTCTTGAAATATGTCGTCTTAGGATTTGCAGTCACAGTAAGTGAACTGTGATGGGAACTCCAGCTCCCTGGCACTTGGCTTTTTGCTTTGGCACCTTCCCTGCTCCAGCTATACCTCTTTTCACAAGCCTTGTGCTATGGCTACTTCCTCCATCTACTCAGTCAGGGATTATGATTAGCTCCTTATGGGGTCATATAGTGATGGAGGCTACAGATGGCTTCTTATCTAGGCTGGAAGGCGGACTGGTTCCGTCCCAGGCCAAGTGAGATCTGAGCTATTGTCATGGCTACCATCTTTGGATTTTCACTCATTTGTTTGGCAGCGTGTATTTGTTTAACTGACCTGAAGGTTGGGTGCAGTCGCAACACATCTCAAATGCTTGATGTGGTGAGCTTTTTAAATTGTATACTATATGCATGGAGAGTTATATTTCTGAAGTCTCCCTGTTGATCACAGAAATTTAACTCAGACATTACAGTGGTGCTGACATTGTGACTGATTCTTTCAGTCTTCATGGGAACTTTCTGGATACAAATTGCTAAGCAGTTTCCAGGTTATTGCTGGTCATGTATGGATGATAGTGAGTTAAGCAGCTGATGTGCCCCAATATTTGATTCCTTTTGGTGATGACCTTGCCAAGGTGTACTCTTCCTTATAGGATTTCCACATATGATGCCTTCAAAAGGACAGTCACTCACATTTGTTTAGCAATTCACTTCAAACTAGCATAACTTACAAATCAAGAGGAACTAGTAAAGTCGTGTGTGTGTGTGTGTCTGTGTGTTCCCCTCTTACTCCACTCTAAGCTTTTTGGATGCATATATTTCTCCAGAGAGGGCACAGCTTTTTTAATAAAGTCTTGGTTCAGCATTTCTGAACTATATCTACAAATACAGCAGTGTGTTTCCTTGTTCATTTATAATGCAGTGATCACTAAAAGAAGTAAGACTTCAGTTTTGATAAATGTCCAGCATGCCAGACTATTTGTAGTATACTTGTAGTACATGCAGGGCTATTATTATTTAACGGCAATGTACTGGGTGCTATACAGATTCTCTGTTAAAAAAGACATATTCCCTCAGCCTGCAGGGGGTTTCCTGGAAACTAAAGTGTGATTATGGGGAGTGAAAACATAGAGGTTTCGAGAAATAAAGGTAATAAGAGTCAATGTGAACAATTCATTTCACTCAACTCTTCGTTGTCCCAAGGATCAAATCCCCCTTTGTTTTTTCTCTCTCTCACACACCCGCCCTCACACAAAATGCACCCTCTGGTGTATTCCCATGTGATTGTGGTATGTATGTAAATGCTGGAACTTCATGGATCCTTCCCATTTAATTGTCATTTTTTTTCATGGCTGTGGGAAGGCCCATGCAGTTGGCCCCAACCATGTGGTTTCTGTATTCTCACACATGCATGCATGCATAGCAGCTGCATGGGAATGCATCACATGGAAGCAGTTCTAGCCTGTGCCTCTGCAGACATGTACCAGTGGGAGTGAAAATGATGGGGTCTGAATATGGCTGGCAGTGTGAAGTCCCCCTCTGGGTGGTGCCCTTTTCTCAAATACTTTGGAGGGAGTTTGGGGACTTGTTCAGAAATGCTAGGCAGAAATGATCCTCCCTTGGTAAGGACAGCAATGAAGGGAAAGGGACCCTTCTGCCTCTGCTAACTTTTCTTTTCTTTTTGCCTGTTCTCCTTATTCCTGAAGGACACGATACATCAGCACAGAGCTGGGCATGCGGCAGCGTCTTTTTGTGGGCGTGCTGACCTCAAAGAATACATTGCATTCACTGGCAGTGGCGGTGAACCGCACCCTGGGCCACCGGCTGGAGCGTCTGGTCTACTTCACAGGCACACGGGGGCGCAAAGTACCTCACGGCATGATGGTGGTGACTCATGGTGATGAGAGGCCCATATGGAACATGTACCAGACCATCAAGTATGTGCTGGACCACTACGTGGCTGACTTTGACTGGGTGTTCCTCCTGCAGGACGACACCTATATGGAGGCCCATCGGGTGAACCGCTTGGCCTCTCATCTCAGCATCGACACGCTGCTCTACATGGGCCGGCCTGAGGAGTTCATTGGTGGGGACACTCAAGGACGTTACTGCTATGGTGGTTTCGGCTACCTGCTGTCCCGGGCCCTGCTCCTGCGCTTGCAGCCGCATTTGGAAAGCTGCCGAAATGACATCCTGAGTGCCCGTCCTGATGAGTGGCTGGGGCGCTGCATCATCGATTACACAGGAGTAGACTGTGTGGCGGAGCATGAGGTGAGGGCTTCTTGCATTGAGCTGGCCCTGCCCTGTCTCTGGGCTGCTTCATGTGGGCCAGGGTTTCTTCAGGGACACATGCAAAGGAAAAGAGAGTACACTTCTGTGCTTATGAAAACTATTTCAAGTTTTATTTTGCTATGATTACATATGTTTTTTCATGTCGGTGTAAATTTCATAGGTCTGGCATGAGCCTCTCCTCTTCCAGCTCTTATCTCAAGTGCTGGTAGCTTTTTCAGAGCCCGACAGGACACCAGGTGCTCCATCCCTCAGTACCACTTTCTGAGTGATGAAGATCATGGTTTTACCTTTTATTAATGGGTTGAGGAACTTTCTTTGCTCCAGGGAATGTATTGCCACATTGGAGCAACACCACAGGATGGAAGGGTGGTTTGTGGAGACCAGTTCCTGATGCCAGTAGGTGGGCACCCTCCTCTTAATGTCATCTGGCCCCTCCAGCTCGTGGCTTATTTGGAAAGCCAGTTTCGCTCTGCCTTGATTTTCCTTGATCAGAGAAAGCCTGGGCAGAGTGATCCAGTAAGTCATCAGCTTCACAACTTTTTCCCCTTTTCATGTGAGAGTAGGTGACAGAGGAGTGAAGCAACTCCAGTCTCTTCTCTCTTCTGAGGGAGCGGGGCTTTGGAGAAGGGAGGAGCTCCCTTTGAGACTCCCTGAGCAGGGCCAGTAGGCTGAAGTTTGGTTTGTGGATTGAATGTTCTCCATTCCTATTTGATAAAGATTGTTGGCTGTTGGTATGTGAATAATTGTAAAACTTGGTACCTTTTTAAATACAAGGCAATTTTGTTTTGTTTTCTCTTTTTTGACTAATGCTTTTGGGAACATTTTTGGCAGGTTTTTGGCAGGGTGGGGTAAAAACTGGTGCTGAAGATTCTTCTGTCTCTCCTCCCCACAAGGGCCTACATTACCAGTACTTTGAGCTTGGAAAGAACACTGACCCTGAGAGAGAGAGTGATCCACGGTTCAATGCAGCATTCACTGTTCACCCAGTGCTGGACCCCGTTCAGATGTACCGACTGCACAGGCACTTTGCCCGTGTAGAGCTGGAGCACACGTATCAAGAGATCCAACAACTACAGGTAAGGTAGGCATGGTGAGGATTTTGAGTCTGTTGCTGGCTGAACTGCGAGAGACTTGGCTGATTCCTCTGCCACGTTCCAGTTTCCATTCTAGTGCCAGTCAGACATGTTGGACAATGCAAACCATGCCATTCTCTTAACTTTTAGGGAGTGGTGGCGGCTTACAGCCCCTGGTCAGATCTCAAAAGCCTTCTGCAAGTTAGCAGTTCAGACATCTGGAAAGAGCAACCTGTCTCTTTCTTAGTGGTCCACTGTATGGAGGAGAAACAGGAAGAGAGAAGGGGGTTTCACAAAGGGAAGAGGGAGACAGAAAGGGAGAAAGGTCCCTGATGTTGCTCCCAAGAGAACCCAAAATACAGGGGAAAATGGCAAAATCTACAGTTCAGCAATAGCATTATTAGAAAAGTCCTAGCTCATGGACCCGCATTACTGCCTTTTTTCCCCTCTTTTTTTCTAAGGAGCTGTGCCTTGAACAAAAGATAAATTCCTCACCTTGTTCTAGGGTAGTTAATGCATTTCTTGGCCAGGGTTAACAGTGTCATTTTGATTTCAAATAATTAACAAGAACGCAGAACATAATTACAATTTCCACTTCTAACAGCCACATGTATTCCCCTACCCAAGCACACACAAACACACATTTTCCGCTCATTAAAAATAAAAAAGGAGGGAAAGTTGATTGTAGCAATGTTCATGTTGGCAATTGCTGATGGTTGCTTTACAGAGTTGAGCAGTAAATGCTGCATTCTGAACATTGGCCCTTGCTTCTCCAGTACAGATTGGTTGAGTAGGTGGAAATGCTGGATTTGCAGGGGGAAAGTGGTAGTATGAAATGCATATGTGACCTTCTCCCCACCCACTGCTTCTCCTGTGCAAAACATATTCTTTTGGAGCTGATGTTTCAGCCATGCTGGCTACATCATGCCTGGGGAACTGGTTGAAAGTGACGGTCATTTGTAGGACAGAAAAGGGCAGGGAGGAGAAGAATTAAAAACATCACCACCTTTTTCAGTGGAGAAATGACTGTTGGAGTGCCTAACCCTAGGTTTGCTACAGAATGTTTGCCCAGAAGCAACTCATTTAGGAACATAAAGCAAGGTGAGATTAAAATATGGAGACCTTCTGGTTAACAGTTACTTTGAGATGCATCCTTTTCCAGATAACCTGAAGCAAAATGTTATTAGGCATAGTGGCAGTAATTACGTTAAATGAAATTCTGAACCTAAGTCCCAGTTTTGGAAACTAGAAAACATGCTTAAAAGCCTGGTCAGCAAGCAAGGGATTGAGAGAGGAAGATTCTTTTCTGGCAGAGTGTCAAATGAGTCCAGACAGTGGTCTGCCCTTAATCTCATTGCTAGGCACAACACTGGCTATCATTATGAACCTTGACTCATAGGCTGGGTTTGCCAGCACAACAAGCCATGATAGTTTTTTTTACCATTGTTGTTCTGTCATGCTGTCTGAACCCAGTCATGGTATTTCACTATGGTAAGTTTGTCCTTAGAAACCATGATGAGAATCAATGGTTTGTTCTGTGGTGTATTTGTATCAACCTTGGCTTGTGACATTTTCTGAAAATTTCCTTGGTGTCCATCATCCTGGTATGCAAATACCAGAGAGTCCTCTGGAAAGGGTGGCAACTGCAGAAGCCACTCCAGCCATGTGGCCTGTATATGTGGACCAATGAGGAAGAGGCAGGTGGCATAGACAGAGAGTGGTACACCTTGGGATTGGATTTCAGGCACAGTGACTGATGGGATACTTGCCAACAGTGGGAGGGCTGAGCAGGGAGGATGTAAACCACGATAAAGGAGAAAACACTTGATTGTCTTTCAGGTAGATCATGGTAAAAAAAAACTATGAACCATTGCATCCAGTCAGGGTTGCTTGCCGTGTTGTGTGAATGTAGCCCTAGTCTGCAGTTCTGCATGTGGTCATTGTAGAACTAGGTAGCAATATTGATAGCTTCATAGACTCTTCTATCAGCCTTTTGATTTATGTGAAAAAAGACCAGCAGAATATTAAGATATATGAGAACATGCTGAAAAAATAGCGAAATGCACAGCTAAAATACATTAAATTACATTGATTTTCCTCTTTTCTGTACTGCTGTAAATTAATATTTGGGTCTACTGCCTTTGGTTATAATGTATTTTTAAGTGATTTATTTATATGGTACCCCTGCTAGTTGGCACTTGGGCAGTTTCATATAAAAATAATATACAAGTGTATGTGGGTAATAAAAAATGAAAATCCATTTAAAATTACCTTAGAAGAAGGAGGAGGCAGAAGTAGGAGGGGAGTAAAAGCATATTATTTTGGAAGCTAAGGGTTGATCCTTCCCAGAAGTTGATCATGAAAAAATAAAGTATCCAGGTGCTTTTTAAATGGGAAGTGGTAGAAACACGCAACTTGGAGGGAAAACAGTGGAGGACCTTCTGGAGAGGGAGGAAATGCATAGATAGGTGCTGCATTGTCCAGCAGTATCAAATGGGATCTTTGAGTATCAGGTGGTGTCTGAGTACAGATAAGCAGCAGGGTGAGCTTAACCAGGGTACTTGTAATTTAACTGGGTAACTGTATTTAATCCTTTGCAATCTTCTGAGGTAAGGAGAGTGTTTTCTTTAACAATTGTGATGATGGTGAAACCTTTTCCTCAGGAAGTAAAACAAACAAAAAATTAGTGTGGTGAACATTGTAATTGTAAAATTCAGCGAACTCCAGCAAAATTATGCTAAATCTTCTGATTGCTCCAGCTTTACTGGGACTTGAACCAAATGGAATTTCTGCTTTCTTCCTGCCTTAGACTTAGATTTGCTTGTTACCAGGCAAATACAATGAGGAGAAATGGGAGAGTCCTGGGTCAAAGAGTTTAGAAGTGCTGGGGACAATGTTGTAGCCAGCCTGGGTACCCTGTCTAGGTCATCAGTGTGACCTAAATGCACCCCAAAGGAACATGGTAACACAAGCCAGCACATTAGGCAAACTGCAAAGGCAGACTTCTCAAGCAAGAGCTCAGCTGAGATCAAACTGAAATGGGTTATTGAGACACTGCTAACTCCAGGTATGCGCACATTCAAAATAAACTTTCAAAGTCTGCTAGGTGAGTGTGGCATCAGTTGAACGTGGCACACTGTGCTGAGCAGGCAGTGCAGCGCAGTGGAACATGCAGGCCTGTGAGGAAGCTTGCCCTTGGCTTCGCTCACTCAGAAATCAAAGATGCTTGTTCCCCTACATAGCCTTTCCCAACTGGCTGTCTTGCAGATGTGTTGGTCGATGACTCCCATGATCCCTGACCATTGGCCATGTTGGCTGGGGCTGATGGGAGTCATAGTCCCAAAAATAGGAAGAGTACCAGGTTGGGAAGGCTGCTCTGGCAGTTGGTGGAATGTTTCCACACACTCTGAACCAAGTTTGGCAATCAGGAAAACCACAGAGTAGCATTTCCTAGTGTCTCCTATTCTGTTTCTAGAGAGTGTAGAATGGGATGAGTTACTTGAGCTAGGACCTCATGAAGGCCAAATGATTCCTGACTTACTTGGGTTCATTGCTCTGTCTGCCTAATATGGCTGATTTAATTGAGAATCAATTGATTGCCTGTAATATCTGTTCTTTGGTTATTGGAGTTCAACACATAAATTGGCATTTGGTTTTTAATGATTGCAGCAGACAGCCCAAGAACCTGGAGCAGAAAGCTCTTGATGTGGTTTGGAGAAGAGACAACCTATTAATATTCATGTCTAGAGTCATCAACCCCAGAAGAAGTGCAGGAAGCACTTGAGCTGCCTGGTGCAGAGATGTGGCAAGTTCTCTGCTAGCTATGGGGAACTTGGGCCACAGGAAAAAATGGCTACCTGCAGTGGTGCATTGCTTTGGATATTATAATGTTCTTATTCCCTTGTTGATAACACTGGTCCTGATACACATTCGTGCCATCCTTCAGCATAATGGTCCACCCTTGTATTTGGTTATTGTAAAGTCATGGAGGGTTAGCTGCAACTTGTCTTCAAACCCCAACTTGCCTTTCCGCTGTGTCATGGAATTGCACTTTCTGTGTCCAGAATAACTCTTATAAAATAAGCAGGGAGTTGAATTTAAGTTGGAAAACTCCAAATTCTTGACAAATACTGTTCATGGAAGCAGAATTGTTAAGCCAAGACAGGAACATAAGGAGGGGAAGGCGTACCAATGTTCTCAGCTTTGTTATATGGGCTAGAAGCTTGCTTTAGCAAAACCAAATGAAAAGTGATGGTATCGGAATGTTGCCTGCTTGTCCCTTGAGAGATCAGCCATTCAGAATTCAGAATAACACAACTGTGATTTGGAGTGAAGCTTGTTGGGGAGTTGTGAGGCCTGGACACGTAAGAATTGAACTTTGGCTTCAGGAAGTGTTATTGGACCTTCGTTTAGTGGAAGGACATGTGCTTTACATGCAAAAGGGTTGAAGTTCAGTCTCTGGCAGCTCTGAGGCTGGGAAAGAGCCTTGCCTGAAATGAAAGAGCTGAACTTTGTGTAAGGCAGCTTCATATGTTTATATAAAAGGACCTTTCTAGAATTGCCTTCAGGGTTGGTGATTTATTTATAGCCAAGGGCCTGTGCTTTCATTCAGAGATGTGTATAAGGGCATCAACTTAAATCCGGGATGCTTTGAATGATATTTGTCCCTCTTTCACCCTGATAACGTTTTACTTCATAGGACAAAACAGTCCATGCTTGCAATTCCCACAGCTGGGTTTATACTCTGGGTCACACTGCCACCTGGTGGTAGAAGGACAAAACGTCACACATGGCTACCCCCCCCCCCCCCGCCATTACTTTGTGGTAATAATGTGTTGCATCTCAGGTTGGGAAGTTTAGTTGCACTATTGAGCTCCAGCAGTGCAGTTTATGAAGAAGCTTTTCCCTTGCCCTAGTGTGGCTGCTCAGACGGTACACTTTCTCTTAGATTGCCTGTGTTCTCTGGAGCAGATAGCTTTCAGGGGGCTGCTGCAGTGGAGCTGTGTGGGGGATCCTACATGTACCGTGACTAGTCTAACTGAGGAATTCTAGAAAGAGGCATATGCTTAACTTTTTGCAGCATTCATGCCTTCTTGTCAAAGGTAGTGTGAAGCATCATACCTGACCTGGCTGTGTCATGTGCGTGAGTGAGAGAGAGGGAGATGGCGCATGTCCTCGCATCTGGGAGATCAAAATTGGAGTCAGAGTGTGGCCTCGGAGGAAGCTGCTATCTCCGCCTCCTTTTCCTCTTTCTGTAACAAGGGTCTTTCTCACAACAGTGAGGGCAAACTTGCCAGAATTGCATGATGCTTAGTTTTCAAAAAGTGGTTTATAAATGGTGGAACTGAGTATATTTATTTTTGTAGTGGCTGTTCTATACAACATTTCAGGTGACTTACAGCAGTAATAATCATAAGTATCACTGGTAGTGCGTGGACACTGTGTGGAAGGAGGGCTTGTGTCTCTGAATGAGGATTTACCTGAAAGAAGGGTTGTATTTGCGTGTGTGTAAGAGAGAAGAAGAAGAAGAGAGATGTTAGTACCCAGATGATTAAAAGTAGGAACTCCTGTTTCCCATAGGGAGTGTAACTGTGAGCTTGTGAGTGCCTGCCTTTAATTCATTTGGCTCTTTTGGGGGAAGGGTCTCGAGACTCCCCTCCCACCTTTAACTCTGTTCTGCACTCTGTCCTTTCAGCTGGAGATCCAGAACACCAGCAGCCTTTCTGCAGATGGTGACCTGAGCGCCACGTGGCCCATTGGCATCACTCCCCCTTTTCAGCCAAAGACCCGCTTTGAGGTGCTTCGCTGGGATTACTTCACTGAAGAGGCAGCTTTTGCCTGCGTGGACGGTGCCCCCAAGTGTGAGCTTCGAGGTGCAGACGCCGTGGATGTGGCAGACGTGGTTGCTGCGGCAGTAGAGGAGCTGAACCACCGGTACCAGCCCGTGCTCCACGTCCGCAAGCAGCAGCTGCTGAATGGCTACCGTCGCTTTGACCCCACCCGAGGCATGGAGTACACCCTGGATCTGCAGCTGGAGGTGGTGACCCAGAAGGGGCACAGCCGTTCACTGGCCAAGCGGGTGCATCTGCTGCGCCCCCTCAGTGAGGTGGAGATCATCCCCATGCCCTATGTGACCGAGGCGAGCCGAGTCAATGTCATCTTGCCGCTGACGGCCTCTGAGCGGGACTATGCCACACGCTTCCTTGAGGTCTATGCCACAGCAGCCTTTGAGAATGCCGAGAATGCTGTGCTGACCTTCCTTTTCATCTATGACCCTTTTGAGGCACAGCAGGTGGCTCAGAATGACGTCTTTGGGGCAGTGAAGGCCCACATCACGGAGTATGAACGGCGCTACACGCAGGTGAAGATCCCCTGGATTAGTGTCAAGACAGATGCACCCTCCCAGATCAAAGTGATGGACATCATCTCCAAGAAGCACCCCGTGGACACCCTCTTCTTCGTGGCTGGCGTGAGCACCGAGGTCACCACGGAGTTCCTCAACCGGTGCCGCATGAACACCATCAACAGCTGGCAGGTTTTCTTCCCCATCCACTTCCAGGGCTACAACCCCACTATTGCATTCCACAACCAGCCCTCACCCCTTTCTGGCCTGGACCTGGTACGGGATGCCGGTCATTTTGACCGTGATGCTTTCAGCGAAGCTTGCTTCTACAACGCTGACTACATGGCAGCCCGCACCCGCATGGCCGCTGACGCCCAGGACAACGAAGACATCCTGGAGACGATGGACATCTATGACCTCTTTGTCAAATACTCAAGTCTGCATGTCTTCCGTGCGGTGGAGCCTGCCCTGCTGCAGCATTACCGACCCCACAGCTGCAACCCCCGGCTGAGCGAGGAGCAGTATCATCGCTGTGTGCAGAGCAGCCTGGAGGGCCTGGGGTCCCGTGCGCAGCTGGCCATGGTGCTTTTTGAGCAGGAGCAGGGCAACAGCACATGAGAACTGGGCCGGGGCCAGCTGACCTCTCCCACTCCCCTCCCTTTGTGCCCGGAGTGGCAGAGGAAAACCAGAAGGCTCTGGACCATGAGTGCTGTTTCGGCTGGCCTTCTGGGTCACATTGTGGACAATAGATGAGAAGGGGAACCCCTGTGTTTCTCTTGCTCTGTTTGGCGATGCGGCTCCCCCGTTCCCGGGCAGGCAGGACCTGCCTTGGGTCTTCCTCCCTCTGACTGCTCAGTGCTGCAGCTCCTGCCTTGTGGGTGGCGGGACTCTTGGAAAAAGGGCCTCCTACATAAACTGCAGGGGGTGGGGGGTGGGGGGTGGTTGAAGGAGAGGAGGCAGGGCTGCTGGATTGTGAGACAGAAGGGGAACGAGAAGACCCAGCCTCTCCGGAGCACCATTCAGTCCTATGGATGCCATGTTGGTGTTAACTTAATGAACCCTCCAGACTGGTGTGGTGGGGAGGACAGAGGGATCCCCTTTGTTTTTGTCCCAAGGACACCACGACTCAGGCTGCTTCAGCCTTTGATTAGTGTTGATAGGGGTAAAAGGGTGGTGCAGACCAGGCAAGAGCCTTCAGTGGGAGAGTCAAGCTGTGTCCCTGTTGCCAGGCTGGCTCTGGCATGATGGGGCGATTCCTTTTTCTGCTGCAACGTACAGCAGCCTCTTTTGCCACCTCCTGGGCTGGTAGTTGGTGGACTTTCCAGTATTGTAGCCATGCTCAGTTGCCTAGAGCTCTCCAGCAGAGTGGATTGTGTTGGTCAGTCTGGCGCTGGGACCAGGAAGCAGGCCCAGGATGGGGGAGCAGACAAAACTCGGCTCTCCAGTGGATTGATATTTAACATGGGGTTGGTGACTAAAATTTGTTTTGCATTTTAATAAATTGAAGCAAAGCATAGAAAGGTTTGGTTATGATTTTCTGTTGTAGGTGGGGACAGATTGTGGAACAACAGGTGGGGATTATTTATATATTCCCTGAAGACTAAAAAAGAGCAGCCGTATCTTTGGAAAAGGGCTGAAAAAGCAGCATCAAGTGGAGTACGTGGTGTGTAGCAGGCTAAAGCTGATTGCTTTCTGTCAATTCCAGCTGACCCTTGGCTATGTTGTTCTGATTTTATAGAATGCCTGCAAACATTTTACTCACTTGTGAGGAAGGATCAAGTCATAGAATTTATGTTTTTTAATGGAACTGAAACACCAGCTTAGGTGGGACGTGGAGGAATCTTCACAAAAGACTTGTTTGTGGTTGGCTGGAAAGGGGACATCAAGGGTGGAGTGTGAATGGGCTGATGGTTGTGGGTGCTCCAGAGGAGAACTTGAGAAGAGAGGGGAGCTGTGGGACGGGGGTCCAGGAAAGCAAGTGCACCGAAGGAAAGGGGATGCCAAGAGGGGAGGACCTGTGAGGAAGATGCAGTGAGTCACGAGCACACAGACCCACACTTGTGCGGGGCTCCCTGCCAGCTGTAAGAGAGAGAGGTGCCAGCCATGATCACAGCGGTAATTCTGTGGCAGGGCTTGGTAATCAGGTTCCCTCTAGAAGTTTTGGATTACAACTCCCATGAGCCCTGATGGTGGGTCTGGCTAACTGGGGCTGATGGGAGTTGCAGTTCAGATCCTCTGGCTGGTGCCAGGTTGCGCCATCCCTTCCTTCCACCGGGTGGGCAGCAGTTTCAAGTGGGCATACAGAACTCAAGATATGTCATGGGCAGTGGAAGGGTTAGTTCCTCTCCCCTGGTTCTGATTCACTTCCTCAGAAACAGATGGTTGCTTTTAACTTCTCTTTAAAAAGGACACTGAAGCACCTGATGTCACATCTAGTCGGGTCCCATCAGTATGCGAAGCCACTGTGTAGACATGCTAGTAAAAGACATTTGGCCCCGGACTCCTGTAGCTCAAGCAGCACTGGGGATGTGTCCCCTCTGTCTCAAGGACGTGAGTGGGAGGGGGCGAAAAGATGACTCAGGGGAGGAAGGTGCCCGTACTGAGTCCTTGGTCCTTCCATATGCTTTCATCCTCATTCAGACACGGCAGAATCACTTTGGCCTTGTTAACGCAAAGCCATTCTAGCATGGGGTGCCTGCAATAACTGCAGATTTGGGGACTAGGAATAGAGCCTCTCTCTTTTTGACCTGCAGATGTTAAATTTTCTTCTTCAAGTGCTGCTCTGGCCAGCTATCTGTGGAAGGATTGCATTGAGGAGTCTTCTAGTAAGTATTTTTCAACATATAAATGCTCTGTCTGACAAATTAACTGAGGGGCAGGAGGAGTTATCACAGCCAGTCATTGTAAAGCACACGCAGGGTAAATGTTGGGACAGATCCAGTTGGGATACTGGATCTGTCCCTTGACCCACAGCAGCATCTCTCCAGGGTCTTGGCAGAGGCTGTGCCCAACCTGGAGATGCCTGCTTGAGGACAGCTGCTGCATATGTATTCTTGGCCCTTGATCAGTCTACTCAATCCATCCTCTTTGCCAGCAGGAAGCAAGCAGTGCATGCACAATGAGGCCAAACCAACCTGTTCCAGCTTTCCGTAACCTTGGTAGTTTTTAAATTTATTTCTGCAAAAGAGGTGGGCGAAACCTGGAGTTGATTGGGAAATTCAGAGACCAGTGCTAAATACCAAAGTGACTTGATATGACTGTAGCAGGTTTTGACAGGCATGATATGTTTGACTGTATTTCTGATAACCTTTGGGAAGGTCTGTGGTAAACTTTCTCCTACACATAGTAGTCACCTTACCTAGTGACTGGCAATATTTTCCAGAATGTAGACAGGGAAGAGCAGGGGGACTAGAATTGATCTTAATTGGGTGTTTGACATTTTGTCTGTTTTCAAATCCTCCTCCTCCTCAAGTAGCTTTTCCCTAGAAGATTCATCTTCCTGTAAACTTTTACAATGGTCTTGGCTGGAAGCCTGAACTGGCAGCAAGTCCTCGGAACAAGTACACACATGATAAAATAGATTCATGCATGATCTGTACACACAGTGGTGTACTGGGTTGTTTTCCTACATCAGAAACTTTTTGAGAGTGAATCAGCCCTTGCCACCTCATCACAACCCCTTTGTGTCAGCAGGTGTGATGCCCCCTAAGTAGGAAGGGTATATGTGTCACAGATATTTCTGCACTAATGTGTCTTTGTGACTTCATGGACAGTAATGAGAATCTTGGTCTAAAAGCTCAGCCTGCTGTCCTTCCAGGGTGTATTTTCAGTAGTTGGTAGCTATGCTAAGCCAAGATCTATCTCAAGCTGGGAAGAAGTCTGTAGCTTGTGAACTCTGAAGTAAAAGAACTTGTTCACACGATCAAGCCAGTTTCCCCCCTACCCTGCCTTCCAAATCCTCACATACGTAAGAGAATGAACTGGGATCCAGCCAGGAATAGGTGGTAGCAGTGCCCATCTAAAGTCCTGAAATCCCCTTTTCCAGTTGTTGAGATTTTGGAGTGTAGCCGCAGTTGGCATGCACACAAGCCAGGGAGATGATGACACTTCTCCATGCAAGCTTGTGCTTGGGCCACTCAGGAGGGGTTCGGCCAAGAAAATCAGTGTGCAGCATCCCTTGTAGGAACTGGCTGTTTCACTTTTGGGATCCCAAATGCTTGCTAGTATTGTAAACATTAACCCACCCAACTTCCTTGCATACAAATCTCATGCAAATTCAGGTCATGTGCAAATGGTTGTGTGAATTGTGTTGGAAAGGGGCCAGGTGCTCTTTTAAGTCATCTGTTAGTGAATGCCAGTGGAGAGTCTACTCTAGGCAAAAAACTGACTACAGAAGAGGTTTAATTGGTTTTGCTGAGGGGGTAAAAACCAGAGAAAAAATACTTATCCAATTGTGTGGCCAGACTGTTTGGGATTTCCCCAAAAAAGGATAAGAGGGGAAAAGCCATGGTCAGCTGAATTAGTTGTGCAGTCATGGAGGGCAGTGGAGAATGAAGACAAATTAGTCCTGCCACATTGTTCCCTGCAATACCCATTAGAGGAACAAAGAGGATGGGGGCAGAGGGAGGGAATGAACCAGCCATAGCAAGCCTGTCTTGTTTGCAACAACCAGCCCATCATGACTTATTACCAGGGTGGACTGATACCACATGCAAATGTACCCAGTACATAAATTCCTGGATTGTAAATTAAAATTGAAAGTGCTTTGTGCATGATGCTCATCCTTTGCACATCACAGTGGCAGTTCCTGGGATTGTCAACTGCTTCACAGCATAAATTCTCCAAGACTGATTAAGGCATCCAGGCATTGTCAAGTCATTGCTGCATGCTGATTAGAAGGCCTGATTCAGACACCTCTCTGAACAGAGCCAGTAGACTCTGGAAAAGTACTGATGCTCAACCAAAAACAGATCTTTGAGTTGGGAGCTCTCAGGTGGATACATATTTGTATAATAATAAATGCATGCTCTATGGTCTCTTTCCTAATAGCAGTATTGGAACTTGGTTTTTTTCCCCACTACTGTGATACCAAAGGTTTGTATAAGGAGAATAAGATCTTGGCAGTTTATTTTTAATTCCTTTCCTAATTATGCCTAACACACAGCTTGCTTTTTTGCTGCACCCACACATTGGGTTGACATTTTCATTGAGCTGTTCACTGCAACACCAAGATCTCTTTCTTGGTTAGTCACTGCTAGCTCAGAACTCATCAACATATCCTTGAATCTGGGATTTTTGCCTCAACAAGCATCACTTAGACTTGCCTATGTTGAACCACTTTTGCCATTTTTATAACCATTCCCTCAGTTAGGAGTAATCTCTTTGGAACTCCTCATAATCCCTTTTGCTTTCAACTACCCTAAATAACTTGGTGTTATCCTCAAACCTGGCTGCTTCATCGCTCACTTCTAATTCTTGATAATTTATATACACATTAGAAAACATTGGTCCCAGTACACATTTCTGTGGGACCCCACTGTTTACATTAGTCAATCAGGGGAGTTTTCCATTGATCTCTGCTCTCTGTTTTTTAACTGGTTACAGATCCATAAAACAATCTCCCCTGTAATTTCATAACTCTTAAGTTTGCTCAGGGGTATTTGGTGAGGGACTTTGTGAAAAGCCCTTTTGGATGTTGAAGTAACTAATGTCACTTCTGTTCACATGCTTATTCTTGTATTCTAAACAGCAGAATAGCACATACTTTTGCAGAAGCCATGCTGATTATTTTTTAGTGGGGCTTGTCCATATACATGTTTACTAATTTTATTTTAATAATGCTATCAACCAGTTTATCCAGAAGATATGTCATGCTAACTGACCTTAATGCTCTGGATCTTTCCCCACCAGATCACTTAAAAAACATGGTTGTTATATTGGCCATTCTGCAGTCCTCTGGTATAGAGGATATGCTACACGTTTTGTCAGAAGATCAGCAATTTCATATCTGCATTCTTTAAGAACTCTGGGATGAATGCCATTTGGTGATTTATTAACTTTCACTTTATCTTTAAGACTGAGAATGTCTTCTTTTGTCATCGCTAATTGCATCAGTTCCTTGGACTCCCTTCCTTGCAACATCAGATCAAGCAAAGCTATCTGTCCTAAATTTTCTGCAGTGGAGACAGATGAAAAGAATTCATTCAGCTTTTGTGCGATCTCCAATGACACGGATTAATGGAAAATTCAGGACAAACAGAAGGAAAAATTACATCGTTAAAATGATGGACTTTGCTTCCTCAAGAGGTGATGATGCCTCATGATGACCTTTTAAAGCTATCTTAAATGGCTTTAAAGGAGCATTAGACAAATTTATGGAGGATAAGGTTATCTATTGAGGGTCAGATTCTGCACAACTCATCTTATAGTCTCAATTAATGTATGGGGGAAGTTCCATCAGATGAATTACAGCCACTAGTGTAGACTACTTCAAAAAACAAGAGAGCATAAGTCTAT